TTTATACTTAAAAATTGAATTTTTTTATTTTATTTTGTATCAATCAATATTGATGCCAAAATGTTTCAAGGCCATGTAGGCCTACAGAAAACCAACCAACAGTCACTCCAAAATGTTGTATGTCTTGTGTAGCCTCTCTGCAGGATTTCTAGAGAAAACCACGTAAGTGCTCTCCTGGGGTTCTGGCATGAATAAACAACCTTGGTTTATTGTCAAATATTTTATATTTAAAAATAAAGAAAATCAATCTATATTGATTCCAAAATGTTTCAAGGCCATGTAGACCTACAGAAAACCAACCAACAGTCACTCCAAAATGTTTTATGCCTTGTGTAGCCTCTCTGCAGGATTTCTAGAGAAAACCACGTGAGTGCTCTCATGGGGTTTGGGCATGAATATACAACCTAGGTTAATTGTCAAATCTTTTATACTAAAAAATTAAAAAAATCAATCAATATAGATTGGTTTTAATATTGTCAAATCTTTTATTCTTAAAAATTGAATTTTTTATTTTATTTTGTATCAATCAATATTGATGCCAAAATGTTTCAAGGCCATGAAGGCCTACAGAAAACCAACCAACAGTCACTCCAAGTTTGTTGTTGCCTTGTGTAGCCTCTCTGCAGGATATTTAGAGAAAACCACGTAAGTGCTCTCCTGGGTCTGGCATGAATATACAACCTAGGTTTATTGTCAAATATTTTATATTTAAAAATAAAGAAAATCAATCTATATTGATTCCAAAATGTTTTATGCCTTGTGTAGCCTCTCTGCATGATTTCTAGAGAAAACCACGTGAGTGCTCTCATTGGGTTTCGGCATGAATATACAACCTAGATTTATTGTCAAATCTTTTATACTAAAATTTAAAAAAAAATCAATCAATATTGATTGGTTTTAATATTGTCAAATCTTTTATACTTAAATTTTGAATTTTTTTATTTTATTTTGTTTCAATCAATATTGATGCCAAAATGTTTCAAGGCCATGTAGACCTACAGAAACCAACCAATAGTCACTCCAAAATGTTTTATGCCTTGTGTAGCCTCTCTGCAGGATTTCTAGAGAAAACTACATAAGTGCTCTCCTGGGGTTCTGGCATGAATATACAACCTAGGTTTATTGTCAAATATTTTATATTTAAAAATAAAGAAAATCAATCTATATTGATTCCAAGATGTTTTATGCCTTTTGTAGCCTCTCTGCAGGATTTTTAGAGAAAACCTCGTGAGTGCTCTCATGGGGTTTGGGCATGAATATACAACCTAGGTTTATTGTCAAATCTGTTATACTAAAAAAATTTAAAAAAATCAATCAATATTGATTGGTTTTAATATTGTCAAATCTTTTATATTTAAAAATTGAATTTTTTAATTTAATTTTGTATCAATCAATATTGATGCCAAAATGTTTCAAGGCCATTGAGGCCTACAGAAAACCAACCAACAGTCACTCCAAAATGTTGTATGCCTTGTGTAGCCTCTCTGCAGGATTTCTAGAGAAAACCACGTGAGTGCTCTCATGGGGTTTGGGCATGAATATACAACCTAGGTTAATTGTCAAATCTTTTATACTAACAAATTTAAAAAAATCAAGCAATATTGATTGGTTTTAATATTGTCAAATCTTTTATACTTAAAATTTTTTTTTTAAATATTTTATTTTGTATCAATTAATATTGATGCCAAAATGTTTCAAGGCCATGTAGGCCTACAGAAACCAATCAATATTCACTCCAAAATGTTTTATGCCTTGTGTAGCCTTTCTGCAGGATTTTTAGAGATTGGACCCTGCATTTCTGATTCTCGAGACTCTGAGATCTCCACTAGTGGATCGTCGATACGCGTCAATCGGTTTTTCTAGCTACACGCTGAGATTCAAAACTGAGTAGATCAGGCAAGAACAAGCACGTACAGAACAAACCACCGATAACAGCGTACTTTCGTGTATCGCACCCAAATAAACTCATTTTCTCTCGTTATCCAAATTTAAACAGTTAAAAGTGGGCGTGATTTTAAAAATTGCACCGTGGGGAACTGCCAGGTGTAAACAGATTGAGGAGCGAAATACAAAACAAAAGTAGTTTACAATTTCCGGACCTTAACAAATGATATTGATTCTGTTAATAAAGTATAATAACAGCAATTTATAGTTTTATTTTCTATTTTTGTGGCCACATGATGGTCGGAACATTCTAATCAGCACAGCTGTTTTTCATAGGGGTCCAATTAAAATACATAGCATGTTTTTACAAAAGAAACAAGACACTAAAATAAATCAAATACACATAAACAAATAGCAATACATTGCACATACAAATTCAATCAAAAGCAACATTAAATCAAATAGATAATTAGTATATTCTGGCCACCCACCCACCTATAGATAAATATAGGCCTACATAGCAATGACAATATCTTGACACATGCAGGTCTCTTAAAATTATTACTTATATAAATAGGACAATTTATATGTATAGCTCGATAAACAGTATGAGCTAAATAATAGATCCTACGGAGTTCCAAATTACCTAACTTAGTTTGTTCATAATTTATATAGAGTGCTGCAGTTGGGTAGCACTCTATTTCATCTCATTGAATACTGCAATATGGAGAGGTCCTGTAGACGCCCTGTAATGCTGAATGTTGAAAAATTAGGTTTGACGAATATATTATCATAATATATTCGTCAAACCTAATTTTAACAAAGTTCTGTTTGTTTAAAGTAATGCTTGCATTTCCATTATTTGATTAAACGAACTCGTTTTCACTGGCTGCCTGCCGTAGCAACAAACAGAGTTGAAAAAAGACTTAACTCCGTTTCGTTGACGATCAGTCATGCACAAAGAAGACGAAAGTCTTGATGCAGCTCATGCCTTTCAAGGCCAAGATGTCGCCCTTTTTCTGAACTTTATACATGTATTGTTGTCACCAGTGCGGGGCAGGGAGTTGTTTAATGAGCAAAAGGGAAAGAAATGACCACCGGTTCAGAATGATTTTTACCGACTCATGACAAACGTAAGCTCTAGATTTTTATCTACCATAATGGCGATTTTTTTTTGGGACCCCCCCCCCCCCAAAAAAAAGTGTCCTTTTACACCCCCCCCCCCCCCGCTTATTCAGCGGCTGGCTGAGTCGATTTCAAATGTCAACCCCCCCCCCCTTGAAAAAATCCTGCGTACGCGCCTGGTGTGGAAAAACAATTTAGGTGTTGACCGTGAACAGGGTGCGATTATTAAAAAAGATTAACTTACTGTGCAGTTATACTTTTCCTTTCTTTTTTCCGAAGAGAAAAAGAAGACGAGCATGAATTATTGCAAAATCATTTTTTTAAATAAAACAGTTTTTCCGTTTACATCACCTTGGCAAAATTAGTTATAACTCACCAACTACAAAGTGAGTGGTATTTATAATTATATGGCTTATAAAGCCATTAGAGCGTGCATGCAGAATGATCTTCTTTCCCCAGTTATTATGTAAGCTCATTTTTATTTTTTTCAACCTTGAAAACAGCTTTTTCCTCTCGTATATATTTCTTACAATCCATTAAATGGTGGTGGTGGGGGTTATTTTACCCGGACTGCTAAGAAAGCATTAATGCTTGTAAGTAAGCAACCAGACGGCCGACGGCTTTATGTCCTCTCCGAGGGACCTGGTAATGAGGATTAATGCCTTACCGTCCAAAGGACACTATAGCTAGCGCATCGACTTGGTTTCGAACCCGGGTCACCGGATTACGAGACCACTGCTCTAAATAATGACCCATTGTTTCAGTCTCATGACAGTCATCACAAAGACCATTTTCATGTTTATTGATACTAAATTTGTAAAAGTTTAATTTGCACTTTCCCATTATCATTTTATGTAAGCCTATATGATAATAATCTTTTCTATAAAATCAAGATAAATTAATAAGTCTCGTTTTATATGGATGGATGTGAAATAGGAATCTTCCTTTATCTGTTATTCCCTAATGATTTTGCCAGACATTATGCTGACGCATGTGCTTATCTACCATTTGAATTAACTCTGATAAAATTAACCTATAATTATGTAAATATTGAACTATAACAGTTTTTATGTTATCTCAAAAACAAACAATGAAAATAAGATTCATGGAGTGATGGTTTGATAATCATCTAGTTATGAAATGTAAGTTTTATTTCTAATACATGAGCGTAGTTTCTGTAATTGATTATAGTTCACGACCGAGGATGATCTATTCATTCATCCCCCTGAACAATAGGTATTAAGTAAGGATCGACGCCCATGATATTCATAACAATTGGCGTATCGAGGGGGGGTATTTTTGGTGTTCGAACACCCCCCTTGGCAACAGGGGGTGTTTTAGGTGTTCAACCCCCCCCCCCCTTGGTAAGAATAAAAAAGTGTGGGGGGGGGGTGTCTTAGAATTAAAATGTATCTGTGTTTCAGATGTTTACAGATGTGAAAAAAATAGGTTTAAAAAAGATGGTAACGTTAATTTTACCTTTCTTAAACAAAAAATGAAAATGTGCCCACTTGGCCCCAAAGGAATTTGTTGTTGTTGTTGCTCAAGGGGGGGGGGGGGTGGATGTTAAGAAAAAATAGGAGTGTTCATGCACTTCCCCCCCCCCCCCCCCCGTTGAGAAAAGCCAATGTAGGCCTACCCTGGTAAAATTATGGTAATCGCAAAACTAGAGAGGCGGCTAAATCAGCCCCCCCCCCCTTTTTTTTTAAAGCTCAAGTGGCACTATGTTAACGTCAAAGCATTCTAACAGCAAGCGTGTTTACATGATATCGCATCTCTATTTCATACCCGATCAGAACACGAAAGAAAAATTGAGGGTAACCACTCCACCCCCCCCCCCCCACCTTCCCCCTCCTCCCCACAATTTCACTTGAATGATGCATGATGCTGATGGTGCCGGTGGAGCCGCGCCAGCGCATAATAATACGCCAGCGAGCCAGGCGCAGGCGCTCGGTGAATCGCGTGGGATGCATGATAATTATAACATATCTCGAAGAGTACCGTACGAGATCGAGAGTCATATCAAAATTTGGAAGTCGACTTCTGTTTCCTAAATCTGCTCTTGTCTGAAGACAGGATGAAACGCGTAGGCAACGATCAGATCCAGTCTGCGGTACTCCAATATTTGAAAAGAAGGCAATACATTGTAAGTTCAAGATTTACAATAATTATCACTGATTATAACAAGAAATGTCAGGTTGTCGTTAGAGTAGATTCGGAGCGAACAATGCGGACACAGCTGGCCCGGCTCGTCGGGCCAGCTTTCCGCTGAATATGATGGGGACCCGTGTGTCTGCGCAAATAACATTTGACTTAAAATTGACAATAAATTTCGTTCAAATTTCCTTAATGCTTCATCTCATCTCAATCCTTGTATTTTTAAGAGTAAGTGTGCTGAAAATCTTAGCAAAATTTGAGTAAGAACAGTGTCATTTTTACAGAAAACTGCAGTGTTGTAGACTAGACCCTAGATCATTTTGACATTGTAATTTGTATATGTAAAATACCTAGTTAGGCCCAAGTTAGGGTTTAAGGAGGGGAGGCTATGCGAGGGGAGTGATGTTTAGATAACAAAACCTAAAGTGCTTTTGTAATCACCGATTCTTGCACCTGACAGACCTTACAAACTACCTTATTGAACTCCTCTAGCTCGCACAGGACAAAGGTCAATTAAACAAAGCACTATGAAATCGGTCAAGAATTTAACAAAAAATGTGAACATACATTTAATACCGAAGTGATAGCGATTTGCATACCTTCCACTTGTTCCTGATGATTTTAGCTCACATTTGATTCGACATTACAAAAATGTATTGTTAACCTCTCATTTGAGTTCAACATGTTGCTTCTGCTGGAAACGCAAATACATGCAGTGTACGCAGATATAGCCACTTTTGCATTGATAATGTTTCGTTACTCTACGATAATAGTGATTTGTTTAGTGTACCAAAAAAGGGGTTAGCGCTGGGAGTTCACTAAATTCAGCCAACTCTGTGCGTGCACCTTTTTACACTGAGTAGGCCTGTCTCGTCATCAAATTCATCAACGTAAACACTGACCACGGTTTGGGCATACATTCCGCTGATGAAACTACGTCTGGCTTCACTAAATCTGGAGGAGAGTGTCAAAAGACAAAATAAACTCCTACGTTCAAAGAAAACTTCTCCAAGCAGACAGATATTCCTTTCTACACTGCAGTTCAATTAGGCTGATATATCGGTGTGTTTTATCTATTTAGGCTATTCTATAGCCATTTAATATAGGGGAGGCCTGGCATGGATATTTGTTTGAAGTTGATTTTTACATTAATTTAGTTTTTACTCAGCTGGTCTGAATTCATTACACCTCAAGTTATATAAATACCTTGCTTTTCTTTGTAGGACATCAACAGTGAGAGTGTAAACCGGAAAAACCTGAAACTGACGGACTCCTTGAGAGAGATGGCGTCTCAGTCATCGCGGAAGAAGGAGATGGGAGCAGTTAACTCTGTCTCTTGTAATTCATGGTAAAGAAATCACATCTCAGTATTTATTTTATGCAGCTACTATGAAGAGTCTTTTGACGTCTTTTTCTTTTCTTATTAATTTAAATTAACATAAACTTTGAAGTGTGAACTACCAAAGGCACAGCTCATTATCTCAGTGGTCACTATTTGGTTGAATAATTCTTTAATATTCATTTTTTATCTAGTACCGGTACTTAATGTAATATTAATTTGGTATGATGTGATTGTAAATTTAAAATTATATTTGTTAATAAATCTGGTGTTTGTATGTGTGATGACTTGATTAGTATTTGTGTTATCACATCTTTCTTTGAAATTGATGACAAAGAGAACACAAGTGAACAGGGCTCGATACTAGCAGGCACCCGGGACACATGGGCACCCAAAATAATAAATTTCAATCCAGAGTCCCCAATTTTTTTTTTACATACAACGTAGGGGTAGGGCTCATGCTTACAAACTCTGAAATCTAATTCCGGACCTCCTTCTGAAAAAGTTAGTATGGGGCTCTGATAAATAGTATTATATAGCATTATGATCCGTATTGGCACTAACGCTTAAAGTTAAACTGAATGTTTTTTGTTCCAATTCCTTTCCTTCTAACAGTGATCAGGAACCTGACGTTTTTGAGCAGCAGTTTGCCAGATTTAGGCTCTTCATTGAAAATTCAGTGGAAGAGTATAAGGTGAGAATGAAGGCCCAAATCGTTCAATAAGACATGACTCTAAGTCTGAACAGTCACCAACATTATGATGAAGAGGGATATGTTAAAGAAAACTGTAAAGAGAGAATATGGGGTTTGAAGAGAGGAGTGTGATGTAGGAGATTTATGTATTAAAATGTGAGAATATAATGTGGAAAGAGAAGCAAACCTAAAAGTGAATAAAATATTGCAAGTATGATGCATTCTAACTGTAACTGAAAGAATATAAGGTAGATGTGACAAGAGTATGATGTGCAAATCAGAATAACCTGAGAATATATAGTAGAATAGTAATGGTGGCAATATGGTGCATTTAAAAAGAAGAGAAATTGAAATAAAAGATGTGATTTTCTCATTTAGCCGGACCTCCTATACTTGCTGTACCCTACGTTTGCTCACCTGTATTTGCAGATGATATCTGATGGACATCGACTCAATGGTAAGTGGATTTCTTTTGCTTGGGTTGAGTTCTGATCATGGGATTGCATTGTTTGTTTGTTTGTTTGTTTTATTTATTCACCATGTAAAATAATAGTTTACAGATAATAAAATACAGTGGGTTACATCGAGATACATAGTAGGAACAGTGCATAAACAAAAAATGTTTGAAGCGCAACGTCCCTAAGATAACATAGTTGGTAATTATTGTGAAAGAAATGTGGAATCGGTCAGAAGGTCAGAAGGTTGATCATCTAGCATATAAGTATTGGTGTGTACTGCAAGGTTCTGGAATCATCAAAATGATAAGAAATTTGGCCCAGTCTTGGTAAAGTTACAAGCACTGTGCACAGAAAGATCTATATGGGACTACGCGATATCTATCCAGTCCGGATAGATATGATAATCTACCAAATATATCTATATAAGTAATAGGCAGTTTCCTGGCAAAATTGTTATCATCACATATTAGTCAAAACATATTCTTTCACATGATTGGTAATAAGAGTTTCCATTTCATTTTTTGAGAGGGGGGCGTTTCCAAAGCTGATCTATACCTTTAACACAGACATGAATAACCTCTCCATCCTCCCAGCCCACAGCCTCTACACAAAGCACAAAGGATGCACTCAGTATCAAGACAGTCAAGATGCCAAGGAGTTGATGGAGAGACTGAGTAGCGTGCATCACAGTATGGATCTTATCAGCGACCCTCAACTCTCAGCATTCAGGTACGTTCAACAACAAAGTTTATACTCAATCATAATGGTCCATACATACCTGTCAACCCTAACAAATAATCTGGAAAATTCTGTTTTTCTGCAAATTTACAGGGGCTCTTTTTTATTTTCGGGGGCTCTTTTGGGCATTTAGGGGGCTATTTCGCCCGAGCCCCCATTGTATTTTTTTCACTGTTCATGAGTATAGATTGAAGAGTTTTTTTTTCTTCCTTTCCGTTGTAATAGGGAGAGTAAATGTGTGGTGGAGCTTGGAGATGAAGCCCTCCAGTATCTCTTGCGTTTCCTCCAGAGTCGAGATAACTCTGTTCTACTCAGCATCATCAATGTGCACATTGATATCAAAGGTATGTTACTTACTGGATAGCCACATTTGATTGTACCCAAGTCACACCAGTGGGACCAACTGCCGGGCCCATTTCACAAAACTTGTCAACAGTCAAATGACAGTATTTGTTATAAGCTACTGAAATCCTTGCTTCTGATTGGTTATCAGCAGATTTGTCACTGATTTTTGTCATTTGTCATAGAAAAAAGGCTTGTGAAACAGGGCCCTGTACATCACTTAACCAAACACAGAATTACCTTAGTATAGCCCAAATGGCCAATATTTGTTCGATTTGGATTCAGTTTGTTGTTTTCGTTTGAGAGGTTTGGCTTGGTGGGTTGTTTTGAGTGTCAGTGTCATTAAATGGTGTATTATCGTTAACTAAGTCTTACAAATCTTCTTGACTTGAATTTCAATTTGTACATTTGCAGCAAGGATCTCTGAAGAATATATACTGCATGGTCACCGTGCTGTAACTAATTACATCAGATAGAGCCTTTGACCAATCTTCATCATCGCTTTTTGACAAACAATGTTTAGCTTTAAAGGGATCGGGTAACTTTGCCTCAGATCCTTAAAAAAATCCTGGATTTAGTTCATGCTGCAATATTAGTTTTAAACCTTTAGGTCGTACATGTATCCCATGACTTTTACGAGCCAATCTGATTGTCTGATTATCAAGATATCTATGATTGGAATTAGAAATTTCACAATTTGTTTTCCTATAAAACTACAGTCTATTGGGAAAAATGAGTATGGTAAAACCGGTCACTCAAAGATTTTTACTTTTTTTGAGGCACTTTGTGATCATTTTGAAGCACAATTTTTTTAAGGCTTCAATATTACACCATATCACAGACACTGATTACACGTAGGGCCGTGCATCTCAGATTTAACATTGTTCAACGATGCCTTTAACCATTGCCTTTATCTATCTGTACACAGTTCGATACTCGTTGTCCACATCCTTGCAAGAAGCCGGTGAAGAGTACCCACAGCCATCCTCCTCCTCCTCTTCCTCCTCCTCCTTGTCTTCATCACTGCCGTCTGCTCCAAAGCAAACTGGCGATGTGTCTATGAAGGAAGATGATAAGAGAGAGGTCGAGAGGGAGGCCTTTCTTACTCAGCTGCGAGCAACCATTGATAAGGTCCAGAGGGGACCACCCCCTGTGCCTTCCGTCATCTTGTATAGTGTCCTCAATGCCTACCAAGGGTAAGCAAACATTAGTTCGTTTACTATTTTGCAGAATAGTGTCCAGAGGAGTGTTTCACAAAGACTAAGATCGACTTTAAGTTGGACTTAACTATGGCAGGCCGTTCATGTCACTATGTTCTCTCATCATTTACTGGCATTGGTTTCTCAATGGTTACCAATTGTGGTCACAAATCTACAGAATTTACATTTGTTGATGGTTCATTATTGTAGGAAAAAATTATTATCTAAAGATCATAATTGAGAGACCAATGATGAGAGCAACTAGTGGCATGAACGGCCTGCCATAGTTAAGTCCAACTTAAATTCGATCTTAGTCTTTGTGAAATACCCCCCAGGGCTCTGTCTATTTTTTAGTGCCTTCTGTCATCTTGTATGTTATCCACAGTACCTGCTAAAGATATTACAACAACAAAATTATTTAAAAAAATTGTAGAGAAATATCCACTGCAAAAGGTGCTGGTATTGATACAGATGAAAAATATTACATCAATTTTTCTGTCAGATCTGTATATGAAGATCTCCTTCTCTATGAAAACATTTTTAAAAATCTGTTAGCATTAGTGGTGTTTAAAGACGAGTAGTCTTTGTTTCTCTATTTCACTGAAAGTACGTCTCTTTTTTCCTTGAAACGGTCTTGAGATTCTTTCTGGTTGACCATTCACTTTCCAGTTGGTTGCACCAGTCTGTAGAATCTATTTTAAAATGCTACTCGTAGATATATATGAATGTCTTCAAGAAAATATTGATTTAAAACCACTTGCATATTAAGATTGCCTTTTGTGTCTCCTTTGACAATCTTTCTACACAGGTTTGACTCTATTATGTAATATGTTTTTCATTTGCAGACTGAGTTCTGTGAGTTTCTCTGATGATTCCCAGATGTTAGCCGGTGGGTTCGAGGATTCGGCCGTCAGGGTGTGGAGTCTCACCTCTAAGAAACTCAAAACCGAATCCCACGATGCTGATGTGAGTCGTGTCCGCTTGGCTGGCGATTGTCTACATAAGGATGTCATAGAGGATAGGTAAATACTGATAGTAATGAAAGGAATTAACCTTATGGGGCAGTCACACATGGGGGACGCACGGGGGACGCTTTGCCCGCGCATTAAAAATTTGCTATTTTGGCCAGTGCGTTGTCGTTCGCCAGGTGTGCGTCGTCATTCGTTACTCGTTTGTTGAGTGTGCTGGACCATTGCTATGCATTCAATGTCATTTGCTGTATGCGTTTTTGTGCATGTGCGCGGAGCTCTACGTATGAATGTACGTTCCAAAAGGACGCCAGATACAAGCAGAGCGCGCAAAACCAAAGCCAGACATTCGCGGAGCACATGCCCTGTATACACACAGCGCGCAAGCAAAATGCTACGCATTCGTTGTCAGCCTGCTAGCTTCTCCCAAATCCTGACAAAAGTTGGGCGCACAATTTTTCAGATTTTCAATGCGCGTGTTGCGTTAATGTGTGACTGGGCCATGACATGGGGTAAGAAGGGAAAAATTTGGTGAATTGTTTCAATAATCTCTTGTCGTTGGTAATGATGCAAACCTTTTTAATTTTATATTGATGAAAGAGCGAAAATACTTTGTATCATATATATACTACATCTTTTGAATTTAGTTTTTAATACATGTTTTGTCATAAAAGTTTCTGCCATTTTCATCCTTATTTCACTGCTTTACAGCACGTTTTTATCCTCTTCAAAGTAATATTTTATCATTTGTGCAAGTAAGGTAATGCTCCATTATGTAATTGCAAGTAGGAAGTCTTCCTATTGAAAAAAAAAACCCAATCGCTTCATCACAAGTTTAATGCCCTCCCCTCTCCCGAGAAGCACTTAGAAGGAATAATGTGTGTAGCACGTACCATGTTGTTTTGAAAAGCCAGTCTGTGGACAAGCATGGAGTTCAGTAAAAAAAAAACCTCTTATTCCTAAACATGTAATAAATGTCAATTTAATGCAAATACGTGTATCTGGAAACGTGTTGGATCAGTGATAAGTAAATCGCAATGGATTCCTCCAACTACTGTTTTTTTAATTCAATAAAAACAATACATTTTTTTATGCAGGATGACATAGCTGCTGTTTATATATATATCCTTTGTATTCCTCAAACCAATGTTTGTTTTTCATACCAATAATAATGTTCTTGTTTAATCCAGCCTTGGTTCTGAGTGTAAGGTCATGAGAGGTCACAGTGATACTGTATATAGTAACTGCTTCATACCCAATGCTCCTCTGCTCTTATCAGCATCAGGGGATGCTACAGGTACATATTTTGATTCCTTTAATTTCTTGTTTAATTAACCTATTCTATCAGGACAAATGTTAATTTATGATATTTAAGATTGAGTACATTGTAGACTGCTATGAAACTTCATGCGAGCAGTTTTAATACATGTTTTGAATTACAGAATAGTATTTTGTCATACTGTTGTATACATTCAGTGCATTGTAAGCATTTACATGGCCCATCTTTGAAATAGATTTAAAGTACTTCACCATTTTCCATCTGTAAATGTAAAGCTAGAAAGTATCATGGAAATCGTCTAACTGTCCTCAATACCATGGCCATACCGTACTGTGTTTAGACTGTCAGATCTTCAGGTTTTTTTAAAATCAGCATGTCCATCCAGCAAAATGATTGAATTTCAGTATTGCATTCTTGCAATAAACCAGTTTACTTACATATTCAAATTTATGGATGTTTCTTTCCTGGGTACCTAGTGACGAGGTATTCCATTAATCTATTATTAATGAATGAATACAAATATTTGGAATCTAGTCTGCTTTGCTCGTTGTTATGTCAGGCAAGTCCCTGTTCAGTTTCAAATTGTCAAGAAAAACCTTTATTTAAAAAGTATGCGTAAAATAGAGATATGTTAGTAAACCAGTCTATTCCTGAAAGTTTTGCAAAATCATATCCACCTCTCTATCTCTCTCTCTCTTTTTCCTTCATTCTCTCTTCAGTGCGAGCGTGGAGCATGGACACCTTCTCCAACGTGGCCGTGTACAGGGGGCACAAGTACCCTATCTGGGACCTTGACGTGAGCCTGTTTGGGGTCTACTTCTGCACCGCCTCCAAGGACCAGACGGCCCGGCTCTGGAGCCCAGAGAGGACCTATCCTGTCAGGGTACTCTCAGGTCATCTCATGGATGTAGATGTAAGCAATTATGCATTTATTTATTCATTTATTTATTTACTCTTATTCTTTAGTTATTTTCTGTTATATGTTACTATGTATTGATGTTTTCAATGATGTTTATATTGTGTATTTTCTTCAAGTAGTTTGTATCTTCATATATGTTGCATTTGTTTACAGGGCCCCCTTGAAAACAGTGCTTTGATTACTGATGGGGCTACCCTGCTTAAATAAAACGGAATGAATAAATAAATAAATAAATGAGAACTGACCAGCAGGGGTCAGCTTGCAACTAGAATGATACAATATATTGTTTACAATATTATTGCGAGGTGACGAATCCCCTGGTGCCACTTTCCAGGTTGTTCTTTCTTAAGATTTTTGACTTTTCGGGAGTGGAAATTTTGCTTACACTTAGCAATCTCTCTTCGGTCTGTATTGCGTAGGGTTCTGTACAATAGGATTTTACCTAGCAGATAAGCTTTCTGACGTTGTGAGATGATCGTAAGAACTGGGTTGGTGATCCAGAGCTTATCGTCAGAGCGATGTTTAACGCAGGTTGGTGGGAAGATCTGGAGGTAGCGAGCTCGAAGTGATGAAGCAAAGGACCCTACCATTTCAACAGCATCACGACATTTGTTGAGACAAGTCTAGTCCTCTGATTTGAGGCACTGGCTGAAGGTACGGGTGTTGGAGTCCCTCATAGGCCGAATCGTCGTCTTACGTGGCGCAGAATTAAGAATTACTTAAATGGGGTCGATGATGAAGGATCGATGATCACTGGTTGAGATGGGGTTGGTTACAACAGGTTCCTTGTATAACTCAGAGGAGTCAGTGAAGACTTTCACTGAGATGTTATGACCCTGGTGGGCTTCGAGAGGATTTATTTGAAGTTTTTGAACCCTAGTTCGTTAAGAAGAGGAGTAGTGTTAAGGTCGTTGAAGTCACCTAAAATCATGAACTTCGCACCGAGATGTTGTGATTGTAAACCATAAACTGCAGACTATCAATAATTTCATCTTTCAACGGAGACTGGGGAGGGTAATACACAGCACATACAAACAGAATACAAGTGTTTACTGAGAACCAGCTTTAACCATAGTAACTCTAGATGGTTGGGAACAAGGTGTGATTCAATAGGTGTGGCTTTGAAGTCTGACCTTACATATACGACGACTCCACCACATTGACGGTCATTACGATCTTTGCGATACATGTCAAAACCAGGAATTGATAATGCACTTGATGGAATTTTGTTGTTTAGCAAAGTTTCAGTTAAAACAGCTACTTGCGTCTTATTAACTCTCATAGTTGCCATAAGATCGCTGTGTTTAGAGTTCAGGGATCTTATATTGGCAAGAAGTATGGCTGGGAATTTTGTATTGAGTTTGTCATAATCCTCCCTCTGAACGGGCACCAAATTGTATAAGTTTTTGTATTGTGGCAAGAAACTTGTTTTCACTAGGTTGTGCATCGGGACTGACGCTTTCCGCAGACGACATATCATGAATATTCTCCTTCCAGCTCTTGAGACCATGTTGGAGATATGGCTATCCCATTTGAGATTCGACTGTAGAAGAACACCAAGCAGCTTCAGGCAATTTGTTCCCTCCATCGGTTGATTAATCAGACGTAAGCTTGGAGGATTCGCTCTGTTTTTGGAGAAGTCAAATGACATGGTTTTACTTTTCTGAACGTTGAATTTCATGTCATTTTCCTTACTCCAACATGTCAGCTTGTAGAGATGATCCGCAAACATTTAGACGCTAGAAGTAGAGCGGATCTCAAGAATGCTAAAATCATCCGCATATTTCCACCGTTGATCGGTATCCATCACAGCGTCATTTACCAGCGTCAAAGGACCCAGCTTGGTCCCTTGAGGCACTCCGCAGGTCAGAGATAATTCTTCGGAGATACAGGGACTGATTCTGACTGCCTGGCTTCGATCACTCAAGAAGCTTATTACAGTTAATAGATAAGATTGCTTCATCAACATGATGAGTTTGTGTATCACCACATTATGATTGAAGCGGTCAAAGGCCTTTGAATTTGAAAGGCCATTTCCTAGGCTTGTCCATACCACGGAGGATGGTATCCATTAGGCTCACCAAGTAGTGAGTGGTTGAACTTCCCCTTATGTTGCCAAACAGCCGCGGAGTGTAGAGATGTAATATCAGGACCAAAAATGTCACTTTGTTAGGTATTTTTGTAATACTATGCAACTTGTATTACTTAAAGTAATGCAAATTCAATGAAATTATAGCTATTTGTGCAGAGGGATCACAATTTTGTTTTATTATTCAATAATATATTGTATATTATGTCGGAGTTACCTTCTGAATTGTTTTATTTCTTGAACAATCTCTGAATGTGATCAATAGATAAGGTATAGTAAGGGCTGTCTTTAAAAACTATGAAACGGTCAGTATCTAGGTGCAAACATATGTAGATGTTCCTTCTTAAATTGTTACAAATTGTCTCTTTTTTTTTTCAGTGTGTCAAATTCCATCCTAACTGCAAGTATATAGCGACAGGCTCGAATGATAAGACCATTCGACTGTGGGATATTACACAAGGAAAGTCTGTGCGCTTATTGACAGGACACAAGGTAAGGTGGAGTGCCCATTGCATGTCTTCTCTACTCTCACTCTCTGTCTGTCTATTTCTCTCTCTCTCTCTCTTTCTCAAACTCCCCCCCCCCCCACAATCATTTTTATGGCACAAGAAAAATTAGGAAGAAAAAAAAAGGAAGAAAGAAATTAGAAAATGATAAACATACTGAGTATCCAGGCATTGCAGGCAGACAAAGAGAACCTTTTAAAGGAACCAGCTACCCCCCCCCCTACAAAAAAGAGCGGGAACAAGTCCACGAAAAAAAAATGATATTGAAGTTATGAATACAAAGAGAAAATAAAAAATGATCAATGTCAAGGCCTACACATATGTACTTGTATTTATTTATGAGTTTAATTTATTTTACTGAAAATTAAAATTGCATTATATTATCATACCTGCCAACCCTTCCAAATAATCTGGAATATTTAGAGTTCTGGATTTTTAGGACCTAAAAATTTGGAATATTCAGATTTTTTCAAATTCCATTTTTTTGTTTTGTTGTTGTTATTGCTTATTTAAAGCCAAATTAAGCCTGTTTCATTATGTGCCGCGATTTGAGAGTTTGATTTGATTTGATTTGATTTGGGTTCAGGAATTGTGTGTGTTGAATGGCTGCAGGATCGAGTATCGAATTTGTATTCGTTTAAAAAAAAACCCAGATTTACCGCGTATTGCCAGTTACACTGACGCTGCATGTTCGAACGCCTGTCAAGGGTACAGATTTCTTATTTTCCGAAGGCATACCGTGCTAGAAATTCCTAATTCTTATTTTCAATTGTTGGCAGGAATGTATTATGATACACAAGTAATTGAAGTAGATACGCTATGGTATCAGCTTGGAAAGCCATACAGATTAAAAGGAATTTGGTAATTTGGCACCTCTATGTCCTTTTTGAAACAATTGAATTTGATTTGATCTTTATCTACCTTTGTTTTACAGAGTTCAGTGTTGTGCATAGCATTTGCTCCAAATGGGAAGTACCTTGCATCTGCTGGTAAGAAAAGAAATCAACCTTATACAGTGAAACCTGTCTATAAAGACCACCCAGGGGAGACGAGTAAAGTGGTCTTTATAGGCAGGTGGTCTGTATGTACAGGTTCCTTTAGTACATGTTGCAATGAGAAACCATTTTCAAGGAAAACAAAAAATGTGGTGTTTGTAGACGGGTGGTCTTTCTATACAGGTGGTCACTAAAGCAGGTTTGACTATATTAGATTGTAGCTAAATAGAGGTGTTGTGGTCTAGTGGATGAGTCACCCGACTGTAGATCACAAGGTACGGGATTCCAATCCCAGCCTGGTACTAACATCCTTTTGCAAGACGTTAATCTTCATTTGCCACTCTTCACCCAGGTGTGAAATGGTCACCCGGTAGGATGCTAAAGTTGATGTAGTTTGCTCAGCATTGTGAGCGTCTATAAAATGGCCTCTTGCTGGAATGCTATCTAGGAAATGGAGAATGTGCATGCATCATGTGCGGGGCAAGCCTGAATCTGATGACTGGGGTAATAATATATCTGTAAAGCGCTTAGAGACATTGTCAATGTATGAATGCGGAATATTAACATTATTAGCTTTACAAAAAGGGAGGAGGGTAAAACAAGGTAAAGTCTGCCTTGACCTTGACTTTAATAAGCCATTAGAGGGACTTGGTAACATTGTTCAGATGAGAGAAAATGGTGCTAAGGTTGTGACTTCAATGCTAGATGTACAATTAAAGATAATCTTAAAGTTTGAGTGAAAACAGACCATTATTAATGATAAAAATTGGGAAAAACTGATCTGATCGATTCCTTAATCCAACTATATTATTACAATTTAATTACATTTTAGGTGAATGTAAATCATCACAAAGCAATGAATTAGCTATATATACCATTCCAGACATTTAAGTGTTGACAGATTTTTAAAAGCCTGTCTTATGTCTTATTTTGTACTGGAACTCCTTAGACATTTCGCTCAAACAGCTTCCAAGTTTAATTACTTTTAAGTATCACTTGAAACATAAACTTCTCCTCCAGTATGAAAATGTTTAAGGTCATCATGATAGAGACCATCGGTATTATCAACACTTGTTGGCTGGCTGCACCACACACCTGTTTTTGTTCTTTTGTTTTGTTTTTTGTTTTATATATTATGTAACTAATGTATTATATAAAGGGAACCTTAATTACAAGCATAATGCTTCCAAGGTTTCGTCCTCATTACTGCAGATAATTGTTAGCATCATATGTATTTAATGACTTGCCATTACATCGTTTTTATTACTGTTGTATCAATCAAATATTATGTACATGTTTTGTTACCTTGTATATGCCTTACTTTGTAAAATTCTTTTCACATGCAGTTAATGTGGAAATAAAACCTAAATAAAAAAAATTAAAAAAATTTTCATGGAAAAACAGTTGGGAAAATAAAGAAAAAGGTTGGGAGAACTTACTGTTAGAGAGTGTCGCACCTTCAAAGAAAAACATAAATATCTTTGTGGTTCGAGAAGTTTTCAGGATTTTTTGCATGCTAGAGGGTTAGTACAGTAGAAGAAATATAATAGGTAACATTTCATACAAAAATTATGCAATTTTTTCATCAACCCTCAACAATGTTACTGAATCACTTTAACCCTGATACCTTGTTTTATTTGCAGGTGAAGATCGTAGGGTTCGTGTTTGGGACTTGGCAACAGGAGGTTTGATGAAGGAGTTGAGAGGACACACAGACACTGTTTATTCACTAGCATTCAACCCCGATAGCTCTATGCTAGCTTCCGGTAAGAAATTATATATTTGTTGATTTATTGCAACCGTATTCAAGTTAAATTACAGTACTGCTAAAATACAAACAATTATACTTTGAATGCTTCACAGTATTTAAAGATTTGTAGAGTAAAACTATACAATTAGAGTGACAGTTAAAGATGTGATAGCAACATTTGAATTACAACTACATAACATGAAATTAATCCAGTATATGAATTGTTAAAAATCATCAAATATTTGTGTTGTATTCCTGTGCATAATATGGTGAATCGCTTCATGCTTTAAACATTATCAAGACGAAGTGAAGTCTTTGATGAAGTATTTAGGTACTCTGTAAAAGGAAGTATGGGATTTATTTAATATTTTTAGATAAACAACCTTTAAAGAGAAGGTAGAGTTCTGGGAAGAGGTGACAAACTATTTGTGAGCGTTATCATTGTATTATGCAAGTGTGAAAGAACATCAGAGAAAAAATGCTCCTTGAAAAGCATGGCTCATCAAATGCCCTAATATTCTAAATATGGCATGTATCATAACAATCGGGACAGATTTTTATGCCACATGTTCATGTAGTCCTATATACATATTTCTGTGTACAGTGCTTGTAAATTTACCAAGACTGGGCCAAATTTCTTTTCATTTTGATGATTCCAGAACCTTGCAGTACTTACATGCTAGATGATCAACCTTTTCTGATCCATTCCACAACGTTTCTTTCACATTGCAATCGCATGACCAGAACTCAACTTTATCTTTAACTAAGGGTTCTTTTGAAATACACTGTGGGGAGATATGACAAGTGGTATGGTATAAACAAAGGAAATAACAATGGAATTGAAATGATGATATAGTGATTGCAATTTTGTATTAAAAACCCTTGGGTTTAACAAAAAAAGATGTGCATTTTGGTACTTCTAAAAAATTATGGTGAATGTGTCAATGTGTTTGCAATCTTGTTCTAAGCTCCTACACTTTGTTTCTTCTCCTATTTGTAGGTGGGGCTGATTGCACCATAAGGTTATGGGATATCAGGCAAGGCGTTAAGCACACAGTGTAAGTATACATCATTCTCTCCCATTTAAGTGTGAAGTTTAAGAACAGTCAGGCATTTCTAATAGTCTTCTATTGTTATTGAAAGTAATTTTTGTGTAAAATGATTATCTTCAGGCTCAACATTTTTAATTTTTGTTTATTGAGATGATCAAATCAGCTTTAATTTCCAAAGTGATTTGTATAGGCCTATACTATTTGATAAGGAAAGATCTTGATGACCTTGTGTATATTAACATGGCTAACTTGCTTAAAGGAGAATGAAACACAACAAACAAATTTGTAAGCCTTTTATAATATCTTGAAATTGCTCCTATTTGATTACTTGGCAAGAAGAACCAGCTCTTGAAAATTTGCAGTTTCCTTCCTTCGATTGTCCCATGGGCGTCGCCCTACATATTCCTATTTTTTTTACAACACATGATTGTTATACATCAGTATAACAATTGTAGTTAATGGAAATGCTATGAGATGGATAAGGATATCTGAAGACTTTAGACTGGTTATTGAGGTGACACAATACATATATTGTGTTATAATACACTTCTAACACAAGTTTGAAATACAGTCAAACCTGCTTTAGTGACCAACAAATGTATTTTTTGTTTCCCTTAAAAATGGTTTCTCATTGAAACACGTACTAAAGAAACCTGTCTACAAAGGCCACTTTTGTGTTTCCCTTGGGTGGTCGCTATAGACAGGTTTGACTTTATATTCATATATTTTTTTTCAATTTGCTTTGCAGACCTGAAAGCGGTGGACATTCTGGAGAGCAAATGGCATCCATCTCTTCCAGACAGACTCACATTCACAAACTCTCCTTCTCCAAGTGCAACCTCCTACTTGCTGGTGGAGGTATTGCCATGGCAACCTGAAGAATGAATGATGCTGGTTGGTTACTCCAGCAACAACTCACATCTTTCTTCCAAGTTTAATCTTTGGCTCGCTTGTGGAGGTATTGCCATGGCGACCTGAAGAATGATGCTGGTGACTCCAGCAACAACAACTCGCATCTTTCTTCCAAGTTTCATCTTTGGCTCGCTGGTGGAGGTATTGCCATGGCAACCTGAAGATTGATGCTGGTTACTCCAGCAACAACAACTCGCATCTTTCTTCCAAGTTTCATCTTTGGTTCGCTGGTGGAGGTATTGCCATGGCGGCCTGATTATGAATGATGCTGGTACTGACTCCAGCAACTACTCGGATCCTTCTTCCAAGTTTCATCTTTGGCTTGCTGGCTCGCTGTTGGACGAAGAAGCAGGATTCTGATGAAGTATCACGCATTCCAAAACTTTGTCCCAAACTTCTACAGTCAAATCTGTCTATAGCGACCACCCAAGGGAAACACAAAAAGTGGTCTTTGTAGACAGGTTCCTTTAGTTCATGTTTCAATAAGAAACCATTTTCAAGGAAAAAAAAACATTTGGTCTTTAAAGACAGGTGGTCTTTGTAGACAGCTGGTCACTAAAGCAGGTTTGACTGTACTTGCATGTAGAGGAATTGCTAGTAGCTTCTTTGAGTATGAACCTGGTTACACCAATAACAACTTATATCCATCAATCTTCTAAGTTTTATTTACATCTTACTCAACAAGGTAGTTGCAGGATTGTGATTAAACATGAAACCTTCAGAAACTTTTGTCACGGACGTCTTGTTTGCTGGTGGAGGAATTGCCATAGCAACTATAACTCTGAAAGCTGGTAACTCGAGCAGCAACTCCCATCAATTGATATTCTAAGTTTCATTTCCATCTTGTCAAGAAGGATGCTGCAGGATTTTGATTAAAGGGATTGGGTAACTTTGTCTCAGATTCTGAAACAAAATCCTGGATTTAGCTCATGCTGCAATGATTATTATAAACCTTCGGGTCATTCAGGAACCCCATGACTTTAACAAGCCGATCGCCTGTCTAATTATCAAGATATTTATGATTGGAAATCGAAATTCAAAAATTTGTTTTCCTAACAGTTTTTATAACACTACAGGCTATTTGGAAAATGAGTATGGTATAACCGGTCACTTAAAGATTTTTACTTTTTTGAGGCCCTTCATGATCATTTTGAAGCGAATTTTTTTCAGGGCTTGAATATTACACTGTATCACAGACACTGATAACATTTAGGGCCATGCATCTCAGATTTAACATTGTTAAACGATGCCTTTAAGAATTAAATTCTATTTAGAGGGAAATCAATCTTGCCAAGATTTTGGAGAAACAATTAAAAACAGGAGAAACTTTGAGTACCATTACATGTCCCTTCCTTGAAAATGAAGTTTTCAAGTTTGTTAAAATCTTTTAAAATTGTATCCTTTACAACTTAGGTAACCATTATCAATCAATTTGGATCTTCCTGTTTTCAAGGTTGCATTCAAAAGTTTAAAACAGATCATTCTATACTCAAATATCCATAGGGATATAAAATAAGTTTATTTTCTACATAGAATGAAATAGAATGAGATATTTTGCTCAGTGTTCATGCATAGTGCAAGTCTTCGGGCTGTTGAAAACAGACCGGACAAATAGCAGGCTATTTTGCGAACTAGTCCAAGATATCTTGGGAAGATTTCCCGAGCAAATGGCCTGCTATTTGCGTCTTCACCTGCCAAATAGCCCGCTATTTCTTGATCAGGCTAATTTCCAGAATAAAAAAGCGGGCTATCTGGCAAACTGGAGCTGATGAGGACAGGCCTTCTGGTGCAATCTCAGCCATATTTTGAAGCATATTCAACCAATGTTATGAATAATATTTCAGACAAAATGTTGTTCAAGAATAAATTTAAACCTGTAGCTTATTTTCCAACAGGTCACTCTTACATATTTAAACCACATGTTTGCAACCTTGAGAATTGTGGTGATATCGGTAATGTGTGGGGCAAAATTACCTTGGAATTCCCAGACTTTTAATTATGCTCAGTAACCTTGATATGCATATGAAATAGTGTGAATTCATTTGTGAGAAAGATGTCGCTAAAAAAACATGTATTTATTGGAAATCTCAAAATGTGGGAGAACAAACTTAATATTACATTTGTATATGTTTGTAAATGTCAATAAATAAAAAAGAAATTTAAATTAACTTGAATTTTTGTTTCACTTGTGGTGCTACAGAGTAAAAACTTTGGAGCTGGAGAGTGAGGGGGAATGGAAGAGCAGGGAGAGAGAGAGAGAGAGAATGAGAGAGAGAGAGAGAGAGAGAGAGAGAGAGTGACAGACAGATATTGTTGCTGTTTTTTTGTTTTTTGTTTTTTGTTGGGGGGGGGGGGGGATCTGTTCCATTTTGAGGAGCAACCAGAAAGGGTATGGCAAGAGTGCCCCTTTCCTTGTTGGGGAGCCCATTTGTCAAAATTGACAGTGTGGTTACATGAATGGATTGTGTCTGTCTGCACTGAAATATATGAGTTTGGAATATACAAAAATAGATGTCATAATTGGGCCTAGGTACCAGTCCCTCCTTGATTACATATTACATATCTGTTAGGGAAACTTTCGGTAGTTATTTTAATCATTGTTTCACTGATATTAAGTTTACCATTCACTGATACTTTGGAGTTTAAAAAAAAAAAGAGTTTTTCTTTATAAAAAAATCCCTTTCATTTTAAAGGGGGAGGGAGGGGCAGGGAGGATTGAGCCCCCACCTCGGCACAGCATCGTGTATGTTTCACAAATGTGTAATTGCGTTCTGCCTTTTGAAACCATGGCAGTTCACAGATTTAATTTTGTTTTCCTATATCAAATTCATGTCGGCAAACTCCGGCTTCTTCTTTAAATCATCTTTTAAAATGTTCCACAGATATAAATATCTCTATTTTTCAAACCAGTTTCAAATTACAGCTGCATACTCGATCTGGTTTACATTCGGCATAGTTGCCTTGCCTATTAGAGTACCGAAGCTGTGACATCATAAACATCTATTTTTAGAATTTCTCAATTTTTTCTTCATTTTCCAAAAGAGCATCAAAATAATGTCCGAAAGTATTGGCTGAGATATGACCATCTGAATAAATATATGTCCTATGGGAACTCGGTGTTATAGTGCTCTGGTTCCTAATGTTATGAACCTGAGCACTATAACACTGAGTTTCCATAGGGAGGTGGGAGGGAAGGAGTATTCCTTTCTTTTAATTGAGGGGGGGGGGGTGTTAACCCCAAAACACCCCACCCCTGCGTACGCGCCTGATTGCTCGTGAGGAAGTCGTCAATTTGTCAATATTTTTTTTTTTTTAGTAATACTATCACGAGGGCAGTGCAGTGTGATGTAGTGTGGTGGTGCAGGGATGAGGCGGGTGAGGTGTAACTCTCTCTTTATAAAAAAAAAAGAGTTAATTTTCACTCTATTTTCACTTGTGACGTCCGTGATCACTTGTTTAGGAGTGAAAATCAATTGATTTTAAAGTGCTCTTTAAGAAGAAAAGAGTGAATGATCACTCTATTTCCACTACATTTTTACTCTCCAGAGGAGTGACGTCCGTGATCACTCGATTTTTTTTAGAGAGAGTTAAAGGGGGTGGGTGGAGGGGGAATAACAGCAGTGGGAGAGAGAGAGAGAGGGGTAGGCAAAGGTACAGGGAGGGGGCTCTAAGACAATAAACCACGCCCTGGCGATCACCCCCGGCCAATTACCAGCGGGACAATAATTACCCCCTCCCCCAAAGGACAATTCCCCTCGGAAAATCACACCCTTGGGACAACCACCACCGAGGACAATTACCCCCGGAATATTATAGGACAGTCACCCCGGGAACAATTAAAACAGAACAGGTGGCCCTTTTAATGAACAGGCGGAATGGGGGGTGGGGGCGGGGGAAGAGTAGAGCGAGGGAGGGAGAGAGAGAGAGAAATAGAGAGAGAGAGAGAGAGAGAGAGAGAAATAGAGAGAGAGAGAGAGAGAGGGGGGAGAGGCTGATTGAGATAGTGAAGGGAGGTCGGGAATGGGGGAGAGAGAGAGAGAGAGAGAGAGAGTGTGTGTGTGTGTGTGTGTGTGTGTGGAGGGGGGGGGGGGGGGGTAGTGAGAGAACCAATTTTTTTTGCCCCCGCGAATGTGAAAATCGCGCCGACCGGTATTTCGCTCAGTGGGGGGGGGGGGGGGGGGGGGGGAGGAGTATTCATTTTTTTTTTAATTGAGGGGGTGGGGGTTTAACCCCCCAAACACTCCCCCCCCCCCGATGTGTACGACAAGAATCTTTAGTGTTTATGTTTATCAAGTGTTTTATGTGATCTATTTAAAAGGGGAAGTCCACCCTGATATTATTAAGTTGGTTTCAATAGAAGCAGTGAATTCTTGAAGTTGCGATAAATCAAACACAAATTAGGATACTAAGTGAAGTATCTTGCGAGCTCCTCTCCAATTTGCTCTGTAGGGCCCTATAGAAAATATCAAAATCTTTCGTTTTCTTAGTTATTGATGACGGAATAGATTTTGTTTCGTACAGGGTTGTATAAACAAAACATATATATGCAATAATTATATATAGAGTGAATGTGTGATTGAAAACTTTCTTTAGGGAAAATATAAATATTTGAAATTTCTTATTACAGTGCAAATGGGAAAACAGGTTTTTCTACAATACTTATTCGTACATTTTGAAGGATATTATGCGAGGGACCGAGCGAGAAGATTTTTTCATTTGTATTAGTCTAAACACTGCACTCTCGGGCCCTCCAGAGCCTAAAAGCGTGTTGCAGTCTTCAGTCAGTATTTGCTATACATTTTCGTTTGTATTTTTCATATTTTTCGGGAGTGGGATGACCCCCCCCCCCCTCCCCCCTAAAAGAAAAATTGAGGGCCTCTGGTGTATCTGGATCCCACCTTTAATATTATCACTGGCAGAAAATCAAAACAAAACAAAAGTTGAAGAGAATGTATGCCATGTGATCAGTGTAACCGGCACCCGGCCATGTGATCAGTTTATTCTCCTTTATTATGTTTCATTTCCTCTTTTATTTCCACGTGATCCAATCAGGAAAAAAGAGATACTTGAAAGTTCCAGACACCTTTCGGTATAATTCATATGGGCTGTATTTTGTATGTAAATAAATACTTAACTAGTAACGTTCTTTTCTGCACAATCGCACATAATGCAAATGATATAGGAGTGAATAGCTCGATCAGATCACGTCGGCCCCTAGCTGCAAGCTGATTGGAGGGAAGAGTGCGCGTTACTGAATTAAAGTGCTGAAGAAGCAATACACCAGTTTACAGTTGTATCAGTGCGCATGCGCAGACAGTTGATCTCGGGTCACTGGCCCCGGAAGCGGGGTCAGTGGCCCCGGAAGCGGGGCCAATAACTTTTGACCAGTGGTATTTATGCGTAAATTAAGATTGCGCCCATGCAAATGATGATGTGCGCGCACAACGCAGCGCGTAGGGCAGTGATAAATTTGCATGGGCGCAATCCTAATTTACGCATAAATACATGACCTCTAGGTCATTGGCTTTGTTTAAAATGGCGCACACAACTGTAAACTGGACGTCAAGAACACAATACACCAGTTTACAGTTGTGTGCGCCATTTTAAACAAAGCCAATGACCTAGAGGTCATGTATTTATGCGTAAATTAGGATTGCGCCCATGCAAATTTTGATGATATCACTGCCCTACGCGCTGCGTTGTGCGCGCACATCATCATTTGCATGGGCGCAATCTTAATTTACGCATAAATACCACTGGTCAAAAGTTATTGGCCCCGCTTCCGGGGCCACTGACCCCGCTTCCGGGGCCAGTGACCCGAGATCAACTGTCTGCGCATGCGCACTGATACAACTGTAAACTGGTGTATTCCCATCGTGAATCTGATTGGACAAAAGTTTTAGCGTTATACGCAGTCACCATTGTGACGTCACTTTATATCGACAGTAGCTAGGTTGATAATATAACACAATCGTACTAGTATGTTATGATTTAGGTTAAAAATTAAACTTTGTTTCTGATAAACAGAACGGCGAAAGTTTGAAATAAATTATAACACAAGAACATTAGGAGTGTTTAAAACATGATATCACTACACCTCGTATATAATTTATGCGAATCTCAAATCGGGAATTAGATTTATACTGGATTAATTGTAACCTAGGCCTAGTGTACAAAAATATCACGCAATTCTGTTTCTCCGATTTCGTTCAAATGTTCATCACCATGCAGTCTGCTTCTCTAATTTGTATGCATTATATTAGAGTAGTCTGCTATATTGTACGCCAAGAATCATAAATATTTTATGTGATCCATCTTAGAACAGTGTACGTGACTAAATCCTACCTTTAATATTATCGCTGGCAGTAAATGAAAACAAAGCAAAAGGTGAAGGAAATGTCTGGCATGTGATCAGTCAATCCCTACATGTAAATTGTATTAGGTCTAGTTATCAGTCCGCATATTTCTTAAGCGTTTCATTTTGTCTTTTATTTTCAGGTTATCGGATGAGGGGAGGGGAAAAAAGATACATGTCAGTTTTGAAGACGCCTTTCTGCTTGTATATTGGCTATAATTCTAACTAGTACATTGAGCTTTTGAGAAATAACTTGCTAAAAAACGACTAGCTGAGATAAAAACAAACAAACTCGAATTCGCTAGTGGATATTCATTGGAGCGTGAACGGAGGTAGAACTCGCGTTCGTAACTCGGAGACCGCTGTAAGATCCCATATTTCAAGGTACGTGTTGCTTATTTTTATACAGCAAAGATTCCACAATTTGTTTTGAAAGTCTAAGAATATATTGAGATAAACATATACATTGAAACACAATAGAAAAGGTGTTTTAACGAGAATTCTAAAGTGGTTGATTGTTCACTCTGCAGAGTTCTTTTTGTTGCGGTTGCCGAACTCTCTCATCGCCTTAACTTCCCCGGTACCTGTGGGGTGTAATGCCTTCACCCTTCGCTTCAACCGTACAACACAGGGCTCGGTTGCACAGCTGTTGCTGTTGATTTGAGCTTGGGCTGTCATTCAAATTGGAATATTTGCGCCATATTCTTTGCTTTTTGAAGATTTTATTGTGACGTTGTGAAATGAGAAAATCAAAGGAAAGGGTACTATTTGACAGGTGACTGCAGGGGTGGAAGATCATTTCAAAGTGTTGGGGGTGGGGCACCAATTTCAAAAAGGGCTCATTCTAGGAAAGGGGGGGGGGGGCACCTACAAAGGGAAACCTACAAAGGGAAACCTCAAAGCAAACATATATTTTTTAGACATTTGTATATGAGTACCCCTACATTTTGATTACATTATCACATCAGGGCTTCCAGTGTTTGTTTCTCTCCAACATGGTCCAATATATAGATATCAGCAGCGTACTTTTCCATAGATACGTAATGGTCTGAATATTCATTTGCAAGTGAGTGAAGCGAGCAAGCAAGCAAGCAATCAACCAAAAAAAAAAAAAAAAAAAAAAATCTGATTTGTGAGGTCACAGTGTAAAAAATGACATCTTATATATATATATATATATATTTATATATATATATAGAGAGAGAGAGAGAGAGAGAGAGACCCTGGTGGGGGTTTTAAGCACAATCGTGAAAGACTGAAAAAGACTTTAATAAGTAACACAATTTATATCAACTATAAATGCGACAAGTGTAGCGAGCTTTTACGGAAATCAAAACTTATCAGAAGGGAAAAGGACAACTATTAGAAAAGAAAAGGAGCATTTGTCAAAGTAAAAAGGGAAATTATAAGAGTTACCGGTAAACAATCTAGCTCTACAAGAGTGTCAAGTTTCAAATCACTTTGATCACATCACCTCTAATATCATTGTGCAACTGTGCATTAACAGATCTAAACAAATCTCAGGCAATTTTTGAAGAAAAAAAAAAAATTCTTGCCATTAGATAACAAGTTGGTGTCCGGGAAACAGTAGGCCTACCATAGACTGAAATATATTTTGCAGAACAGAATTCATTGTTAAAGTAGACACACAAAGAATCAAAAGTGTTTTGAATTGATGCAAAACTCATATCATTGCCAAGGGGAAGCCTTACTGATCAAATACAACAACTCTCCTCTTCAAAATATGTTTGGGGCCCGCAGTAATCAACTCTCAAAAATGTTAGTTTTGAGATCCAGATTTTCTGCCTTCAGCAGTCCTTTGTAGAGCGTCAATATTTGTAACGTCACACACGGGACACGGCTGGCTAGCTGCAGACTAATACACGCGCGACTTCGGTATTGAGCTGTTTGTCCAGTGTGTGACGTCACTATATTCAGAGCTCGCTACGCTCGTGTGTTTGGCTTACATTCAAGGGCGTTCGGGGAACTAAGAAGGGTCTTGACAAATTGCATTTTAAGCCTTTCCATGATATCTATATGATTTCTCAGCAAATTTTTCGTGTTTTTCAAGAGAAAATCTTTCCATCCATATGTAATTTGTTCTAATTATCAGTTGTAGTGAATTTTTCTTTGTGTAGCTCCTTAAAAAAAATATGAAATATGTGATGTCTTTTATTTGTGTAGGTGCATCAAGGGAGTCTATACAGTGACTATGTGACATCCATATCCTAGGGCAAAGAATCCATTGTCTACAATGGAGTCCTTATCCACCCTAGCAAACATGTTGCCCTCGACGACCAACATTCCGTTGCCCCTGTCGGACATACTGTGGATGGTCATCCTTGGTTTTGTTATCTCCTTTATCTTGTCTATCGCCATCGGTGCTAATGATGTGGCCAACTCATTTGGGACGTCTGTGGGTGCAAAGGTCAGTTCATATACTACTTTATCCATTAAAGGTAATACAAAGTTTTGGGAAATTTTGAAAATGGCCGGATGGCGATTCTTTAAAATGTTGATGGATGCCCCAGAGGATTTATTATAAGCACTAGAAATATTTTGATAAATTTCAAATAGCTTATACGGCCATCCAGTGTTAGCTGCGACCATGAATATCTCAGAATATGCTATCGTGATAATTTCCAACCGGGAATAGCAAATTGGTCGATTTTAGTCAAGAAACATTGTTTTAAAGCTAAATTAATATCTGGACCTTGAGAGGGAACTATACAACATAAAGACTTTGTTATTTACAATTTCATCACATTAGACTCGATTGCAACCGCGACAACGCAGTAGGATCACATATGCTTCCAATATGTTCACTGGAACCAAATTCATGACACCATGTCAAAACTTAGTTTGCATTACCTTTAATAGGGTGTAGACTCATTGGTAATAAGGCGGAAGATACCTGACTGAATTACAGGAGCAAACTGTAAAATGTATTAAAGCCTTATTATGTGATAAGTAGGGCTAGTCCAAGTTACATTTGTTATAATTGAAACAAATTCAGTCTGTTCCTTGCCCCTGTGAAATGACATTGTCTGTGCATTTACTAGTATTTCCTTAGCCCACAAGGGCATATGGGAGAGGCAGGGGCAGGGGCATTTTGGGAAAAAAATTAAAATGAACATTTAGGGGTAAAGGGGGTCCTTCCTCCCCTTCAAAGCCTTGGGAGGGCTGGCATGATTCCTGAAAAATTTGCAGAGAACATTTGTTTGACTAGTGTTTGATATGTTAACGTTTTCATATTATTATTATTTAATCCAGGTACTGACACTACATCAAGCCTTGTTCTTTGCAACCATCTTTGAGACACTTGGTGCTGTGCTCATGGGGTCGAAGGTCGCCCAAACCATTCAGAAAGGAATATTCAATGTTGAGATGTACATTGGAAGGGAGGAGACGCTGGTTTTAGGTGAAATATCTGCTCTTGCAGGTGAGACTCAGACTTGTTTCATGATGATCAAATGAAGTAACCTATATGCAGGAAATTGCCCATTTTTTGTGGTTTGGCTCAATAACCTTGGATTCCAACCCCCCCCCCCCCCCCCCCCCCCCCCCCCCCCCCTAAAAAAAAAAAAAATAAAAATAAAAAATAATAATAATAATAATTAAAAAAAAAAAAGAAACAATATACATATATATATATATATATATATACAGGGCGTATCATAATAAAGGATATTGAAGTTTAATGACGATTTATATGAAAACTACTGATTTCATAATCAAGCATTTTATGTCTGTTGTAAAGGACAGAATGTCCTCTTGTTAATGACACCCCGATCATACTACTACTGTCACAGTTGACTGAATAACAAAGCATTGCTGTCCACCATGTGAAAGGTGCACTGTGACAAGTTAGCATTCACAGATAAATTCTAAAGATCAGTGCTTGTGTCAGCCCAGACATATTGAAATGCTGAACAATGACTGGATTATGTGTCTAAGAAGGAAATGTTATCAAACTTGGCACAGTGCACCTTTCACATGGTGGACAGCAATGCTTTGTTATTCAGTCAACTGTGACAGTAGTAGTATGATCGGGGTGTCATTAACAAGAGGACATTCTGTCCTTTACAACAGACATAAAATGCTTGATTATGAAATCAGTAGTTTTCATATAAATCGTCATTAAACTTCAATATCCTTTATTATGATACGCCCTGTATATACAGTGTGTCTCTAAAAAAAGTAAACCCAACTTCAACGGCAAATTTTCAGAAAACTATAAAATATTTACACATTATTTTTTCATGGTTAGATAGTCCAATAAGTCCTCTGTCCAATTATATCACTTAGGTTATCTGACGCTCATGCATGACTGAGCATGATTCAACTTAGTGAACTGGTGTCAAATCATCACTGTGGCAAGTTATTTCTTGCTATTGTCATGCATTCAGGGCCTATTTGAAGTTAAATCTTTGTCACATGTTAGGCCTATGATTACATAACAACTTCAGCAAAGGTTGTTCCTAACACAGGCACACTTCACATGCTTTCCAAACATGGTACAGTTGACAATTGAGCAGAGAGTATTCCTGGTAACTCGATACCAGGAAACAAGAAGTTTCGTGGAAGTTCAAGATGCTTTTCGGGTGCAGTTCCCCGAGAGGCAGCCTCCAACAAAAAGAGCCATCTGGTACAATGTGAGAAAGTATGCTGATCACGGAACCAGTTTGAACAGGAATAAAGGACACTCTGGCCACAGACGAACTGGGAGGTCTGCTGAAAACATCCAAGTGGTAAGAGAGGCCATCCAAGCCAACCCACGCATAAGCACCAGGAGAAATGATACTGGAATACCACGCGCAACTTTTAACAGAATAGCAAGACTGGATTTGCATCTCCATCCATATCATGTTCATGTTCAGCACCAACTTCTACCAGCTGATTTTCCCAGACGACTTCAATTTTCACAATGGTTTGTGAACCGGTGCAACCGAGATCGACAGTTCCTCCAGTTTTTTACCATCGGGGATGAAGCAACGTTTTCCATGGATGGAATGGTAAACACCCACAATGAGCACGAGTATGCTGAACTCCATCATCCACCGGGATATGCTTTTAATAAGAACATGAGCAGGGAGAAAGTGAGTGTCTGGATTGGTCTTTGTGGCAATGGTTCATTGGTGGGACCTTACTTTTTTGAAGGCAACATCAATGGCAGGGCGTACCTTGACATGCTGAACAATTTTATTGTGCCTGAGATGGAACAGATCTTCCCCCGACAACGACGTGGAGCATTCCGCAGGGCCTGGTGGGCTCAGGATGGGGCCCCAGCCCACAGACTTATTGCTGTGAGGAATCGTTTGACTGAACTCTTTGGCAATCGCATCATTGCTCTTCATTTCCCAGTTGAGTGGCCTGCACGTTCACCAGATCTGACACCATGCGATTTCTTTCTTTGGGGGTATCTTAAAGGAAAAGTGTTCCAAACCCCACCGGCCACAATTCAGGAGCTGAGGCAACAGATAACAGGTGAAGTGAACCGATTACGACAAGATCAGGGAATGATCAGGCGTGCTGTCAGGGACATGAGGAGGCGTTGCGAGCTTTGCATGGAAAGGAATGGTGGTCATGTCGAGGGTACACATCCCTAAGCTATGCTTGTAAGAAATCAGACATTTCCTATGTCATTTGATTGATGAACTTCCAGTGCAATTCTAACTTGCCACAGTGATGATTTCACACCCATTCACTAAGTTGAATCATGCTCAGTCATGCATGAGAGTTACATAACCTACGTGGTATCATTGGACAGAGGACTTATAGGACTATCTAACCATAAAAAATAATGTGTAAATATTTTATAGTTTTCTGAAAATTTGCCGTTGAAGTTGGGTTTACTTTTTTTAGAGACACACTGTATATATATATTCATATATATATATATATACCATATATGATACAATGAGCAGAAAGATACAATTTGCATAATTCAACTGTTTTTATTTTTGATCTCACAAAGAAAGAAAATAGAATATATTACAATACATGTTCCCTTCATTCCACTTTATCATAAGCTGATTGATTGTAGAAATGGGTTTGTCCTTCAAACATAAGTTTAAAATATTGTATTTGTTTCATTTGCTGTAGGATGTGCAGTGTGGCTATTTATTGCAACAGCCTTTAAAATGCCAGTCTCAACAACGCACAGCATTGTGGGAGCTACGCTGGGTTTCCATTTTGTTGTCTTTGGTATTGAGGGCATTCAGTGGCTTCAAGTTGGCTTGATAGGTATGTAGACCAATAACTTAATTAATCTATAACAAAGTAAAATAAATATACAAAATATGACAGCAGGGTCATTATCATTCTTTCAATGTATGTGATATTAGTGAATGAGGATTGGGGAGAATGGCCATATAAAGAAAAAAAAAAGACCCTAGATTTCTCCACTCGTTTATAAGCTGTTATGGCATTACATTTTTGTGAAAATATGATAGTAGCTGCCTCAATCTGAAACCCCGCTCATGTCAAGGAATGCATGCTGCACTGCCAGCATCTGTTCAATTTATTCATAGTTCTTTCTGAGCCATCTGTTGTGCACTGGAGGTGCATGTACAGATTCTTCTTTTGTATCATGCAGTATTTGTGTCTAGGCTATTGAAACATAATTTTGGCTAAAAAAAAACCCATTGCAGTGACAAATAACAACAAAGAATTTGTTATCATTGAATGACTCTCTTGTAGTAACAAAGGGGTGTTTGGAGCTCAAATATTTGTTCCATATTCATAATTACTTTAAAACAAGGAGTTATGAGGCTTAAAACAACTGTATGTTTTTTAATTTTTTTTTATACCTGATGCTTACAAGTGTAAACCATTGAATAAGCTTTCTACGGGTGCCCTCCCTTTTTTCTATTTCATGTTTGTTTTAATACATTTGATCATATACCCAACCAAGTGTATTTATGTTATATTGTACTGAATTTATTAAAATTTAGTGTATATTTGTATGTTTATAATGTAAATAGATGATTGAATGAATTGCAGAAGAAAAATTGAATTGAACCATTCTGCATGCATGCAACATTGCTTTACAAAAAAAGAAAATTATAAATTCATTAAAAAAAATATTGATATTTTTCTAATGCCTATCACTCCCAAAACAGTTATATCCTGGATAACATCACCAGTTTTATCAGGTATTTTTTCTTCACTCATCTTTTTCATCCTGAGATACTTCATTCTGAGAAAGGTGAGATATGTTTGGCAACCAGTCTTAAAGCCTATCTGCACTAGTTTGGCCAAGAGGGATTAGACCTCCCTGCATGGTCACTGACAGGTGGTTATCTCATCAAATCAGCTCTCAATGAACATAAGAAAAAGGGGATCATTTGGGGACCAACGGGTACCGCTTAGGCATTGTTTGCTATGTAGTGGGCACAAATAGTGCAGTACTGTAATACTTAAGGCAATGTGAAACCTTTAAACCCTTATGTACTGCAGTATTCATTGAAGTTTAGACGTTGGAAAGATATCTTGAGTGCTTGGTTGACATCAGAATTTCTACATCATTATTATGTAATTTCATGTAATGGAATAAAAGGAGATTGCCACTATTTTAAATTTATCTTAATCAGTACTTGCATCAATACAAATCATGATGTCCAAATTTGCTCAATAATTGTAGCTTTGAAACAATATACATGTATGTTTTCATGACAATATTTTCCTTGTTATTCATAGAAAGAACCTCTGGAGCCTGGTCTTAGATTGTTGCCAATTTGGTATGGCTTAGTGATCATCGTCAACTTCTTCTCCATATTTTATGATGGACCAACGAGTGAGTTAGCACATTCATTTAGTATTTGTATAATTATGTTACTTTTTTAGAATAATTACAAAAGTAAAGACTCTTACCTGTATTTTTGAGGAGCTTATATATTCATATATATATATATATATATATATATATATATATATATATATATATATATATATATAAATACATGTATATGATGTGAATTCCAGATCTAGAGTCATTTTTATCTAAGACAGCCCTTTACAGTGTGTAAAATATAGCATGTTCCATCAGTGCTCATAAGTTGTTGAAAGCAGAAATTGATTCAAAAGAAGTTTGTTTTTTATCTTGAAAGCAAAAAGGGCATTAATGTGTAAAATGGTCCATTTCTGACTTTCTGTAGATGGTATGTGCACAGGGGTAAACTGAGGAACAGACTTATAATTGACCAACTGGTTCGATTGCAAAAAATGTCTGCTGAGAGCAAAAAGGGCATTAAACTTTTCTTGAATAATATCACTTAATACCCTTCTGACTCACAGCAGGTTGTATGAGAATCAGATTTAATTATTCAACTGGTTTGAGTGCAGAATTCATTCAAAAATGGCTATGTAATTGAGGTGTCTGTTGACATGTGATGAATTCCCTTCTTGCTCCTTTGTTTAATAATGGACTTGCGACCTTATGTCTCTGATCATGCAGCCCTAGGTTTTGATCGCATACCTCTGTGGGGAACCTTTCTGCTTAGCTTTGGATCTGGTATCCTCGTCGGACTGGCTGTCTGGTTTATTATGGTTCCGTATATCAGGAGAAAGATAATAGGTGAGAATTTGAAATTTATTCATTTATGTATCTATTTATTTATCTATCTATCCATCTATCCATCCATCCTTCTATCCATCCATCCATTCATTCATTCATTCATTCATTCATTCATTCATTCATTCATCCATTCATTCATTTATTCATCCATTCATTCATTCATTCATTCATTCATTCATTCTTTCTTTCATTTAATAATTAGTTTATGTATGTTAAGTGAATGGTTGAGTGAATGAGTGAGTGAGTTAGAGTAAGGAGTAAATACTTTTATGTATGTGTTATAGGGGCGTGTTCACACCGCAAGGGGGGACCGTGGGCGGACGGTGGATCGCGCTATTGTAGCGCGACCCACGGTCCGCCCATTGGCATTCGCCGGATCCACACCACAGTGAGACAGCGCGGTCTATCGTAGCTCCCCCTTTTTTGAGAGGTCCTGTTGCCATGACGCGTGACGTCATGAGGTCAGAGCGGTCAAAGATTTTGCGTGCTATTACGAACCCGGAGTGTTGACTGGTACCGATTCATATTCAGATTGCACCAAAAAAGAATGAGTATAAAATTCCCCGTGTGTAGAACGATGACTTCCGGCGTGCTATCGTAGCTTGGGTTCACACCGGCAGAGATAGCGCGGTCTAGCACGTGATAGCGCGCGCTAGACCGCGCTATCTCTCGTGGACCACCCCCAAGAGTTGCTCCAGTGGCACGCCATTTTGCCTCGCCATGGCTCGCTGTTGAGCGGACCGAAATGACGTTATACCTTCCACACCGCACCAGACCAGACCGCGCTATCTCTGCCGGTGTGAACAGCCTCATAGACTTTATTTATGTAACAATAAATAGCTACACTGCTGTTCAATAGTTAATGTAAGTAGGTACTTCTAAATTTATTAGATGTCTCTCTTTTCTTCTTTGATCAAGCTTAATTTACAACTAATTAAACAAATATAATGAAGAGTAGACGTTTTGAGGTTTTCACTCACGTTTAATTGACTACTCCACATTGGTTCATAAGTGAAATGATCCTTTCTATGAATCCTCTGAATTTCTATTGATCAAGTATTACCAGGGGCCCGTTTCACAAAGCCTTTTTTCAATGACAAATGACAAAAATCAGTGACAAATCTGCTGATAACCAATCAGAAGCAAGGATTTCAGTAGCTTATAACAAAAACTGTCATTTGTCACTGATGACAAGTTTTGTGTCACGCCCTCCAGGAATGAGCAGCCAGGAAGAGAACCGAGCAGAGGAGACGCAATCAGTTTTTAAGGAGAAGAGGAGGTATACTTGCCACGACAACAAGACCGACAAAGTCAGTTTGATAACTGGAGCTGAGCCAATATCAGCAGTTGATGACAAAGCCAGCGAGGACTTAGCAAATGAAAATTGTGTGGAAGCGGAAAGAAAAGATACCGAAAGGACAAGAATGGAAGATGGAGATAGACGACAGAATGAAAGCGGGGCAGATGGAGATGATACGTCAGGTAGAGGCACATCGGTACTGTCTGAAGAGGTACGAGATCATCCCCATGTGACTGTCCTTTGCTCCCCTTTACAAGTCTTGTCAGCCATCTTTGCCAGCTTTGCACATGGAGGAAACGATGTAAGGTGAGTAATTTAGACTACCAAGGATTTTTAATCTCCGGTTCAGAAATTTTTGACTTAATTAAAGCCCCTCTGCACTAGTCTGGCACGGAGGGATTAGACCACCCTGCAAGGTCACTGGCAGGTGGTTATCTCATCAAATCGGCTCTCAACTAACATAAGTAAAAGGGCATCATGGGGTATTAACGAATACCGCGCTTAGGTATTGTTGGCTGTATAGAGGGCGCAAGTAGCGAAATTGCATGATTTTTTTCTTGTGAAAAAAACCATACACAAGCTAGTGCATGAAAATAATATAGATCTGGATACTTTCAGGAAAAACATAATTAATGCTCTATAGCAACAGTAAGAACAAAGCTTCAGCCAACAGTTGTACAGTTATACCTAGTCATTTATTAAGGTTGTGAGCATGCAACTAGCATAGACAGCAGATATTAAGCAGAAACACGCCTCAAGAGGGCAGCAAACCTATGGCATAGTGTGTTCAGAGCAAAGTTTGTTGTCATCCTCTTGTTCTTCTTTGATTTCTTTCAATTCAGTTCAGAACTTTATTTCAGACTCAGCTTCACTAGGCAAAGGTCCATAAAACATATGTTACATAGGTATATAAGGAAAAGAGCCGAGTATAAACGTGATGAGTACAGTAACAACGAATCTTACAAAGAGTATAACAAACTAAACTATATAGCAATCGACCTTGAATTTTGGGATATCATCATTTAACTGTTTCTATTAAATGTTTAAATGATATCAAAATGTATGGTCTTAGAAATAGATGGCTCACATTTTAAAAACATTTCCTTCAAACATTAATATGATATCATTACAACATTTCATTCAAACATTAATATGATATCATTACAACATTTAATTAACATTTCTAAAATAACATATTAAAAACATTTAAGAATAACAATATTGTAATGTTTTTTTGAAATGTTATAATGATATCAAAATGTATGGTCTTAGAAAAAGATGGCTCACATTTTAAAAACATTTCCTTCAAACATTTATAAGATATCATTACAACATTTAATTAACATTTCTAAGTTAATATTTTAAAAACATTTTGGGATATCATCATTCAAATGTTTCTATTAAATGTTTAGATGATATCAAAATGTATGGTCTTAGAAGTAGATGGCTCACATTTTAAAAACATTTCCTTCAAACATTAATAAGATATCATTACAACATTTCATTAAAATTTCTAAAGTAATGTATTAAAAACATTTGAGAATAACAATATTGTAATGTTTCTATGAAATGTTAAAATGACATCAAAATGTATGGTCTCAGAAAAAGATGGCTGACATTTTCATAACATTTCCTTCAAATGTTTGAAATATATCATTAATATGTTATATCAACATTTTTGATAATATCAGATTGATATTGTTATTATGTTTAAGCTTAATGTTAAACAAATATTTTTAAAATGTTTTTTGGATGTTGGTGTCTAATGTTATAAATATGTTTTCTTAATAATCACAAGACCATACATTTTCATATGATTTTAACATTTGAACAAAACATTTCCCAAACGTTTAGCCAAACATTATCATGATGTTCTTATAATGTTTTTGTGTTAGCTGGGAAGCTGCATGTACATGTCACTGCAAGATTAAAATAAGTACATGTTTATTTGAACTTGTAAAGTGTTGTATATGTGAGAAATGCACAATGAGAATTTAGCAGTACCATACTAAATTCATCTTGTAAAAAATTGAATTGATAACATTTCAATCAATAAAGCGATTGAAAGATAGTTTCCTGCCTATTTCCATGAATTCAGTTGTTGAATAGATAACTGTAATGAAGAAAAGTCAAATCAACTTTTTGAAGAAGAAAAATAGCAAATTTCCCTTGTGGAATAACTCGTCAGCTGTAATCTCCACCTAATGTTTTTCTTGACTCAGTAACGCCATTGGCCCGCTGATAGCTATCTGGTTGATCTACCGGACCGGGGACATTGCCCAGGATGAACCCACGCCTCTCTGGGTGCTATTCTACGGAGCCTTGGGCATCTCTCTAGGACTATGGTTACTAGGGCGTCGGGTGATCCAGACGGTGGGAGAAGACATCACTACACTAACGCCATCAAGGTGAGAATGAGGTGCTGCATGGAGGGTGTTTCACGAAGACTAAGATCAACTTTAAGTTGGACTTAACTATGGCAGGCTGTTCATGCCACTAGTTGCTCTCACCATTTATCTCAATTATGATCTTTGGATAATATTTTTTTCTTCAATAATGAACTATTAAAAAAAAGGTGAATTCTGTAGATTTGTGACCACAATTTGAACGTCCCTTGAGAAACCATTGCCAGGAATGGTTAGAGAAACTAGTGGCATGAAAGGCCTGCCATAGTTAGGTTCAACCTAATGTTGATCTAAGACTTTTTGAAACACTCCCCAGATCCAGCAGGATTCAGTAAAGAAGAAAAAGGGGGGGGGGGGGATAATGCCGAGGAATCTTTGAAATGCAACAAGAAAAACTGTGTTATTAAAGGAGAATACCAGATTGTATCGGGAGGGAGTGGGGGGGGGGGGGGAGGTCTCAAGTAAGTTGTTATGTCTGGTCCCCGTCTTATAAAGAGTTGCGATTGATCCATAGCAATCGCAACTCTGGCCGCCACCAATCAACTGCAAATTTGTAGTCTCTTATCTCTTATGTACATATTTGCAACTGATATCAATTGCAAATAAGCTGCGATTATTATCAACTCTTTATAAGACGGGCCATAAATCTGCCAGTGATAGCCCAACCAGAGGAAAGGTTTGAGGAAACTTTGTATAATGAGCATTCTTTGAAATTTTGGTCTCAATTTAAGAATTTCACATTTAAAACATGTCTTGATTGTTTGTGATGATGATGATGATTTAAAGCAACAACAACAGCAAAAACCTTGATGACAATTACAACAATAACAACAACTGTTATTTATATTTCACTTCAGCAAATTGAATTAAGCGCTTACTTTCTGAATTATTGCCATTTTTAAGAGCATAGGCACCTGGCTGGAATAACTACCAGTATTTATCATCTTGATTTGAATTTGCATCTGTTTGCAGTGGCTTTTCGGTGGAGCTTGGTGCTGCCATGACGGTGCTGCTGGCATCCAACGTGGGCATCCCGATCAGCACGACCCACTGCAAGATCGGATCCGTGGTATCTGTCGGCTGGTTACGATCGAGAGAAGCGGTCAACTGGTCACTCTTTGGCACCATTGTCCTGGCCTGGGGGGTGACCCTTCCGGCTACGATGGGTCTGTCTGCGGCCATCATGGCCCTCCTGCAGCTTGCGTATTAAAGAGAAGGTTGAGTTCTGGGAAGAGGTGAAAAATAATTTGTGAGCGTTATCATTCTTATGATGCAAGTGTGGAAGAACATCAGATAAGACATGTTCCCTGAAAAGCATGGCTCTTCAAATGCCTTCATATTCTAAATATGTCATGTAACATCGTACAAATCCGGGTAGGATTTGTACGCCACGTGTTTGTGTAAGTCCCATATACATCTTTCTGTGTACAGTGTTTGTAACTTTACCAAGTCTTGGCCAAATTTCTTATCATCTTGATGATTCCAGAACCTTGCAATACACACAAATTCTTATATGCTAGATGATCAACCTTTTCTGGTCGATTCCACACCATTTCTTTCACAATGCAACCACATGACCAGAACTCAACTTTGTCTTTAAGTATCAATTCATCTGTTTGGAGCCAAAAGGTTGTTGCACCACCCATAAGCCCCATCCATGATCCTATGTAGGACTATGTTGAACAGTCACTGCTGCACCTGTGTTAAAAAAAAAATTAAAAAAAAAAAAAAAATCATGAATGATTTGGCAGAGATCCGCAATGTGGTTGAACAACCCAAACCTGCCCCCAATTTTCACTGCCAGATGACGATTAGATGACGATTCAGTCGTATTGGAACGGCAGAGATAAATCTGTACATGCCGAAAAAACTAGACTATTAGCTTATGAGCAGTCGAGGAACGGGAATAAATTGTTAAAACTCCTTATGGAGTTTTTTTAACAAGGAGCAGTTCGTCGCCTGGCTGGCAGAAGGTAAAAAATGAAGCGCTAAGCAGAGGGGCGTTATAGCACTAAATCTCCTCAGACTTTTATAAAACTGACTTATTTCTGAGAACAAATTTGTGGCTGTGTTCTACTATAATATTTCTATTAGTCTTTTAAGTTTTAAACCACTTTTCGAGACGGAAAGCAGTTTAAATATAAAACAAATCTTTAAATGTGAATAATTTGAAAAGTAGTTTACGAGTCGCTCGCGCTCTAACGCCCTTCGGCTAGCCGGGCGACCAGTTATCCACATATACTTTTAAAGCCCAACTCCACTCGAAAAATAACTTATTTTCAATGGAACCAGAAATATCAGACAAACCAATCAAAAAAAGTTTGAGCTAAATCGGATTACTAATAAGAAAGTTATGAATTGTTAATGACATGAAAAACTTTGAATATCACTACACAAATTGGCAACTCACTCATGAGTCTGTGACGTATGGTCCTCACTATCCACTAATTATTTTCTGTATATTGATAATATAAATTTTCTATTTTCACCCTAAGAATCTTAATTCTTCACACCAGCATCCAAGTTAAGATTGTTAGTAATATGTGTTTGTGTGGATACACAAATAAAGAGTAATTTTTGTCCAGTTAAATCATGAAAATATTGAATTTTGATAAACTATTTATATAAAAATCAATAATTATGAAATACAATATTCAGAAAATAGTATCAATTCTTCAAAATTCATAAAAGTTTTTGGGAAATGTCATGCACGCAATATGATACAATCATATAACCTGGGCACAGGTATGGGGAAATCAAGTTTTGGGGGATAAAAAGGGAAATTAATGGGATTAAACTATGTAAAGCAATTGATAAGTTGTGAGGACATGACGTCACAAACTGATAACCATCTTCGCAATTTGTGTTGTGATTCTCATTGTTCCATAGTTTTACAAACTTTTTCAAAAATTCATAACTTTCTAATTAGTTATCCGATTTTGCTCAAACTTTTTTTGATTGGTTTGTCTGATTTTTCTGCTTTTATTGAAAGTAAGTTATTTTTCGAGTGGGCTTGTCCTTTAATGGGGGAACATGAAGAAGGCCTTGAGGAGGGATTACATTTTCAAGGCTATCATAGCTCGATCAGGCCGAGCTTAAATTTCCAGGGTTTGCAGAAACAGAGGTTGAGATAAAAAATAATTGCTAGATGACCTGATTCAGGGACCGTTTTCAACTATACTCACTTGCAAATTTGGGGTTTCCAAGATGAAAATGATCATTTAGAGGATTATTTTCCATTTTCCTTGTGTATGATCTAATAGTTCACCAATGCCAGCTAATACACTGTAATATAACTGTAGGAATTCTGACAGCTACAGCTATATGCAGGGTACAAGCTCATTACACACAATCCTTTACATGTGTCAGTGACATTCAACTCATATAGTTGTAACACCTTCTCTGGGTCTGAATTCAGACGAATAACTGTGTCGTGGTCGAGCGGATATGTCACCGGACTGTGGATCACAAGGTCCGCGATTTAAGTCCCACCGCGGCACTAAAGTCCTTTGGCAAGACATTGATCTACATTTGCCACTCTCCACCCAGGTGTTAAATGGGTACCCGGTAGGATGCGAAAGCTAATGTGCTTAGATTAGCAAGTGTGTGCTTGTAAAAAATGACGCCTGGCTGGAATGCTCCCCAGGGAGTGAAAAATGCATACATTGTGTGTGAGTAAGCCTGAATCTATATGAGCTATTATTAATATTATTAAAATGGATTTGTTTTTTCTACTTCAAATTGTGCAATGGGTGAGATTTACCAAAGTTTCATATCATAAAGTAGGAGCCAGAAGAGCATTGAACCCCTTGTACTTGAATCAGACAAAAATACAGGGTCATGTTATAATACGCTATTGAACATATGGGCTACACTTGTGAATATAAAGGGTCGTCAGCGCTGGACAAACAAGGTATGCTGACCTAAAGAAGGCTGGTCTTATGGTACCAGTAATCTTCTCACTCTGGATATTAATATACTATTTTAATATTTTCTACTCTTTTAGATTGATCAATATTCATAAAGATCTTCTTTGACATTTATTTGTGAGAGAATGGTTTAAAAGATGACTTTTTTGGCATTACTTGAACAGCAATCATTTTAATTTTTATATTTAGATCATTACCATTAAAGCTTATCATATAAGCAGTAATTTTGCCTTATAAAATTGAGTCTTCCTCTTCCTCTTTCTAGTAATTAGCAGGGTTTCTTTTACATTGTGTGTGTTGGTCATTGAGGCTTTATAGGTTAAGAATAAAATTAAACTATGTTTTAAAGCTAAAGCTTTTAAAAAGAGATATAGGAAAGATATAGAAAGGGCATGAATGTGACATATACCATGCTACTAAATGAAATTGGATAGAGAAAATTTATGTATCTTATTGAATATTTAGTTACCAGATTATGTATCATAAAATATTTCTTTCAAATGATTTACATATTGTCATATTTTTATACCACAAGGGATTTACTCAAATATTATTCCACAATTATAGATACATGAGTAAGATATTTTTGATTTATTTGGTGCTTTCAGAGCAAGATCAGTACTACATTATTTTCACTAAATGTAATCATATATCTTTCAAAACCATGTGCTCAGTGTTTTACTTATTGATAATCAACCTTTAATGTGTGCTTATATATTTATGTATTATACACAGATGTCTATACAAATTGTGTACAGTTATGTACTTTCTAAGATTCCATGTGCTTTTTGTATGGGTGATAAGATGGATGTAGTTTGTTGTTGTTGGGGAATACGAGGCAATGCCTGTAATTTAATACAGTTATTTAAGCAATCAAACATAGTTTGTTACATTTAATTCTTGTAAATCTGAGCTTGAACCAGTGTTCTGTGGAGTGCCTCAGGGATCTATACGTGGCCCTCTTTAAACAAAATTATATAGCAATGATTTCTATCTATGTTCGAAAATGCTAAAATGTATTCTTTTTGCTGATGATACAAATCTATTTTTCTGTAACAAAGACTTGGGTTATTTGTATCACAATATGAAATTTAAATTATTTAAAGTCCTGGGACACGTTTTACAAAGCCTTTTTTCAATGACAAATGACAAAAATCAGTGATAAATCTGCTGATAACCAATCAGAAGCAAGGATTTCTCTAGCTTATAAAAAAAAAAACTGTTATTTGTCACTCGGATGACAAGTTTTGTAAAACAGGGCCCAGGAGTGGTTCTCTGTTAATAATTTCACTTTAAATATTCAGAAAACGGAAGAAATTATATTTATTAAACTCTTTTGGATTATTCATTGATAGCGCTGAGGTACAGAGAGTTGAAACTGTTACATTTCTTTGAATATATATATATATGAATGATAATATGAAATATATTGTTACTGTTGTATTACATTAATTACCATATTATAATTATGGACTCATAGTTCGGGGATCGTCTTATAAATATTTATTGAACAGAATTCTAATCTCATAGAAAAGACTAGTAAGAATGATATGATTTAGATCATGTACTGCCCTACTATTTCAAAAGTTTAATATTTTGCCAATATATGAATTATATAATCATGTTTTTTTAAATAAACAAGCATTTATATTATACACAAATTATTACAGATTAACTTTTGTTCTTTGTTTATTAGAAATTCTGACTTTTACAACTATAATACCAGGGTAAAATCTGATTATCATATTGTAAGAATCCTCCCTATCTCAAAATTATTATCGCACAATGGCCTTGTATTCTGGAATGATTTACCAGAAAATATTAAGAAATCTCAATCCCTTAATAAAGTCAAATCCAAACTTAAAAAGTACCTTTTGCACAAATTGTAATACCTTCAGTTATTCATTTACCTCAACTGCACTGTTATCATTTTTCTTTTTTTTTCTTCTGATGTTTATTATATTATGTCAATAATGTATTACAATGCATTGTTAGTTGTTACGACACCCTCCATTAAAAGCAAAAATCAACCGTTTTTTTCAATTCAAATCAAGGTTTTATTTAAAAAAATATAAAGTACAGCGATGCGCATGCTGCAGCTAAAAAGCTGAAATGTATATGTTTACAACTATCGAGGATACATACAAATAGAAAATAATATCCAAAACCTTTAATAGTATTAATCTATTTTTACTAAAAGAAAGCAGAAAAATCGGAGAAGCAAATTGGTGAAAAATTGAATAAAAGTTATGAATTCTTAGAAGTAGTAAACTCTTTGATTGGCAATTCTTCCCTGCACAAAGCAATCCCTCCATCCATTGTTGTTATCGCATGTGTTGCAAACAAGCGACCATACAGGTGAAGAAGTAAGCGAAGTCTATCATGTATGTACATGCAGTTACTTATGCTCAAGTGTGAACGACGTGTTTTCTAGAAATTATACTAATTTTTTTAGACAATGGTGCTTGTGGGTAATAGACTGAGTAATATATATTCTTACATAAGCTCATAGCAAAACATTTTGCCTGCCTTGGGCAAAAGATTTTGATAAATCTATATAATCTACACATCTTATAATTATATGACATTGAGGAATATTACACTGCCTCAAGTGAAGAACAAATACAAATGTTTCCTGTACAAAAGTAGTGAATAACTTAAAACAGGACTTTTTGCATTGTAAATGAAACTTAATTTGAAGAACTAAGACATAGTTATATTTACCATATCCACCCTTTACTTGCGAGCGAGTAATGATTAAAAAAATCACATGACATATATATGCTGTTTCTATAACATTTTGAAAATGCCTGTTTAAGTCTCGTTATAATTCTAGTACCGGAGTATAAGCATGTAGAAAATCAGCCATGCTTGGGTTGCATCTATATTTCTGCGTAAATGTCTCCCGGATCTGATAATATGACATCTTGATAGGTAACGCGGCCAATGGGATCTTCATAGGTATGGGGGTCGGTACAATTCTGGTTGTTCGATGTGTCTGTAGTAAGATCTTGGTATGTATTTGTGTCTGAGCCATCATATGCAGGGTTCCCATACTTCGAGGAGGTATCATGTGCAGTATTTGGTGGCGACGCAGCTGATTCAGCGTTTAAACGTCTTTGTTTGTTCCTGGAAGTGAAATTAAATTTAAAACAACCTTTATTTCCTTCTCCTTTGTTACATCATTGAATTTATACACACACACACACACACACTCACGCACACGCACGTGCACACAACCCACACATACACACCCTTGGGCCCTTAATATGGAAATGGAGAGAGAGAGAGAGAGAGAGGGGGCGGGGGCTGCTCAGTCGTTTCGACCTCCCCTCCCTCCTTTTAAGGTACCTTATTTCATTTTCGGAATTATGAAACTTATTTCATTTTCGGAATTATGAAACCTATATTTCATTTTCGAAATTGTGAACCCTTTTTCATTTTTGGAATTTTAAACCCTATTTCATTTTCGGAATTATGAACCCTATTCAATTTTCAGAATTATAAGCCTTCGGAAATATGAACCTTAATCCATTTTCGGAGTTATGAATCTTCGGAATAACGAACCTTCTGAATAATACAACAAATGGTCGGATTTATGAACCCTTTTTCTTTTTCGGAATTATGAACCCCTAGGCATGGGAAATTTGTGTTTAGGAATTATGAACCTTCGGAAATGCGAACCTTCGGAAAAACGAGTGCCCCCCCCCGAGTTAACTTACCTTCTATACATCACCACAGTCAATATTAGTATTACGATGATAACGAGGGGTACTATCGCACTCCCTATCACAGCCCCTATAGGTATCCTGGTCTCGTTACCTTTGTAGAAAAAAAATACATATACATTATACATGACAGTTATGCAATCATGATTCATGCAAACTTTTTGATGGTCTGTTTCGCAAAGTTTTTGTTGATTTTGTGTAGATTATGTTTACGTTCATATACATAACTGACACTTTGTCTATTCTTATCATATTTTCATATATCTGACGGTTACATACTACTGACCTGACATGCAGGCCTAGCTCTTATTTAATAATAATATTGATAATAATAATAAATAAGATTTGTAAGGCTCGTAATTCTCTTGAAATCAAATGCTTAAAGTCGCATATCTAAGGGGAAAAAATGAAAATAAACTAAAAGCATCTGTATTATAAACAAAGCAGGAGTAATATAGAACATATGAAAATGAAAGACCAATTAATTACATGCCGAGTGCGTTTTGCCTCTACATCCTTTAAAGGTAAAGACCAGTATTGGAAACGCCCCAATTTCGAAAAATGAAATGGAAGCTCTCATTACAAATCATGTGAAAGAATATGTTTTAACTAATACATAATGAAAAAAAAATTGCCGGGAAACCACCTACTAATTCATATATTTGGTAATTTTTTTTCTCTCATGGTCTGTGAGCGATATAGGGTAGGCCCATATACATCTTTCTGTGTATAGTGCTTGTAACTTTACGAAGAATGGGCCAAATTTCTTATCATTTTGATGATTCCAGAACCTTGCAGATGCTAGATGCTAGATTTTTGTTTTGTAATATTCTTTATTGTATTCACTCAATAAATAATATTAATTCATACAAATTGTAATATATAACATATTGAAACCAATTACAGAGTACAAAATACAGTAATCTCAATTATATTGAATGAATTAATATTGTTATAACCCCCCCCCCCCTCTATATTTTGTTCTGTGTTACTAGTATCCCTATTACATATTATAATTTATAACATATTGGAACAAAGTACAGACTACAATCAACTTAGTTATATCGAATGAATAAAGTTTGTTAAATCCCCTACCCCCGTTAAAAACAAAACCAACAACAACAAACACAAAACAAACAAAAAAACCAAAAAAAAAAGAAAACAAAAACAAAAACAAAAAAAACAAAACAAAAAAACAAAAAAAAACAAAAAACGATACAAGAAGACGTGGGCAGTCTATGGCAGTCGAGACCGGTCAATCACACACAGCTGTGAACCGGGCAGGCCCCCCCCTTTCCTCATCCCTTGCATTTTCTTGCATATTATCCATGTTTACCTTGAGATGTTCCCATTTTTTATAGTGGAGCGTCAACGTATTTCGTTCAGTAGCACTCTTTCTTTCTTCCCGTTTACTTTTGAATATTTTCTCTCTTATTTCTTCAATACTTGGAGGCTTCTTTTTTTCCCTACTAATAAATATCAAATATTTAATTAATAAAACCACGTGATTAATCATTTGCCTATCTTCGGTTATTTCGTCTAATCCAATGTGAACTTCCTTCCAGCTCATATCTTTAAGGATTGGAATATCCAAACTATCACTACATTGATCCCATAATTTTCTCACCATTTCGCATTCAAAAAATATGTGCCTATATGTTTCCTCTTCTTTTCCACAAAATGAGCATTTATCACTTAATATGAATTGAAACCTGTATAAATAACGATTGACATAAACAATTTTATAAAGCAATTTGAATTGAAATTCTCTTAGTTTATTATCTAAAGTACTAATTCTTGGTCGGACAAAAACCTTTTCAATTTCTTTAACCGACAGATTGTATGATGAATGTAAATTCTGAAAACTGACAGGGACGTCTTGCATTTTTTGTATGCATGCCCTGTACAGATTTTTCGAACAAACCGATTCAAATTGGAATGTTTTTTTTGTAAACATAAATTCTATTTTTAGATCATGAAATGAAATTTGCCTCTTTGTTAATTCGATTTTCCATTCCTTTGGTATATTACCATAGATGATCAACCTTTTCTGATCGATACCACAACGTTTCTTTCACAATGCAATCGCATGACCATAACTGGTCTTTACCTTTAATAAACCCCATTACCTACACAATGTTTTTAAGTTTGACATTCAGGGTAGAAAAAGTTTCATTCGATTCATGCTCTTACCTGAGAGGATGGTCCTTGCATTCACTGGTTCGGACCAATTACTTGAACCAGCTCCATTGACAGTTTGGACCTGACAAGCGTGGAAGAAGAAGAAGAAAAAAGGTGTTGCAGAAATAATGACAAATCAAACATCATCCACACTCGAAACACGCAAAAAATAATCGTTTCAATCAGATATTCATATCCTGGAAAAAATACCAATCTACATTTATTATAAGAGGCCGCATCATAACAGCTAATATTTAGATGCCATTAAAGCATACAAATGTGATTTATTTTTAAATAGCAATATCACGCATGTAATTGGGATCATTGCTTGTTAGACCAATGGCACAATAATGAAAGAGATCACTTTGTGATTTAATCTAAAGATATATAGCTTCATTAACAGCGCTTAGGATAACAGTTCATTCTACAATAATTGTACTAAAGACTGAAAGCTTGTACTAAAATATGTAGAGATTGAACATTATCTTTAATCGTTGGGTATTAAGGATTGAGGTCAAGATATCTTACCTGGACTGTATAGTTGATTGCACTGACCAAGTCCATCACAATATATTCCCCATCAAATGCACTGGTCAATACTTCCTCCATCTCATAATTGCCATCACCAGCTGGATCAGTTCGCTGGTAGCGGATGATATACTTCTGGATGTTACCATTGATGTTAGATGGTAGAGGGGTAGACCAGGATACAGTGAAGGAACTTGAAGTACTCTGCGGTATAGTCACAGTGATAGGACTAGGTGCAACTGTTACGAAGAAAATTATTTATAAAAATGCCGCACTGGAATATGGTAAACTTATGTATTGATATTCCAGAATATCAATTACTAGTTTTAGTCTGTCTTAACAGGTAAGAACGATTCTTAATTCCAGAAAACAAATATATAACGAGTAACTAAAAAGAAGAAGTTGGAATCACAGTGAAAATTAAATGACATTAGGAAATAGTACTCTAATATCTCAAACAGTCATGCATACATGCAAACGATTTATATAATAAAGAAAGAAGTAGTTTATTATAATAACACTTCTATATTATATATATATATATATATATATATATATATATATATATATATATATATATTGAAATTTCATAGCTCTTGATGATATCAGACGATATCTAGCGTGTAAACATATTCGGCCATACTACACTAACATTCAAACCGATGCTAGATTTAAACATCGTCTGAAGTCGAGTTTAACAAAGAAGTTAGACCGAGGTCTAATCGAATTGGATTTAACGAATTAGCAGTAAACGAACCATACATTTTGCGGTCTAGCAGAATAAATGAAATTCACTAAATCAAGATCAATTAAATTTGTAGATGCAACTAAAGGTATACAATGAAATCAACAAAAATAGTCATGTTGGACGTATGTTGTGACTAAGATATCGACAAGAATATTAACTATGTCACTTAACAGGCAAATCAACTTCTTCCCACCCTCAGAAATACAAAAACCCTCCGAAGATAAACGCCAACCTTCTTCAAGTGTTTTGCTGGCAGTCTCACTGCTCCTGTCACTCTCCTCGTCTTTATTCGATGCAGTCAGTTGGATGGTATAGTCCAGATAGGTTTCCAACCCTCTTAATGTGTAGGAGCTTGTGTTGTTAGGAACCATGACAGAGTTTAAAGAAGTTGACCCAGTGGAAGTGTAGTAGATCATATAATGGGTCACTCCACTCCTGCATTCTGCCGATTCCGAGGGTAGGTGCTGAACATTAAATGCCAAATACAACTACATGTTACATGCATCACAACCACATCAACGAAGTTACTTTCACACTAATAAACAAAACTACAAGATGTTATCATATGTTGTCTACGAATTTCTCGCATTAGTAGGGATTCTGCATTCAATGTGATTGAGCCTTTTGCTAATTGAACAACAATATCTTGATCATAAAACATGCTTATGTTTGCTTCCTCCTGTGGAATTAAATCAAAACTCCATTTCATAAACCCAAACATCTCATAATTTCAAGTAGGAAACTTTTTATTTCTTCACAAGACGTATTTTATTTAGGCAAACGTTGAGGTACGTAAGGAAACATCCAAAATGCCAAAGGCGTGATAGTTAGTGATGTGTAGTAGTTCTTAATTATTTGGCATATTTCGAGGGAATTGTTTTATACCTACTAGGTAAATTATGTCTAATCGAGGTGATATCCTAATCCTAACGATGAAGTTCTACCTGTATGTAATTAAAAATATGACTATTTACAGTAATATGCATTTTTGTCTTTAGGACGAGTCTTTTATTCCAACTACATTTCACTAATTGACCAAACACCTATTTTTACGGAAGTTCATACCTCCCATGTCACCTCAAGCTCTTTAGGGTTGATAGCTGCCACCTGTAGTCCAGTTGGAGAAGCACTGGGTTCTGACGTTTTAAATTATATAGAAGAAACAAAGTGGGCTGGACTTATAATAGATGAATTTATTACATGTACATGCACGTCATGGTGCAATCATACATTGGTACACCAGGTGCTCTTCAAATGATGTTGAATTAAATTTTTAAAAGTTAAAACTGAAACTACAGTTCGGCAAAACACACTAAAGGATACTATAAACATATAAGGTAAAATACATATTTTTTAGACAAATTTTCTGTGTCAAATTTCAGAAAGATAGAACAATTAAAAAGGAGAATATATGTTAAAGAACCTTCAATCATTGAAAAGTGCATAAATATCTCAAATGTATGTCTAAATCATTAACTATAAATGTAATACGTATGCTTTCTTGTAAATAAATGTATATATCAAGCTGAAAAAGTTAGAAAAATAACCATCCTCAAAATGTTTACTCTGCACTTTGAAATCATGACGAACCCCTGGCACGTTCAATTAATTATCTTTTTAACAAAACTTACTTCTACAGCGAGATATTGTCCTGTTGCTAGGCGACAAAGGTCCTGCTCCACCTGTTCCTTCCCTCACGTGCTGCTACACAAAACATGTAATCTGTGTCGGGTGTCAGATTACTAACGATGGTTGATGTTGTGAGTTGCTGTACTCTCTGATCCGTTACCCAGTCAGCATCCTTCTTTACAAAGACCTCATATCCTACCAAAGGAGGATCACCTATGTCATCTTCTTCAGACCATGCATTCCATCGAAGACCTACCGTAGTTGACGTAGTACTCACTATCATTGGTGCTTTCTCCATGACTGGCAGAACTGAAGAAAAGGAAAAGAGACAGAAATAGTTCATAAAATTTAGCTTTTACTGCTGTTGTGGCTGTTGTTGTAGTGTAGGTTGATGGTGTTCTTGTGGTACTTGTTGTTGTAACAGTTGGTGTTGTTTGTGGTGATGTGGTTGTTATGACATGGAGAGGAAAGACATGTGCCTGCCTCTTCAATAGTCATGATAGTCATGATAGGCATGAAAATCCCATAGCCCCTAACAACATAACTGATGCAATCCCCTGTAACGTACCCTGCATGCAGACAGCATGACTAAGAATGATTCTGCACATAAAGTGAATTAACGATTTCTATAAAACAAGTTTTTTACAGTATAGTACAGTAGGGTAAACTGATTTCACGCAGTTTGCTCACCATAAGTTGCATGGGTAATAGGCGTACTGGTATAGCCATTGTTTTCAAGATATAGACTGCACTGGTATCCCCCATCTTCCTGTGGATGCACACTATCAACATCAAAGACAACAGCTCGTTCTGACCCTGAGACAGTGCTAGATCCCCTGGTGATTCCTGTAGTGTTATAGGTGATTCCAGTACGTCTGAAAAGATCAACTAAGGATGCATCAGGAAGAGGGATACCCTCAACATAACATGTGAAGCTAGATGGTTGGTATGGGTTCACTCTCACTGGAACCAATCTTGATATTCCTGTCAAGAACCAAGATATGAAATATTTACTAAATACACGTCCACATACAACACTCAATCAGACTATAGACCAATTATTTCATTCAAAATTTGCTTGCTTTATGTATTTCATCCACAATACATATGAAAAACAAATCCTATAATATACACTTTGTAGAACATTGACCAATCATGATACTCAAATATAGGAATAGGTTTGTTTATATTAGAAAGAAAATCCAAGCAACAATACAAATCATAACAACTGTACACGTCAAGAGCAATAGAAAATTGCAACCCAGTCAATTAACTATGTTAGTATACTATCAATAACTAAGCAAGAATATAAAAACTATGTAATAAACTTGTACATGTACATACAGGTGTACCCAGACAAGAAATGATCTTAATCTGATTATTTCGTTCAACATCTAATTGCTTAATGTATATCAATGCAATACTCCTGACAATCAATACTAAACAATACTACAGAAATTATCCAATGCCTGAGAAACATTTGGAGAATTTGGTCAGGTTTACATTTAACTTCCAATCAATACGTGTACAGTGTAGGAGAAACTTCATCAAAATAAAAATTTGACTTTATAAAGAGCAAACAATACCAGGGAAAGTTTTCGAACCTGTGTGTACATGTTCAAGTGTCTGTAACACACACAAAAAAATCTTAATAATAATGGATACTTATAAAGCCCGGTGCTAATGCTCATGGGGCTCTTCAAATAAATTTGCTTAAACTAAAGTTAAAGTAATTGTTCAGAAGCTTCTGGAGCTAGACTGTGAATGACATCTAAAAATAATAAAAATACATGCACACATAGTTCAATTTAAATTGTATGGAACCTGATGTTGTCTTTAATCTGAACCTTTTTAAGCTAACAATTAAGCCTGATAAACCAGAGCACCATAATTTGGGTATAATTACTTTGACAGTACGGTCCAAACCAGCTATCAAGGCATTGTCCCTTGCAAAGACCCCTCTCCATCTCACAAGCCTCTGGAGAACAATGACATTGCTGAAGGCAATCACGACCAAAGGTACCCCCTTGACATTCTGAAAAAAAATACAAAAGGGTAATGCCACACATAGAAACATAATAGATCGAGAGTACTTTAATAACAATTATAAATAGTTGCATACAAAGCCCTATTTACAAAGACTTGATGCATAGTTTATCCTCAACGAAACGGAGTTAAGTCTTTTGTCAACTCTGTTTGTTGTTACGGCAGGCAGCCAGTGAAAACGAATTCGTTTAATCAAATTATGAAAATGCAAGCATTACTTTAAACAAACAGAACTTTGTTAATCCTGGCTCATTTTTCCTGATTAAGGTGTCATATGAAAAGGCAGAAAATGAAGTTTTTAGAATTTTTTTGAAATTCAGATACCGCCTGCCAAATGACTTTTTGGTTTCCTCTTTTCAAATCGTTTTTAATCACTCATGCATGAAATTGGCATCATTTGAGTTTCATCAGATGAACGAGGAGGATCTAGGCTTTACAAATATGTGTCACTTATTAATTATAATTGTGATCAAGTTATGATAAAACATTGATAAATCTCGGTTTCGTTTTTTCTGGGATGCAATGTATACGATCTTTACTGCGTACATGATCACTTATGGGGCTTTCACATATACACTCTCGGGCCCGTACGGCGAGTAAAAACAGACATTTCGGGAATTTTCGGCCGGTGTCCGGCCGGTTGCCGTAAAGTTCCTACGGGCGCCGGGACAGTTTTTTAAGCCGTACGGGCGCCGTGGTGCTGAGTTGGCTGCTCCCAATTCTCCCGGCGTTTTAATCTGACCGTTAGGCCGTAGAAAGCCCGTAAAGGGCCCGTAGGGCACCTTGCGGGTCCCATGCGGGCTCCGTACGGTGCCCGGACGGGCCCTTCACGATTTTGGGGGTCAATTCTCATGACAAATCTTTACGGGCGCCTTGCGGTGCTCAAGGGTTCCGTATGTGTACCCTACAGCGCCCTTATGGCCCCTCAAGAGCCCCGGGTTAAATGCACAACAACAGGCGTCTGCCGTCCGGGGGCCATTTCAAATGAATATTGCCCGTGCGGGTCCCTCACGGCGGCATCTTGAAATGTACAACGCAGTTTTAAATACAGGAGGTGCGGATACCAGAGGACACATACAGAGCGAGTCAGAAAAAATCGTACGGGGCCCGGTTTATATGTGACCTAGGCATTACAACAACCGTCATATTTAACTTCTAGTATACTCTCTCAAATTGACATTCAACATTTGTTTTCAATGTCTTCCGCTATTTTGACAGCCTCAAATGTAAAATCAGTTGGTTTAAACAAGGAGTTTTAAGAGATGGAGTCATATCTAGCTCATTCCCTTTGTACTATCTTTGATGCCGCCATGAGAATATATGTCAGGCATGTGCTTAACCCCGGGCTTAACTGGATTTTTATGCAGATTCATAATTATAAAAAGATTCCTGCCTATAGCTGCCAGCTAACGGGCCACTTTCAAAGGGAAATATGCTTTTGTAATGATAATTACTTTTCGCTACCACTCGTCTGATAATACGAGCAGCACACAGTGCTTACCTTTATACAATAGGCAAAGGAAAGGAAATGGAGCAAAATTTCATGAAATATTAATCAAAATTACTCGACTGGGCATGTGTGGGCACTAATCTGAAATATAACATCATAATGAATTGTACTTGAACAAATTAATTTTTTATTTTCGTGAGCCGGAAGTAATCGGAAAAGTATCAAATATTATATAATGTAATCAAATTTCTTGACACAATTAGGCTTTTGTATTTATATTTTGACATCTGTTCGATTTTTCCCTTGTTCAAATAAGAAGAGAAATATTAACGATATTTCTATGTGAAAAAAAATATCACTACTCAAGCTTTCCAATGATGTTGGCGGCTTCGAACCTGTAGATTATAATGTGCAGCCTTAGAAAACAGCAGCTGCTTGAAATAATTTCAAATAACCTCGAATTTACAAGGGTTACTAAGGAATGATATAGTTTTTAACTGTATATACATGTATATGTATATGTAGCTGCTCAGTGTTCTGGAGGCTGCGCTATATGCCCCTCAATTTTGTCTGGAGGCACAGTGCCGTACAAGATCACGTTAGGGGAATAGTCACCATAGTCAGTATAATCATGACCTCCAAAGAAGTCAATATTTGTATACTAGAATCCTCCTTCAGAGTATACATAATGTATTATGGTAATGGTTTTATTGAAAATTGATTTGCAGCTAGATGGCTGAATTGCGTACATTGCGTAAAAATATAAATATTTATACAAACATAAATAAACTACAGTAAAATTATCCTGCAAATCGTATTAAGACATATCACACAGTGAATGAAATTTCTAAATAAATAAGTGTACACCTATTTACAAATTGATAAAATTCGCTTAAGAGCTAACAGTTGCTTAAATATATACCACAATCATCATATATGGCATATATGAAAAGATCGTTCGAAATAAGAGAGAAGAGAGGTAGAGAGGAAAATAGTACGGACAGCACAGGAGCTCCAGGAAAAGTGTGTGAGAAAGAGAAAGAAAGAGGGAGAGAAAGGGAGAGAGGTAGAGAGAAAGAGAGATGAAGCGATATATATATATATATATATATATATATATAACATAATGCTGAGGATGAGAGTGTATATCAGATAATAATGTATTTACTATCCCAGCACTATTGACTAATGTACATACATGTATTTATGAATGTTCATAAATGAATCCATAAAACAATCCTGGTGTATCATGCACACTAGCTGCACCATACTTGATGTACGTAGCGCCTTGAGTAAGTTATTAGAGAAGTGTGCTTCATAAGTATTTTACATTATTACTATTATACATGTTGTATTATATGTAGTTTGGAGATACATAAGTAGGAATCAATATGAACAATTCAACACCCTTTATTGAAAAATGATATGTTACCTTGACATTTAACCTGGCCACTGCGTACTGTGTATCCTAGAGCACACTTCTGCTCAGGGCACTCTCCAGTATCTTTATCACATGGTTCGTCATTCGAGCAATGACATTTATCGGTGCATTGAGATCCATAGTAGCCGTAATCACATTCATTTGGAACTGAGGATGACAAGAACAATATTTTAGAAATCACAATTTAGCAAGGACTTCTAACATAATAATATTAGCTCATTACAACCGATTGATTTCTTGTAACTAGGCATTTATTTTTTTGCACTATCGATTTCAACCATTACACATACTTTTGAATTTAACAGTGCCTTCACGAGATAAAAACGTATATTTTAAGAAGAAATCCTCTTTTCTATTTCTAGACATAATATGGACCTAAACAATTTATCCAATAAAGTCGTCAAGTCTACTACTACTACTACTACTACAACTACTACTACTTCTACTACCACTATACTACTTCTACTACTTGTAATAATAATTCTGAAAATGAAATATATGGGAGGATTTGTCTCGAAAACACAGCTTAAGAGTGGGTTTGGCTACAAAAGTACAAAATATAATAAATTAAAGCTAACCTATTGACTACTAAATTATCTTTTTCCACACAGGTATAATATAGGAGCCATGCAACCGGGTCGAGTCTTATTTTTTCGTACCATAGCGAGCCCAGATTGAGCTCGCGAAGGGAACTGAAACTACCGGGTCCTGTAGGTAATGGGGTTACAAATACAAAAAATATAAATACTACAAAATTTAAATCTGCAGCGAACATGTAAGATTCTGATTGATCATATTTGGGAAAAGCATTTATGTCATATTATTTGTTATCATTGCTGACCATGTCTTACTTTGACAGTTGTTCCCATACCAGCCAATCTGACATCCACCTGTACATATTCCACTGTAAATATTACATGATGAACCACCTGCACAGTGGCATGTTTGTGAACATCCTGGACCATATGTTCCACTAGTACATACTGTTAATAGAAATAAAAATACAAAATTAGGATTTACAGATACAATACATTCATCAGAAATAAATATTGTGCATGTTACAATAACCTGTTCTCCTCCTTCTTTTATTTTCCCCCTTCTTCGTTTCCTCCTCCTCCTCCTTCTAATGCTTCTTCTCCTTCTCTTCTCCACTGAGTGGTATGTGCTTTGATATTCCAAGAACATTTTATTTTTCAAGAGTTTTTTTAAATTTATCAAGAGTTTTACTTAGTTTGATATCATTGTATGGGTCATTCCATAACTTAATTCCATTACAACGTAAGGAATTTTGACTAATTGTAGTTTTGGGAAGAAATTGATGAAGATCTGCGTGTTGACGAGTGAAATATGAGTGATAGGAGGCATTTGTGCTAAAAAGGCCATTAAAAGTATCTGGCAAGGCATTCGTATGATAATGATACATAAAGATATAAGTATACATAAGTACAAGGTCAGAGACCTTAAATGTTTTACATTCAACAAAAAAAATTGCTTGTATGGTTATTAAATGGTACATTACAAACTGTTCTTATTGCTTTTTTCTGAGTAATAAAAAGTCTATTCAAGTGTGTTTTAAATGCATTCCCCCAAATCATACAACAGTAAGTGAAATGAGGCAAAATCAATGTGTTATATAATGAAATCATAATCTAGGTAAAGTAAATTTAAGTCTGCGGAGAACACCAGTAGTATATAGTTTCACTATCAGAATTTGAGCACAATTAAATGACTACCGGAAGACTTACGTGTGTTACATGCAGAACCATGCGCACCGACGTCACATGAACATCCATAAGGATCAGGTAAGCAAAAAAGATACCCATGACATTTGTTGATACCATCATTGAGAACTGTACATCCAAAATCGCAGTTCAAGCCGAATCGATTTCCACCATCAGTTCTACAAACTGAATATACAAATATATATATATAAGCGTTGTTGCATATAAATCTCATAAAATTGCCTAAGAAATAAGATAACCTTGAGATAGATTTAAAGTATGGTCACTTTCCAGAAATTTCCTTTGCAAATTACTGATGGTGCCCAATGCTCTATGAAAAGTATATTTTGTGTACGATTTTATTATCCGCTCGTGTAGAGAAGGGGAATTTAAAAAGTATTTACAAAGTCAAGGTCTGTTAACAATACATGAGAGATTATACATTAAAAAAGTGACATAGTTTACTTGGTATAAACAGAATGCTGAATGATAAATCGACATTATTCCTGGAAACAATTCCTGAAGATCTATAAAAGACGGCAAGCCAAAAATCAAAACAGGCTCTAATAAAAGGTTCCATGGCATTTGGGGTTAATGCATGGCATTCATGATAAACTCTTGCCTAATATTAAGCAATGGGATACGGGCGAATACCAAGCGCATTTTTGTTTTATACTAAAAATGTCAATTTTTGCTCAAAATTTGAAAAAAAAGGTACAAAACTATGATTTTTAATTTGTTTGGTGTGGACTGAATATGCATTATCAGATAAAAACCTTTCATTTGATATAGTTTTCATTATGAATGTGAAGTAATAAACATGTTTAAAATTCATTTGAATGTTGGATATTATGTTTGGCGCAAAGAAACACAAATGAGTGATTTAATCAGAATATGAGGTTATAAAAACTTAATGATTCTGTTATCCCACATGAATTGATGTCTTTTTACAGTAGGCTCATTTCGAGTGGAAACACACTTTACATGTACCGTATGTGGCATTTCCCACATATTAGCAGTATACTAGTCCATGTGCCAATAATTGAAAAAGAACCCATGCCCTAAAACACAATTTTAAATTATTTTTTCTTGTTAGTAAGGATCCTTCCCTATCTTACACAACATGTATACAACTTATAAATTCTGTGACCAGCCAAGAAAAAAAGGTAGGTCCAAAAACAAAATTGTATTTGTTTTGGGGCCATGTGCTGCGGTGCAGCAAATACAAAAAAGAAAACTTTTGACGGTTAGTACATTAAAATGTAGATAATTTTGTTTCCACAAATATTTTTATTTCATTATTATTGTACACCTTTTCAATAGAAACAACATTTTTGTCTAACTTAACGTGACTTATAATTGCTAAGATAACACTGCAATCAAACTGGAACCTCAAATACTTAGATTGAGATGATTACATTTGTTTTCATGTCTTTCAATAACAAATATGTGATATTCATAATATTCAGTTTTTATTGATATGTAAACGATTATTAACTACGTTGTAGGTGTCAAGAGATGACTTCGGATATGTGTATGTATTATGTATCATGTAATAAGACTATTTTATGGTATGTTATGCATAATGCCTGGATTACATTTGCCCCGGGCGCCGTACGATAAATTGGTGCGATTTAGGGGGGCATCGTAGGAGGCTATACGGGCTACGATGTTCGTGTTATTATCTACAAGCATCGTGCCATTTCTTGTATTGGCCCTCGGGGGCAGGCCGGGGCAAATCCGAACAGAGGCTGCTCGAAGATTGTACGGAAGTCGTGCAATTTTAGTGCAGCACCCGTGCAGTCTCTGCAACCTCCGGAAGGAAATCGTAAGGGGCTCGTGCAGCTTCCGTGCAGAGGTTGCGTGGAGAAGGCGCGGTGACCGTCAAGCCGCCGTGCCGTTTTTTGCCTCCATATTCACCGAAAAAACATGTGTTTGCAGCACGATCAGCGTGAGGCCTCCGCGCGATTCTTGTGCGGGGATTGTGCAATGCCAACTACGACATGTCTACGGGATACGGGCTAATTTGTATAAGTTCCCGCGAAAAAAATTGTAGAGACCGTGGAGCCCGTGAATCCGTACGAAAATCTCACGACCGCCTCCTGCCTCCGCGCGGAGGCCGCACGGAAAAGGGGATATGGGCAGGATACGGGCTCCGTAGACTAATCGCAGGCCAAATGTAATCCAGACATAAGGCATTATTTTCTCTTGTTACCACATTTCTTATCACATAGAGATGATGTAATTAGTGTGTACAGTAATTAGGGCCTTTTATTACAAAAATGTGTTGATTGATCCAAATCAATCGCAAAACTCCTCTAATCAATCGCAAGTTTGCGGTCTCCAATCTCTTATGTACATAGTTGCGATTTATATCAATCGCTACCCATTTTGGGTAGAAGAAAAACACGTACGTTATTCAGTTAATTTTCAATGGAATAAGACAACAACCATATTCCCAAAATCATCTAATAAGATGTAAACATAAACATAATTCCACGTAAAGTCATATAAGCCTACTTACTTTCTAAACAATTCGATCCTTTGAAGTTGTTAGGACAGATACATAGACCAGACTTGTCATCACAGACTCCACCATTGTAGCATTTATCACAGATACCATAACACTCAGGGGGGCCCCATTTACCAGCGGGGCACTCTAATATGAGATAGGGAGAGAGAAAATTAATTATGTAGATTCCATGTCACTATAAGATCGCATCATAACAAAGAGAGGAGTAGCTAGAGGCTCTGTTGCATTGCGTTTTTACCTACAGGAATTTTTTTTAACTGACTTGTTGTACAAATCACATATTGTGACAAGCTAACACATGCATCTTATCATTTGAAGTTTCGTAAATCTTTTCAAATAAAATTTGCAAATAATGATAATAATGATAATATTTACTGTATCTTACAAAGCACTTTACCAGTTACAATGTACCCGGCTATTACCCCGCTCACTGGAGTCTGTTTTGATTTTTTCCTTTGCAGTGCACACTCTCCACTGAATTAATCAGGAATACATTTGTACATGTACCTCTGACGATGAGTCTGTATAATCCTCCTCTGTTTTGATACCTCTCGTTTTTATAGTAGATCTCATAGATTCCTTGGTATGATGTCTGGATTGGATTTGGGAAGCTGATCTGAGCCTGCCCTTCAAACGATGTTAGAACCTCATTTCCATCTTTCATCCAAGTAATCACGTTGTCACTCACATCAGGATCAAAACGCCTAGTCATGCTGATCATTACTCCAGTGTCATTCACGTTGACTGTCTTTGTAAACAATCCATGACTTGATATGAATTTAGCTGTAAACCAAATAAAAACAGTTAACTTTAATGCATTACGTCTACCACCTTCGGATCACGCGCATTGTGGCCATTTACTCACTAAAGGAAACCTTATGCTTTTATAAGACTTGCATAATTATATTGAAATCTATTTACTCGCATATATAAAAATAAATCTTTCCCTATTCATATTTTTCATTAACAAGTTTAGATCGTTTCCAAATTAAGAACATGGCAAATAGTGTATAGTGTCTGGTGTATGTCAAAATATGTTTGGACTTTTGAAAGTTAATAAACAACCCAAACACGAATGGGCTTGTTTTATGCTCAACTCGTGCTCGCTTTGCATATGATAACTTGATAAAGGTTAATGCTACTAACATGTAAGTCTAACATTTCTGAAGCAATTTTCAAATTTCTTAAAAGAATCCTTCTCAGAAATATTTGGATTTAATCCCAATGGCCCGAATATACAACAAAGGTTTAAACCTCACATTTTCTGATTCACAAAGGAGGTTTAAACCAGGGCATGGTTTAAACTTCCTTTGTGATTCGGGCCAATGTGTATGTGAAATATCATGCCTTTGTAATATAGCCATCCTCAAGCATTAATCTTCAACGAGTCGAAGCGTCATAAGCTGAGTTTTGCTATAGGTTCACTCTCGCTCCTGATTCTCAGTAAACCTTCTTGCGGTATAAAGGTCTCTGCTGTACTTAAAATATTTCCACATTGGCGTCCAAGGTCCTTACTTCTGCTGTTAAAAAGCATCGTTTACGGGCACCCCGGGACGGGCACTCCCATGTGGTTGAGTGACGAATAATATGAAGTGGTTAATGATTTGTTGGTAAACCTTTTTATGTCCTTGTATCAAGCAGGTTTCACTAATATTTGAGAAATCTTAAATGCAATATAACTATAAGCTCAATCTATATTCGTAGAGATAGATTGTGTTGTATTGATAAACAAATATGATTGCAGCAGAGCCAAACAGCGATGAATTTAGAATGGTCAAAGTGCATACAAAATTGGTAATAAGAAAATAACAACTAATGATCACAAATAATATATTAATTTGTTTTGTTGACTTTGATTATTCAGTCTTATTTATAAAGAAGTTACTGATATGTCAGAGGATTCTTTTATATTAATATCGAGTGCTTGAAACATTAATTGATAACATTAATTTTCTTTTTAGAATTTAAACTGTGATTAAATTTGATTAATCAGGTTTTATCATACATGTAGACATTTTACATATATTCCAGATATCTATAAAAATTCTATTAGACAACGGAAATAGTGTTGTCATTAATTTTGATAATTATGTTATATATACGAATTCGTCAGACTTATCTGAGACACAATTTATGAATTTTAGAATAATTAATCGTAAAAGTTTGTTCTCCTTACATCGACATCATAATGACCTCACATAAGATATATAAATGTAAATGAACGGTAGACTTCTATAGTCTACTATTGAAGAACAAATCATATAACATAAGGATATCCTTTTCTTCTCATTGTGAATGGAATAATAATCTTACCATCATTTCGTTGGCAAAATGTAGTAACCCTTGTAACATCTCGAGCGGACTTAGAAGCCTCACAGTAGAAAGGACCGAAACCATCTCTATCCCATCCATCTCCTGTAGGGAATCTCACCACTCTGAGGAATGGGAATCCATCTGAGTGCTGCTCCTCTTCTGGTGGTGATCTGTCTGTTGTTATGGGTGCTGATCGACCAAATGATAGTGAAGCATCTTCATCTGGTACACTGCGGTAACATTGATACTCCCAACGGCTAGATGAACCTACCTGAGTGTATCTCACAGTCAGCACTGTGATATGAACAACCTCACCTGGAATACCGAGAGAGCATTTCGAATTTTATATAAGTCTATACTCATTTTATTTTTGGATTTCAAACAATCGAATGAGGTATATATAAGATTTATACCGGGTATGGTGGCTCAATGGTTAGAGCGTCCGCCTCATAAACGGGAGGTCGTGGGTTCGATCCCCGGCCGAGTCATACCAAAGACTTATAACAATGGGACCTTCTAGCTAGGCGCTCAGCATATTAGATTGGAGAAGGGTAATAGTAACATGTTATGTTATGCAGGGCCCGCTGGGAGAGCAGTTTTATTACTGAAGTGGCTACCCTCAGTAAATAAAACGTTAGTATTAGTATTAGTATTAGTAAATGTTTTATATATACTTGTATATGACAATCACTTAACCAATAACATAACTGTATAATTATCTAAATCTAGATCAACTGATGTGGCTATTGAGAAACACGGCAGGTGAGGGCATGCCCCTCTTGTACAAAAAAACCCTTTAAAATACGAATTAGAAATACAATTTTAATAATATTGCATATCGCATGCACAGATCCACCCCGCAAGGTGCTCTAGCGCTCATGTACCCCGGCTAGTCCACAGATTTTGGTGCTCTCCGCTTTTAAGGAATACCTTTCTACCAGTACCCATTTAAGGATAACGTTGATTCTAGTCATGCGATTGCATTTTGAAAGAAACAGTGTGGAATGAATGGATCAGAAAAGGTTGATCATGTAGCTTATAAGTATTGGTGTGTACTGCATAGGCGCGTACGCAGGGGGGGGGGGGGGGGGGGGTTGGGGTTAACCCCCCTTGAGTTTTGTTTATGTGTATGTTTTGGGTATGATTTTTGTAAAAATCTCCCCCCCCCCCCCTTTTTATTTTTTTTAATTATTTTTTTTGTAATAAAAAAAAAAAAAAAAAATTATGCCAATGGCTGACCTAAAAAAGGTGACCTTACCCCCCCCCAACGGAACAAAATGTCAAATTTTTAAATTTCGAGACCCGAAAAAAAGTGTCCTCTTCCCCCCCCCCCCCCCCCCCCTCCCCGACTGAGCGACTTTTGGGCAGGCGCGATTTCAAATTTTCCTGAGTCGTTGCGAAATTTTGGGCCCCCCTTGAAAAAATTCTGCGTACGCCACTGGTACTGCAAGCCCAGGGGGTGTTTCACAAAGATCCTAAGTTGAACTTCTCTCTAAGTTGGACTTAACAATTATGGAAAGCCGTTAACATCCTTGAAAATATTTTGTAAAAGTTCTTTTAAAAAGGCATAAAATGTTGATTCAAATCATTCATGTTTTCTATTATCATGGGAAATGTCATGTCATGTTAAAATCAGTCCATGTTCATGTTTGAGCGTCATTAATAATAGATCATTCCACCTTTAACTAGTTGCTTTATTAAAGTGACCTAATTTGTTTCAATTCCCTTAACTGAACAATAATGAAATGGCGAATGCATTTTACTTCTACCTGCTTTCAAAAAACCCATTACCTACAAAATGTATTTAGGCATGACATTTATGGTAGAACAATTTTCATTCTCGTCTTGCTCTTACCTGAGAATACAGTATTTGCATTCACTATAGAACCAGCTCCATTGACTCGAGAAACCAACATTCCTTGATCCCAAATAGGGTATTACTCTTCAATCTCTCTTGACATTTTGTACGGGGCTATACTGATCTAACAACTATTTGTTTTAAGTGGCGCTTCCCCTAACTTTTTTTGATCGCCCAACCTACATCAGGAGTAAGTCTTATGGGCACTATTTTTTTTTTTTTTGCTCCCGAAAATTTGGAAATCGCGCCGGCCGAAAATTCGCTCCGCGGGGGGGGGGGGGGGGGGGGGAGGGGGCTAGTGAGCACATTTTTTTGGGGGGCCCTCGAAAATTTAAAAATTTGCCCCCCCCCCCCCTTGGGCGCCAGGGGTGGGGGCCCATCCCCCAAAAAGGTAAAAATCACGTGTTTTTAGGGGGCGGCCCCCCTGGATCCGCCACTGGTGACACCCCCGAATCACTGACAATGGAAGCAAGCAAACAAACATCACATATTTAACACGCAATTCCCACGCCATCAAGATACTTATGAATAGGAATTAACTGTGTGCATAAGTTGAAAAGGACTGAAATTATGTTCCTTCAGGCATTATAATTTCTTTTCTTCCCCCAACACAGTCGACGTATATCACAACCTTGTAGCAAGTTCACTGAGGTCAAAGTACGACGAATGATTTCTCATGATAATGGAAGTATTTTCATTACATTTATCGTTCCTATTCTATTCAACGAAACTATAGGGTACTTTTCCATGTACAATAGGCAACTATAATATACATGTACACTGTACAACTTGGTAGGACGAATCTATGTGTGCGCATATCGGCCTACTTTATCAACGCTATTTTCTGCTGACTATGTAGTATAGTAACAGAACAGAAGGATATCTCAGCTCATATGTATCCCGAGTAGTTTGAGAATGTAAACGATGGATATTAGTCTCACGCAAATTTAAATGCGATAAATTCATAGTTGTAGCAACCCTACATATATCCTTTCTCATTGGTTCATTTTAAGCAAAGTCCTTTTTGAAATTTCGATTTAGAGCAACGAGAAAAAATGTTTCCAAAATCGAGACCCCATCGAGCGGGACATGAGATTCTTTTTCTTCACTAGGATAATAAAACAATATTCTGCTGTCAAAATATACGGTATATAAGGCGCTCTTAATACTCCTGACATTTCAAGGCCAAAATGTAAAGTTTCAGCCAAATGAACAGAGCCATTTTTTGAAGCATCAAAATCTGAAACCTTATGCATGTTCGCATTATTCCTTTGAATAGTTTAAAACGTTGCACATATCGTTGGTTGGTGATAATCTATAATACTATGATAACTATTTCTCCAGGAGAGGTTACATCTTATGGAATGTTTTTCTACGTAGTTTATGATGAGATGGAGGACCAGGCCCCTAATTACCCAAAGATCGTCTTAGGGGATTTTAACCATTGTCGACTGGAGGACATTATGCCCCATATATTAGCACCAGCATATCGACAGTCCTATTCAAGGTGGAAATGTTCTGGACCGCTGTTATAGCTCAATAGAAGAGACATCTACAAAGCTAGTATGCGGCCACCATTTGGACGTTCCGATCACAAGGGCCCGAATTCACAAAGGAGGTTAGTTGTCGACAAACCGAGGTTTATGTGCGTCATACGACGCGTTTCGACGCGTTTTTACAAACCTTGGTTTGTAAAGAACAAAAGGAGGTTTGTCGAAACAAAAGGAGGTTTGTCGACAAACCTCCTTTGTGAATTCGGGCCAAGGTGTTTCACCTTCTGCCAAAATACAAACAAAAGTTAAAATGAGACAAAACGGTGAAAAAGACCATCCGTGTTTGGAATGTAAAGACTAAAGTCAATTGAAGACTTGCAGACAGCCTTTGACATCACAGACTGGAAATTGCTTCTTGGTTCTTGTGAGAACATTGATAAGATTACAGAAACCATCAATAGTTAGTCCATGTTTTTAAGGGCCTTCACATTCAGTCATAAATTGTTACCAACTATCCTACAAATAAACTATGGATTTTTGTCTGTACTCATTGATTTTATTTCGCCAAACTCCATTTTTTCGTACATACGTAACATAGTTTATACAAAACTGCAACATAATTATAACAAAACTTTTTTTAATGATTTGGTAAACAAACATAAATACAATATAATTCAATGTTCAAAATTTCACTATGTATAGGACTAAAATATATCACAATCACGCGCGTACGCAGGATTTTTTCCAAAAAAAAAAAAAAAAAAAAATCCAAAGGGGGGGGGGGGGGGTTTGCATTCTGGGATATATCGGTTTCTTTAATATCGAAATGACTTAAGTTGTTGACTTCGTTGTACCTCTACTTCGCTCTTTTTTAAACTTCCCAGTTTTTCCCATTTTCTCAGATGTAGGGGAAATTCATTTCTCATCAATGCCAAATTCTTTTCAATTCATCTTCTTTGAAACTGCGTTTAATCTCATCTCTGTCCTCTTCCCAAAATGAAAAGGTGATTTCCCAACTGCTCTTTTCCTTGATCAATTAATGTTATTCCAAAAAATATCTCCTCCACACTTAGATTAGGTATTAATATAAAGCCCAATACATTGTTACAATCGTTCCATATCAAAACCTGTTGTCTCTTCTTCCTCTTTGCAGAATAAACTCACATTAGTTTTGGCATTTCCAAATCGATACGAATGATGATTTGTGTAAATAATTCCATGCAGTAGTTTAAATTGGATCTCTCTTAATTGGCTATTTAATGGACTTTGTATTGGTCTCTTAAAAATTGGTCTCTTAGGGATCTGAATGAAAAACTAAAGAATGAAATCAAACGGTCGAAAAGATGCTACAAAGAAAAGCTAGAAAGCTGCCTCGAGAATAATGGCTCAAAAGGAGTATGGAAATGTCTAGAAATTATGACTGATTATAATTTAAAAAAAGAGAAAATGTTTTTGTAAACATTGATGATCCAAAACAAAAAGCTCATTAATTAAATGTTTTCTATTGTCAATTTGACACAAACGACTTTCATGATACTATCGGTTAGCAGGAAGTATTGCTTCGATCAAGGAGTTACCAAGGCGTTAGGTTTAATTTATAGGGATAAAATTTGTTGTGAATTTATCAGAATAGGGAATTGCATTCTCCCAAAAGAAATGAACATTTAATTATTTGTAACTTATTAGGATACATACATGGGTATGATCCCGTCATATAGAAAATCATTCTGATAAATGCTTTTGATTTTGGTTGTAGCGAACTGTTTGCTTGATAGAAACATTTTATTATCATGATATCATTATTCAAACTAATAATAATTTTAATATTGACAATAATAATATTAATATTGACTATAGTAATATCAATATTGATAATAATAATCATTATTGTGTTTGTAATTACTCTGGATATTTTAACTAAAATATTGAATATAATGTACATTTTGAGAAAAATATGTTAATTTGAATATTAAACTGCTACGTTTATTCTCCATACTCGTTATCTTTTGCATGTATTTGTTCCTTATTTCATCTATTTCATTCTATAAATGTGATGTTTTTATTTCTTTTAATTATGTATTTTGTTGAATATGACTGTAACGCCAGTGGAAAACAATTTTCTATGTAACTTGTTTGCAAAGACCAAATAAAATATCTTGTATCTTGTATCTTGTATCTTGTTTTGCGTTGTATGTATGTTTATTTTCTATTCTCATTTTATATTGTATGTATCATGTCACATCGACGTTTTATTCATTTTTTTTTCTGTGAATAATGCATGAACACGCAACGAATTTCCTTTTGGACCAATACACTTTAATATATTTGAATTAAATTAATACGAAGTCAAGAATTCGGTGACATTTTGCTCATAAAATGCATACAAAAAAATAATGAAAAAAGGAACGAAACAAACAGACACACGCACAACAAAAATTACAAAGGGTTTAAAGTGTCAAAACCCTAATTTTCAGAATAAGTCTGGTGCAATATCTATACAAAGAATTCTTTTATACTATTTCCGAATTACATGCATGTTAGTTCCAAAAACCATAAACTTTTTAATGTTCTAGTCACCTGTGCAAACCTCAAGAGGTTGCCAATTCGCAGGTATACCACCCCTTTTACAAAGGAGCCATATATATATATATATATATGCTTACACAATCATGTAGACTTTTACATATAAGATCATCGACTCGCTCATGATCAACCCTGTACCCAAATATCACACACCAAGATGTATTTGAATGGATGATAGCAACCTACCTTGTATCAATATCGGAAAACAGACGAAAGGAGACAGAGTTAATAAAAACAGTTTCAGTACTTTTAACGTTGCCATCTTTCTCCAGTATTCTCTGGAATATCCACATCACACACTCCGATTTCCCACACGTATTATCGATCAACTGTCAATCGTATACCGTGGACCCTAGCTCAACGACATTCAGTGTAACTTAATTCCCGGTAGCGTATTCTTGTATTTACACGCAAGCGAATGGAATTTCACGATTAATTACAATAAAACCGCTCGCGAAGAGCCTAGACTGTTTTTAAACCTTTTTTGTACTAATAATGATAATTTTCTGAAAATGTTCTGTCGTTGACCCGTGTGTGTGTGCGTGTGTGTGCGTGCGTGCGTGCGTGCGTGTGTGTGTGTGTGCGTGCGTGCGTGCGTGTGTGCGCGTGTGTGCGCTGGTGTGTGCGCTTGTGTGTGTGTGTGGGGGTGGGTGAGTATGTGTGTGAGTGGGTGAGTATGTTTGTGTGATAGAGGGTGAGTATGTCTGTGTGATGGAGGGGGCAGGGAGGGGGCAGGATTGTTTCAGTAAAATTACCTCCAGATTTGTTTTTTTTTGTAAATATATAAGTAAATAACACTTACAATTGACATATTATGTTTAGATACTTATACGTTTACTTTGTTGCTAAGTTATATTATACTGCAAATAAGTTTGTGTTTAATTATGTTTATGTAAAAGCATCAATATTGAACACGTTTATTTTATTCAATTGTATGTCATGGTTTGTATTACACATCTGGAGAAATAAAACAAAACTGTTAAAAAAAAAAAATTTAAAAAAAAAAAAAAAAAAAGTGTGTGTTTATGTTCAGGCTCGCTGCGCTGATTTCTGTTGTCATATTCAAATGCAAGAGCAAAATAGATTCCAATATTTTTGTTCAATATCTTCTCGGAATTAAGTGCTCGGAATCTTGTAAATTCTATTTTTGTTTAATAACATAATTGGATAACAAATTTTAAAATCATAGTGTAACATAGATAGGCTAATTGAGTGTAAGAGTAAAGATGACAATAACCAGGAATATGATTTGATTTGAATTGATGTCTGCATTTAAAAAAAATATATATAATAACTGATTAACAAAGAACACATAAACGTAAGGTATAATACAAAATATACAAACAATAATAACTTTATGTCAAAATGTTTTTTTGATTTTTTTTTACAAAAGTACATGAAATAACGAAACTGAACATTTCTATAACATATTATTATAAATTTAAAGTATTATCCAAGCTATTTGTTGAAAAAAGTGCAAGAGACAATCATAAGCGATGCTTGACTAGGAGGGCGGCCTCAAAAAAAAAAATCTTAAGGTAAGACTTAAAATGAAAAAGTGTTTAAACGATCTTTGTGTATGACTTTGTAAGTGTGTTGTGTGAGTGTATAACAACAATTAACCTACTACTGCATGTCTCTTCTGGATTATAATGCAGGGATAAGAATAGGTTATGTTACTTGTAACACTTTTTAATTTTGTTTTCCCTTTCTTTCTCTTTTTTCTATTCAAATAAAAAGGGGAAAAAGAAAAACATATACGACATGACAGTAAGACAATATATAAATAAATATATATATATATATATGCTTTATGATTATCCAACCTCTCCTACGAGATGACCCCGACAATAAGACCCTATTCCAAACTCATGTGAGACAGTGAACATGGATTTTACAATATTAAATTCCATCAAGATAAATAACATGGTTTTCATATATTCCTGTTCTCAATGTGTATGATGAATTGACAGGTGGTATGTATATTAATGTGTATGTTCCGTAATTATCCATATTGTTTCATGACAACTGACATCAGCCTTATTTTTCGTTCTTTTTGTTCCCTTGATGGTATTTTCTTTTTTTTATTTTGGCTATTTAAAGTAATTGATTATTTATATATCGTTTGCGAACCTTTAAGCATGTATACATCGACTTGAATAACTATTACATATATTTTCTGTGTTTACTTTGAATTTATCATTATATCCTGCCCCATTGTTGCTAAGAGGGCTAGATATCCCACCCCCAAATAATAATAATTAAAAAAAAACGGCATTTGTTACTTTAATTTGTGTCGCACTCTATATAACTTATCAGACCTCTTTAACAATCACCATCACCATCACCGTCACCCCTAACGAAAAAAAATACAATAAATGTTTGGTTCATATTCGGATTGCATTACCTCTTTGTACGCTACATGACGCGAAAACCTTCGAGATCCGAAAGTGTTCTGAACCCCTATCCCCAAAGTCCCAAACAAATCACAATTCCAAAGTGCCCCAACCCCCTCTCACCCCTCTCCGGGCAGTAACTAGGCTCACGGTCCGGTCCAACCCCGTTATATAATTTATAGGTCCATAAGTCCTACTAAAAGCTACTTTCTACAAAAACATATTTGTCGTATAAACAATTACTATTTTCTGAAATAGCAAATTCAGTCCTTGATAATGATAATGGGCCTGCTTGGTCTACCTAATATCTTAGTGGCGTAGCCTGGATAAGATCAGTCGTGGACAAGGGTTGGGGCAAGATTTCCTACAAGGAGGACAAATTACGATAGGATATGTGTTTATGTTTTCCTTTTTTTCCGTCACCACAGGAGCGGGGGATTTCTGTTTAAAATTATCAAAGATAAAAAGGTGGAATATACCTAATTTTTAAAAAATGGACAAAAATGCAGGGCCAAGTATCGCCCCCACGCTCAGCTACGCCATAGCCTTGCCGGGGTGTCCTCCGTTCAATGTTTTTCTTTGTTCGTTGTTCACATCACACCAGTCCTCAATTCACTCCATTGGTTGCCCGTAGAAAAACGTGTTGTTTTCAAGATTATTTTACTATTATTTCACTGTATACATGGCTCTGCTCCGCAGTATAACATCGGCTTGATTAAGCATTACTTTCCTTCTAGACAGCTACGTTCTCAAAACTCTGGCTTACTTGTTACTCCTAGGGTTAAAACAAAGTGGGGGGAACGAACCTTCGCTCATGCTGGGCCTTCGTTATGGAATACTCTCCCTCAATGGGTTAAGAATAGCAGTTCTGCTGAGGTGTTAAAAAACAATCTTAAGAAATATCTGTTTAATTTAGCTTATAATTATTGATTACCATTACCTTTCATGTCTGTACCTTTCCTATCGCACTTTGTATAAATGTATCATGTATGTATTTCATCTTTTGCACAAGCTGCGCCTTGAGCATTTGACTGTCAAGTGGATTTGGCGCCTTATAAATCATATGTATTATTATTATTTATTATTGCTTAGGCCTATTCAATGTTATGAATAACGACCCCCATTTCGTATATTGAATACCGACCCTAACTCTATATTCTGAATAAATAGCGACCCTCATTTCGTGTTATGAATAGCGACCCTTTACTCTCATTATGAATAGCGATCCTCATTTTGTATTATTAACAGCGAACCCCATCTCGTATTATGAATAGCGACCGCTACTCCTTTTATGAATAGCGACCCTCTACTCCTATTATGAATAACGACCTCTTCTCGTTTTATGAATAGCGACCCTCATTTCGTATTACGAATGGCAACCCTCTTCTCGTTTTAAGAATGAGGACCCTCATTTCGTTTTATGAATAGCGACACTCTTCTCGTTTTATGAATAGCGACCCTCTCCTATTTTAATGAATAGCGACCCTCATTTCGTAATAAGAATAGCGACTCTCTTTTCATTTTATGAATAGAGACCCTCAATTATTTCGTATTGGTGCATTCTACCACAATTTTCCATAAGGCCTATAATATACTCTGTTTCTGTATTTCTCTCTTTTTTCTATCATTTAATTCTTGATTTTCTCCACTCTTTTCTTCAATCCATAATCACTATTAAATCTGGCCAATGAATTCTTTCAATTCCTTTTTCTTAAATATATTTTGTACTTTGTATTCCTCTCTTGGTAGTTCTTAATTCCCACAATTCATCTTTTCACTCTTTCCATTTGTTCTTGTTTCCATCCTATTAATAGGCCTATCATATTCCCTTATAGTATACTTTCTCTAAAATCCACTTTATGTCTTTCCTAATAAGGGTAAGAGGACACATTTTTTTTTTTTTTTTTTTTTGTCTCGAAATTTGAAAATTTGACATTTTGCTCCGTTAGGGGGGGGGGGGGGGGTTTAGAGAAATTTAGGGGGGGGGGGGTTTACACACAAAAAAATACCAAAGGAGGGGGTTTAACCCCCCCCCCCCCCCCCCTGTGTATGCGCCTGCCCATGCAAGTGTTTTCCAGTCCTCCGCGACCCGAGAGTTTAGTATAAGAGTATTGATACCTGATTGCCAAAACGGCAGATCAATCCATGATGTTGTAAAGGTTAAGAGGGGGGGGGGGGGGGGGGGGGGGGTTGCTGAGAAAATGTCTACAAACATTTTTTTGTGACAGGGAGTTGGTTATTTAATACACCCACACGTCTACACACACACACGCGCACATCCGCATCCACCCGCATACACACTCATCCACCGCACACATACTAATTAACACACAATCCCCCTCAATTTTCCGTAATTTTTTATTTCAATTTCATTCAATATTAAATTTTGTCTTCATCATAATAATAAAAATGAAACGACTAATTTATAATATAATTTAGATAATTAAAAAAAAAAAAAATCAATTATGATAATACATAAATTATAACCCCAAAACAAAACCACTAACACCACCATGCACGAACACCCCTCAAACAATAATTTTTATTTAATTCAATATCAAAACAATACAAATAATTGTTTAATACATTTCTTTTCCATCACACTATAATAAAAATTAAAATAACTTAAGACACGTATAATTAAATTATGATAATTAAAAAAAAAAAAAATGAAATCATTTATAATATAAAACAAATTATAACCCCCTGCCTTAATACGTAAATCCAAAACAAAACCACTACCACCACCATGTACGCACACTCCTCCCCCCCCCCCCCCCCAGAATTAAAAAAAAAAAAAAATCATTCGTAAATCCTCCAAAATACTGTTCTTTTTCGTTATAATGGCATAATTTAAAAAAAATTAATACATGTTCAATTTATACAATACACGCACACAGTAGCACACACACCCAACCCACCCACCAAAAACTCTCGATCTCTGAAATGCCATGGGGGGGGGGGGGGGGGGGGGGGGGGGGGGGGGGGGGGGGGGTTGAGTTATTTACAGAATCGATATCCGCTTGATCCGGATATCTGCTACCGGGTCAAAGGTTTTCAGTTCCAGAACGAGATAGAGATTTGGCACTGGGAAGGAGGCATGTAATGTATCTAAATACCTGCTTTGCTCCTTGGAAATCGATCAATATATAGCACTTTCGGTGTTTGATCTTGAGGATTCATTTAGCAGTGTGATTTCTTATTTAGGCCGAAAATAAAGATGGGAGATCACGACGAAATTGTGGCAGCTGTTTATCACCTTCTCAAGAAGCTCACCGCCGATCCAGTGCCAGAGTCGCATAGGGTTTGTATTGTTTGTGTTTCATGGCTTTGCTTTGTGAGGATAACGTGGATGATAATAATAATTCATTGATGATGATATATAATGATCTGCAATCTGTATGACGGGGTGTTTCTGGACAATCATAGACATAAGATAAAGCAAATTAAACATGAATATTTGTCCTAGGCCTAGACTAGTATTCCTAAGGCTAAGCTATATTTTCAAGTAATTCGGCTCATCAAGTAAACACGATCGTAGATCTAGTCTTAGAGTCGTAGTCATTGTACCAGTAGCAGTGCCAGTGCTGGTCCAAGAATAAGGATCGTCTGCAGAAACGAGGATCGTCTTCGTAAACGTGGACAGACACGTTCGCAAACATTTTCGCAGATGTTTCATATTTCCCATCCGCGCGTTCGCGATGCGAAAAAATGGATTCCGCAATGATTTTCTTGATGCATTTCACATTGACTTTGTACAGAGACTTAGTTTCATGTTATGAATATGAGCGTTAAATCCTCAGGAAGACAGACCCATAAATGTAGACGGTGAACTGGGGTTATTTTATTATGCGTACTGTATTTGCCGGCGTAAAGGCCGCAGTATTTTTGGAAGAGAAAATATCAAAAAGTCGGGGTGCGGCCTTTACGGCGAAAGAGTAAAAAAAAAAAAAAAAGAAACAAAAGTCAAAACCAGCACGAATTTGCACATATGGGACTACATATGGTAAAATAACTATACCACTATGGTACAGGACATTTCCACACATCTTATCGACTATTTTACCTCGCATTGTTGACATGAAGACGAAAATAAATGTCCTAACACAACATTTGCCGATAGATCTTGATCTAAGTGCCAATGCATTGCAAAAGTAAAGGAAGGGACCGTTTAACGGAGCTACCGTGAACATCCATCCGAAGTCGCCATTTTGTTTTCCATTTCATGCAGTTTCGCATTACACTGTACATTGTGGTAGGGGTATATATCGGACACCAAATCTGCCTGCGATCACTTTTTTAGCTAAACTTCCTGTAAATTATAAGAATATTGATGAATTTGGTATCAGTTTGTAAAAAAAAAATTGTGTTTTCAAGAAAATTATGATTATTTTGTTATGTCCGTTTTTTTTTTTTTTTACTTTTTTTTTCCCTCTTTGAAATGTCAAAGTTGGGGTGCGGCCTATGCGGCGGTGTGGCCTTATCGCCGGCAAAGATTTTTTTGGGGTGCTGTATGCTAGCTATCACCTAGCCTTAATTGGCACCCATACCCATGCGTATGAAGAGTGGTATAAACAAAACCTACAAATTATTTAATACAATTGCCCATTCTCGCAATTAACCTGATGAACCTTGCAAACTACATTCTGAGTTCACTAGTGGATTCTCCCTTATACTTATATACATGTAAAGCGCTTTGAAATCCGTCAAGAATTAAACAAAGAATGTGACAATTTGATATGGGAGTGATAGCGATTTGCTAAACTTTCCCTGTTTTTCTGATGACATAATTTTCATGACCAAAACATTCACCACTGCAAAGAGTTTGCAATGTTAATCATGGCCATAAATGCAAGTAATGATCATTCAAAAATCTTTCGAGATGGGACCTCCATTAAAGTCACATCTCCCTGGTGAACTCTGTAATATGAAACCAAGTTTAAAATAATGCTCATTACCAATTTTTTCTCCTTAATCAGGCTTCTCTTTTAATCTTTATTCATTAACAGATTTTACGGATTCTCCAGAGGTTGGAAAGACTGCCAATTACAGTGAGAGTTCTACAGGTGAGAGACTTAGCATAGATTAAGTATTACGGTAGCCCTTTTTTTAGGATACATCCAAGATTACCCTTTTTGTTCTTTTAGAGTATGATTTTCCAAATGCTATGATGCAGTATAATTAATGTATGCTATACAGTACGCATAGACAGTATGTTACATTCTTGGTTTAGAATTTAAGGTGAACCAAGAGGCAACAGTTTACTTCACATCTGCGTTGGATGTCAAAATGTTTTATTTTAGTTGCTATTATTTTGAAACACTAGATTGCCTCCATCTAAGCCAACTGGCATTTTTTGCATTTTTTTGTTTATAAGAAATAACTGGGAGAGGGCAACTGTTCATTTCCTTCTGCATGTTTCGATGGGAGAATGTGGTGGTATTGTATACCTGGAATAGGCCTGGAAAGTAACCTTTACTGATCAGAATTTAACCAGTATGTTTCCAAAGTGAAGTGAAGGGACTTTAGTGGACTTTAGCAGGTTCACTGGATGTCTGGAAAGTGGTTAGTGTGCCTAATAATGCATTGTGATGCATGACCAATGCGCTAATCATAAAGTCTGGAAACATTTTACAGAACTTAAAAGGTCAAGCGTACCTCTGAGACAGATAAGCTATTCCGTTAGCATTAGCATGATAATCAGACTACAGTGTGTTTCTCCAGGGCCTAGGGGGGTGTTTCACAAAGACAAAGATTGACTTTAAAGTGGACTTCACTATGGCAGGCCGTTCATGCCACTGTTTGCTCTTACCATTTACTGGCATTGGTCTCTGAAGGGACATATAAATTGTGGTCACAAATCTATAGAAGTTACACTTTTTGATAGTTCATTATTAAAGGAAAAAATATTATCTAATTCTAAAGATCATAATTGAGAGACCAATGATGAGAGTAACCAGTGACATGAACGACCTGCCATAATTAAGTCCAACTTAAAGTTGATCTTAGTCTTTGTGAAACACTCCCCTGAAGTGTGTACGGGGAAAATTCTGGAAATTAACGTTATTTAATTTCCTGTTGAAATAAGTGACTTGTTTCATGAGAATAGGCCTCTAGATTCTCTAAAAATTGAGTTTGCCAATGCAGGAGGCACATAAACATGTATTTTTAAGCATTATGTGACTATACTTTTGTGTAGTGTTGTTTAGCAATCAATTCTTGACTTTGTTTCGTATTTGATCCTTGAAATCTTGTAGGAGACGGGAGTAGGGAAAGCTGTAAACAAGCTGCGCAAGCAAGGAGGAGAAATTACAGACGCTGTGAAAGGACTGGTGCAAAGTTGGAGAGATTTGGTCAGTTCAGTCGTAGATTACAACATTATGGTATAATTCTATCAGAATTAATGTTTACTTTATTGGTGCTGTATGTAAGTTTAATCTTCTAAAGGAATTTTTGATGAAGTTTCCTGTAGAGTTCTAGGAAACACTAGAGGACATTAGTAATCACAATATGTTGGTAAAAGTTAAAGGAGTAAAAAGTCTAGTGTTGTACTCTGTTTTCTTTTGGATACAATTGCGAGGGTAATACACAGACTCTAAAGGTTTTTTCTGGAATGTAGGCACTTTTGAGAATTCATATGTTCAGTGACTGTTGAATTTTCAAGATTTATCAGTCCTCACCAAGTTTATTATATTATGGCAGAATATGTAATTTTTCAAAACTTAGAGATATTATTTTGTGTGTGTGGAGTATATCCTCCCCAAAACACAAAAAGGAATTTCCCTAAAGAGAACTGTGTATTATAAGGTAAACATACTTTTCTCCAGCTGAACAGATAACCCCTTCTGAAGATAGCTACTTAATTCTCAAAGTTATGTAAAGTAAATTGATTATTAATATGGTTCAAGACCAGCTACTCCTAAATCAATCACCTTTACTTCAAATTGGCAACTATTTTTTTTTTCTTAGTGCTGCATTGTTCTAATGAAATTTCATATCTCTTAAAACAAGATGCATGTCTATGAACTCTGTTGAAAAATGTAAAACTGCCAATTTTGTTCATAAAACAGTGGCTTTAAACCTCTCATCATGTTGCCAATTTAAGGATTTTAAAGCTTATTTTCCATTTAGAAATTCTAAGTGCAATGTGATCATGCAATGATTTGTGCAGAAATGTTCGCCTTTCTTTTCATGCATCTGGTATATATATTTAGGGCTCTGAATAAAGTTCTGAAAAGTTACTGAGCCAAACCTCAAAATGTGGACTGCTTGTCTCAAGAGGGTTACAAGATGTTTATCATTGTTGTGTTTATCATTGTTGTGTTTATCATTGCTGTGTTTATCATTGTTGTGTTTATCATTGTTGTGTTTATCATTGTTGTGTTTATCATTGTTGTGTTTATCATTGTTGCATTATCATTGTTGTGTTTATCATTGTTGTGTTTTGTATCTTTTGAAGGTGAGAGAGGCAATGGAAGCTGAACAGAAAACCCCAGCTTCCCCAGAACGTGGTTCTTCACCCTCTTCTCAATCTGGGTCGTCAGATGAGGACGAGGATGAATCAAGTGAGGAGGATAGTTCCAGCGACGATTCCAGTGAATCGGATAGAGAGGATGAGGGACGAAGAAAGCGTTACAGTCCCGAACCAAGCCCGCCTTATGCCAGCCCGCCTCCCTCACCCCCCGTTAGGGACTCCAGACCGAAGCCCCCTACAAACCGACATGTGTCTGTAACAGGGAAAGAAAGGGTATCGTCCAAAAGGCCACATGCACCATCTCCTAGTCGATGCCAAGACGCGCCACAGACACACTTGAGCACGACTTCATCATCTCAAATCAAGAAAAGGAGGATAGAGGAAAGGCCTTCGTCAGACGCTAGTGAAAGTTCTAAGGTAGTGAAAAAGAAACCTCCGGAGGATGACTGTTTCTCTCAAGCTCTTTTTCCAAGCCCTCGCAAAGTGGGGAGTTCATCTTCTAGTTCTCTGCCTAAGAGTCCAGTGCACATACAGAAAGACAGAGGAGGAGATAAAACAGGCTCCCCAACCAAGCTAGCCAAACCAGGACACTCCCTTAAACCATCATCATCTGGAAGTGAGAAGAGCAATGAGAGGAGTTTGAGTAAGAGCCCTCAGAAGAAAGTTAATCAAAAGAATGATCAAGAAAGGACTAAATCTAAAACGTCAGATTCTAGGGTTATAAATGGTTCTGTGAGAGAGCCAGAAACAAGTTTTCTAGATATGATAGATGATGTAGATGTATCCAAGCATAATAATGCTAATCTCAAAACAAACAAGATATCATCACAAGCATCCTCAAAGATTTCATCCGTATCAAAGTCATCAATATCATCTGCCTCTTCATCCAAATCATCTACTCAGAAGAAACCTGGAAGTGCCTCTCTTACCCCGTCAGCAGACAGAGAGTCTGCTGAATCTTCAAGAACTGCTGAAAAATCTGCTCATCGAGAGCACGCAAGAACAGATTCTAAATCATCAAAAGAAAGCAGGCCATCACAATCTTCGGAAAAAGTGTCAAGCAAGTCGAAAGCAGTGTCAAGCAGTGTCAAACCTACTGAAGACTCACAGTCAAAGTCAAGTGCCAAGGAAAGTCTTGCTCCTAAATCAAAGAGGAAGCTCTCCACTGGAGAGCGTAGGATTAGCGAAGAGGGTACTCAGAGCTTTGTGAACACGGGTTTGTCTTTCGGAGACATCCTCATGGCTCCAACGCTTACAACCAAAGTGAAGAAACCAGGGAAGCGGTTGAATACTGGTGCAACAGACTCCACCAAGAAGTCATCGTCATCTTCTGCCACAAGTAAATCATCCTCAAAACCATCATCAAAGTCATCATCATCATCATCAACGCATGCAATAGGTTCTTCATCATCAAAGCACATTAGTCAGAAAAACCAGGGGAGTAAATCAGCTAGCACTTCTGGAAAAGGAAACAAGAAAGTGCACTCCAAAGATGATGGGAAGAACAGAGGTGAACAGATCAAGTCTCCAACTTCATTTACACCAACGGTAAAGCATAGGGCATTTTGTATACATGTAATATTTAATGTCAAATGAAACATCAGTTAAAGCTCATTATTTTTTTCTCGCAATAAATCCTTGTTTTATAGAAGGGCATGACTATACAGTTGAAATTAATGATTAAAACTTTAAGAGAAAAGTTAACTGCTCACTTGGCACATCAGTTTGTGATTCTTTAGACAAGGCCGATGCATATTCTACATTTTTCAATCTCCTTGATTAGAAAGCTTCCATTTCAAATTGTGAACTATGAAATCATCTTGGCTTTGTAGATGGCATGCTACAGACTACAGTACATTTATTATACTGTACTTTTGCAATGACTCCCTAGTAGCTGCTGTGTAAATGATCCACCCCAAGGTAATTTTCTTTAGTATTTGTACGCTTCTATTGAACTATGAATATGTCTCCATATTGTTAGATTTGTGGGTGGCTTTAGAATTTGATCTTAATGCGTATCTTTTCTCAGTGTTCCGAGTGAATTTGTATTCAAGTTGTGGTCAGATAGTCATGAATTCCTTTCCTGCCTCTCAATTATCTTTGCAGCTGGAAGATGTACACCAGGACATCACTTTCAACCTGCCTGAGATCTCGGCTGATTACAAGCCACTCAGGCTACCAGAGTTATCACCTAAGAAGAAAGGTAAATCTGAACAAAATGTCTTTTTCTTTGCATTCATCATGTCACCACAGTAAAAGATTAGGTCTGATTATCTGACTCCATGTTTAATAAAGAAATGAAAAATAACACACTACATTTTTTAAGCTGTGAATTGTCTACCGGTTGTTGAAATATATCCAGATAAAAACAAGTCTCTATGATGGACATACAATTGATAGATATCATAATGAACATATCTTTTTAGTATGATTTTGAAGGCTTTGTTTCACTAGAAGCTGCATGGTAAAAAAAATTCTTGAATAGATTGTTTGGTACATCCAGATTTGACAATTTATAAATAATAGAGGGCTGAGAGCATTCTTAAAGGGACCCAGTAACTTTGTCCCAGATTCTGAAACAACATCCTGGAGTTAGCTCATCCTGTAATGATAATTATAAACCTTTAGGTCAGTCAGGAACCCCATGACTTTTACAAGCGGATCGCCTGTCTGATTATCAAGATATTTATGATTGGAAATCAAAAACAAATTTAGTTTTTTCCTATCGGTTTTCATAACACTACAGTCTATTGGGGAAAATGAGTATGGTAAAACCGGTCACTCAAAGATTATTACTTTCTTGAGGCACTTCTGGATCATTTTGAAGCGCACTTTTTTTAGGGCTTTAATATTACACCATATCACAGACACTGATAACACGTAGGGCCATACATCTCAGATTTCACATTGTTAAACGATGCCTTTAAAATGCACCAGTCTTTGTCAATGTATTTAATCTGGCCGAAGATGAGTTGATGTTTGTAACTGTTTTCAGTTTATTGTTGATTTGACTTTGCTTGTGTACAGTCAGAGGCCAAGATGAGGAGGGGTCTTACATTGGGTCGAGGTTCGCAAGGACCAAACTCTATACTGGGCGAGCGAGACAGTCATTATCAAGTGAGTAAAGAGGTTTCCTCCGAAGAGAATCCTTTCAGTATCACATGGCTCTGTGAATACTAAACAAAAAAGAGAACTTTAATATAGCCACAAAATTTGGTGTAAATTCAACTTTGTACGAGAACAAACATGGAGTTATTAAGCTTTACCACATGTCAAGGAAAAATGGTCCAGACAAAACTGCTTAACCTTTCAAATTCTTTCTTTTCTCAAAAATTATGATAAAAGGATATTACTTGAAAATCATGTTGACGCAAGTTATTTTTTGTTCGATGTACCGGTAGTCCAGTGTGTATTTTTGAATCAAAGTTTCCAAAATAAAAAGGGGCAGTAAGTAAGTGATAGAAATCATGTAAAATATATTTTTTAAGAAATCAGTATGTAGTAAACGAAAGTTATAGCCGACTTGGAAAAGTACTTTGCATTGTGTCATAGTTTTGATAATGAAACTTATACAGGGAAAGAAGATGGAGAAGAAAAAAACAACAGAAAATGGACTGATCCATCTTGAATATCCTAGATAATTCACTTACATAGGTGACAGACAGGCTACAAATTATCTAGGTAGCTATAATCTAGATAATTGATAGGCCATTGCGCATGCGCCGATCAGGTAGATAAGCATTGTGACATCACACAGTCAATCAAAAGTAATGCGCAATTAACGTATCTTATTAAACGCAGGCTAATATAATAATGCGCAGGTTATGATAGCGCGTTTAAAAACATATGCTTGCCAATCATTAAGTTAAAGTTGACCTTACACTGACCTTTAAAGGATTTTTCGCAAGAAATTTCAACACTGGTGACAGACAGAAAAGTCCTGTGAAAAATGATAAGGTAGAATTTTCTTGGTTCGTTGTAGGTTTTTTTTGCAGGATTTTCGTGGGATAATTCATGACAGACAGCCAATTATCTAAATAACTATTATCTAGATAGCTGGCCTCTGTCTGACACCGTCTATTATGGTTTGTTAAAGGCTGCAAACATTCAATTTGAAATACTTTATTCAATTAAATTGACTCTATCTCTCCCAGGTGTTCCTTCTCTCTATGATGCTTGCATGCGAGTTCTTTTGGACAATATCGACGGTAAGTACCAAAAGGTTGACTGCGTGGTATGACTGTGATATTATCATTATAACCAGTAAGTTCTTGAAGATACGTCATGATTTCATGTATTGACATGACGATTTTGTACAATGGAATACAGTGAAACCAGTGTATAAAGTCCAATCAAGAGAGACCAAAATTTGCCAAAAGTGGTCTGTATGGGCAAGTGAGCTATACGAACAGGTTCCTGTAGTATAGGTTTGAGGTTTCAATAAGAAACCATTTGCAGGGAAAATGAAAAATTTGGTGTTTAATCTTTATAGACAAAAGTCACCAAAGTAGGTCTGACTGTTTATAAATTAAGGATACCATGTATGTTTGAGTTCTGTGAAGGAATTGAAATGTTATTTCTTAATTGTCAAGTTAAGATAACAATTTGCCATCGACTTGCTACCTACCGTAGTTACAATTAATCATCACAATTTCATTTCAGCTAGTAAATTCTAAGAACTTATTCATCTTTTATATCCTGTACATACATAATTGTTGTTGTTACTTGTAAATTGTTTCCATATGATCAGGGTATTTGGAATGTCATTTATCGTTGATATTTTTGTTGTTGATATGTTCAATAGTTCATACATTCTATACTTCTGTTCTTAGCTCTGTATGAGGTTGGAGTGCCCTATGACATCATCAAGCCTGTGCTTGAAAAGTGTACACCTCTACAACTACTCCATCTCGAGGACTATAATCCGGTAAGTAGTGAAACATGGTTTATTAAACAAACAATTCATGTTTGCAAGTGCATTAACTAGTGCATTCCCTGCGTGCAGGCTAAGTCACAATCGGATAAGGAACAAGACTTGTCAAATTTATTATCTGGTTAATAGGCCATTTTCATAATGTAACCAAATTTAATGCATAAGTCTTTGTGAAGTGCCTCAATACAAATTATTTCATTCACCTGATACGGTAGACAGAATCCAAACTGCATACATTAGTTGCTGTCAGGTGGTACAAACATTATGGCTTGACCAACCTAGCAACACTTTATATGAAGTTTGCATTCTGACTATTGAAATACTATTATTCTTATCAGGTGAATGAAATAATTTGTATTGAGGCACTTCGCCGGGACTTATGCATTAAATTTGGTTACATTACGAAAATGGCCTACCGGGTATTGTGATTTAACCAAGTGCCTTTTCCATCCCACTTTTCTCTCTCATTATCTCATACCTTTGTCTTAATACCTGTCTCTAGTACCTGATAGAAGATACCGATGAGCTCTGGAGAACCCATGCAGAGAAAGACTTCAGAAAATTCAAGCCTCAAGAAATGGAGTCATTTAGGGAATTGTACTTGGTAAGATAAAATTAAAATTTCCTCCCTCCCTCTCTCTCTCTCTCTTTCTCTCTTTATCTACATGTATCTCTCTCTCTCCCTCACTCTTTCCTTCTCTCTCTATTTCTCTTTCACTCTCTGTCACTCTCTATGCCTTTCTCTCTCTCTCTCTCTCTCTCTCTTTGGTTTACCTTTACACGTATTGCTCCATATGATGTTATGAGCTGTTTGACAAAGACAGGGCACAGTAGAATGTGAATGCAATGCTTATTCTATACGGTACATGTTCGCACTTTTCTTGCAAGATGCAGTTTAAGATAATTGGATTCTCAGAAACATGAGGTAACAAAAAAGGCAATTATACAATTGGAATTATCCAGACGATGGCTTTGTTCTCTTTGGCACCTGCAAAAATTCTATCAAAATAGTGAGATTTGTTTCACAATCGAAGCATTCAGTGTTTAGCCTTACACATGTTTGTTGTTGATAATCAATAAGCCATACTTGATACTTGATGGAGTAATCCCTTCAGCAGCTCACCCAGGAAGCTAATTTGGAACGGTAGGTGAGGCAAGTAGCTGCAAGGAGTACCATGAGGCGTAACAAAAAAAATATGTTGTATTGCCCTTTGCGACCGACCCAAAAATCTTGAAATCTACTGTCGGCTTTTAAATTTTTTTATTAAAAAAAAAAAAATTTAAACCGTTTTTTAGAGAAAAAATGTTTAATGAATAAAAAAGTATGTATTAACTCTTATCCTGCCATGAGACTGCTAGCGCGCTATTGTTATAGTGCCGTGTGCATGCGAGCGAGCCACCGCTACGCTGCTTCGTTCACGCTAGCGCGCATATGTAATAACAGTTATTGTTCATGCCCATTGCACCGTGCTGAGTGCTTTTGCAGCGCTATTGAAAGTACCATCGCGTGCATCAGATTATCGGCTTTGGATTACGCGTCTTTGTATACAACAGTCAGATTGGATTATCTCGAGTAATTCAGCGATTTGTTTTTTGTAAAGATTTAAATAACACGCACTTGAACCAACCTTAAAATTAACTTGGCACACAGGAGATTAGCACTGTGGCACTGGGTGCATTGTATGGGTGGCAGCTTAAGAGTTAAAAGCATTCAAAACTGAGAAATATCAGCCCAACGACGGGAAAAAAAAGAAAAGAAAAGTTTTGACTGACCGACCCATGTTTTGGCACCTAAAGGGCAATACAACAGCAGAAATGGTGTGTGGACAATTCACAGTAAAATATGCTAAGTCCATCAGTGTAGTGCCATACATTGAATCTATGTATGTTCATTTGATTTTTTTCGTTCAGAGGAAGAAAGATGAGAGAGAGGAAAAACTCAAGAACATCACAGCCAACATCAAGACTTCTTTTGCCAAGAAAGATCCAGGTAAATGAACTTTTTAACATTATCCCAATGACCTCTTAGATATATTAGTTTAGTACCGGTACTTGGCAATAACTTTATGGTAATTAAGATGGTATAGACTCAAACAAAAAAACAGTAATGTGTGAAGGGAATAAAGGTATGGTTTTCATATTCCCCATTCACATCTCCATGTAACTAAGTGTAGAGAATGAGTCACATAGAGATGCTATGGACTTTGCGGTTGAATTCCTGCCACAGCTCTAATATCCTTTGGCAAGACATTTTTGTTGTTGTTGCTACTTTTCTTCCAGATGGAGAATGTGTACCTGATGGGAAGAAATTCCTTGAATGGTTGAGTGCCTTATAAGGGTGTCTGTGCTATAAGTAATATAATTCAGAGTTTGATATCCTAAGGGAAAAAGCACACTATTACCGGTAGTACAACTTTTATTGTTATTATATTACATTCTTGTTTGTAGCAAGATATGAAAGCTAGCAAGTCTTTTTCCTGAATCAAAAGTGTGTCCACCTCTGTTAATCTTGTAGGACGACTGACCAAGATGGCATTTGTCCATGGCCCAGCCGAGCTGTTATTAGTATTATATTGCATTCTTGTTTGTAGCAAGATATGAATGCTAGCAGGTCGTTTTCCTTCCTGAATCAAAAGTGTGGCCACCTCTGTTCTTGCAGGACGACTGACCAAGATGGCATTTGTCCATGGCCCAGCCAAGCCCCCAAGGGCCGTCCAGCGCCAGCAAGTCCGGCACGGGACCGGTCGCATCACGTCCAGTCCCCCCAGCAACCCCCACAAAGCGTACGTCCCTTCCAAGCATGCCGGGGACACGGGCCCAATCCGAAGCAGCAGCACTAGCACCATCAAGAGCGGGGAGTATGCAGAGCGGAGTCATTCAGGAGGGGGTGGTAGCAGAGGAGGAGGGGGCGGTAGTAGTGGAGGAGGTGGAGAAAGACGAGGAAACCCGAGTTATGAAAGCATCAGTATGAGTAGCTGTAACGGGGGTAGCAGCAGAGGAGGAGGGCGATGTAAGTCTTTTTTTTTTTAAATCTACATCTGCTCTGGCACCCTTTACTCTCACTTTATGAACCAGAGCAAAATAACACTGAGTTATATAGGAAATCTTTTTATTCAGATTGTCATATCTCAGCCAATACTGAACATATCCAATTGGTTTTCGACATTTGGACATTATTTTTTATGCTCTTTCGGAAAATGAAATTAAAATTGAGAAATTCTAAAAATATTTTTTTGTTGACGTCACACTTCACCACTCTATTAAAACCAACTCAATATCAGGGTGGACTTCCCCTTTAATATATACAGTCCTCTGCTTATCAGTTGCTTTGATTTTTCATCTTTATAATTTCCTTCCATATTTGTTTCTTTCTATCTTCCTTGCCATCTGCAGCAAAGGCATCAAAGGCCCCCATGATGCAGAAAGTTCTGAGGATGAAGAAGCTGTTCCGCAAATGAGCCCCACTCGGCTCCTCCACATGCATCATCATCATCATCTTTGCCTTTATGCCAGCATCACACAGAAGGAAATGGAAACGGAAGGAAATATTATTTTGGTCTGTTGAAGTTTTGGGATTGATACTTATTTGAGACAAAATATGGAGTATAATTCAGTATTCACAAACATATATTAAGTTTTTTTTTGTGCAGGCAGTCACACTAATATCGGGACGCTAGTTTCCGGTTTTTTGCCTGACGTCGGGCCTCGTCCGCTATGTATTCGAGACTTTTTCAGGATTCAGGATCAACATGGTGAGGCCTCTTTTTCAGGATCAAAGTATAAAAGTAACTTGTACCCCTGCACATAGTATTTACACAGAATTGATCATAAATTAGTAACAAAAGGTACCTACCAGGGAATATTACTTGATAGGGAGTGTGTACGTCAGTAATGAAAAAGCCCATTGCAAGTAGAAAATTATTCCAATCTTATTTAGCTCACATGGTTAAGATTTATTGAAATGTTCATTCAAGAAGAAGAAGAAGAAGAAAAAAGGTACATGGACCCCACTATCATGGACAATCTTGGAAAGGCATGGAAAAATAAATTGTTCTGGAAAGACTTGGGGAGTGTTTCACAAAGGGTAGTGAGATCCTAAGTTGAACTTATCTCTTAGTTGGACATGAACATTTTGTAAATTATTAGTCTAAAGGACAGTCAGTTCCAAAATTATAGTATTATGTCAATTGTGATTCAATTATTGTCACAGCATGAAACTCTAGCTATGTGAACTACTCACAAAATTTGTGAACATTTCATGCTCCTGAAAGTTATTTAATTTATAGTTATATCCAAAAAGCCTTCGGAAAAATCCATCAATCATATATTAGCTCAATGAAATTCAATATTTTAATCTACTTTGAGTCAAGGAGATCATGCCATCTTTGGACATAGAATCTAGAATACCATGTACTGAAATTATCATACAGATAATATACAAGTTAGTATATTCAGGAATTTTGAATAATTTTGTATATATGTATGAAGAGTGAATATTAATCAAGAAATGTACAAATGCAGATGTATATCTAAAATTGAAACCATACAAAGTGCAAATATTATGATGTAGTATGTGTTCATGCAGTACTACTGCCTGTGATAAGAGTGTTGTGCAAATCGCTTTAAGAATACTTTGAAATATATAAGCTAGTTACAAATAATTGCTTTGATTTAGATTAGATTGATGAAATACAGTGTTCTTGAATAATTCAATTATTTTTAAGAGGAAATTAAACTCTGGATTTACAGAAGGGCAAGTCAAAGCTCTTTTGTCCTATACCTTTACCAACTACATCATGATTTCAGTTTGAATATCTGATGACCTTGGCTTATCCTGGCGATAGCCGTACTAGAGCTTGAATCACACTATAAACATCACATGAAATGTTAATTTTATGTCAATTTTTGTTTACAATTCTATAATACAATTTAATGATACAATTTTATAATACATGATAATGTATGGGATATACCATGGATGCGCCCTGAAATGATGAATGTGATACTTTAATAGAAATAGTGTGGATATTCTTTTAAGAAGGGTAATATCAGATCTTGCAGTGCTTAATAATACAAATTCTATTCAGATCAAAATCTGGGCAACAAAATGTTAAACCTGACTCCTGTTACAAAGCAATTATGTGTCGTTTCATAAATATATTTTGGATGAAATTGCATTACCAATACTGCATTGGTTTGTTGCTGATGTACATAGTACTTAAAGCGATGTATATGTCACATCCTGTTTGTTGTTATGACATCACAAATCATGACGTATCTGCCTGTCTTTGAGGAAAGGAAGCATCACTCTTTTGAAATTTGTCAAAAATTAGTTAATCTTTCACTCAAGATTTTATTGAAATTTACATTATAAGAATGCAATATTAATTTTGTGAAATCTATTATGTACTATGTACATTCATTAATGAAAACATTTTTGTCATTCTATAAATCTAATTTGCCTGCTTTCATATAAATGAACTTATTACAAGGGTTGGATTGCCCTCATTCAGAAATGATGGAGTAAACAGCAGCGTTTTTTTAATTTATAATAATGATTTAAAGGTATAGACCAGTTCTGGTCATGTGATTGCATGGTGAAAGAAACGTTGTGGAATCGATCAGAAAAAGGTTGATCATCTAGCATATAAGTATTGGTGTGTACTGCAAGGTTCTAGAATCATCGAAATGATAAGAAATTTGGCCCAGCCTTGGTAAAGTTACAAGCACTGTATGTGGGACTACGCGATATCTATCCAGTCTGGATAGATATAATACTTTACCATATATATCAATTAGTAGGCGGTTTCCTGGCAAAATTGTTATCATGTGTTAGTGAAAACATATTCTTTCACATGATTGGTAATAAGAGCTTCCATTTCATTTTTTGAGAGGGGGACGTTTCCAAAACTGGTCTTTACCTTTAAGTGTAATATGCCTCACATTTCTGGGTCTTATAACACAGATCTCAGTTAAAGGTACTATGTCCCATTTGCAGGCTTAAATGAAAAGGTTTAATTTCAACAGCATTTGAAAGATAATACTAATTTAGAACTTCCTTAAAAAGGTGGGGCTTGAAAATGTCTTCAAGTGGGAAAATAACGACTACCGGTATTAGTTGTCAAATCGAAGGAGCTATAGAGCCAATAAGTAATAGTCTTGATTTTCAGACCATTGTACTGAATGGTCATACTCATACGTTTTATGCTGCGCAAAGATTCAATCAGTTAATTTTGGCCATCACAAGAAGTGGGTCATTGATGTAGACAAATGCTCATGTACCCTTTGTATGTTATTACCAAAGAAGAAGAAAAGCCAGTCAGTCACTCAATAGTGTCTGACAGTGAAGTCTAGCAAGTAAACAGGTTTCCTTGCGTAATTTGAATATTAGGACACTGCTAACGTTTAAATTTCACAGATAGGACATACATGACATATTCATAATTCCTGCAAAGTTCTACAGAATTTGAGGTTGGCTGCAAAAGGGACATAGTACCTTTAAGTTTAAAACTGGCTGTAGCATCCATGTTATATGTAGCAAGTTATTTACAGGTACTCCCTTTTGCTCGACTATGCCGAAACATACCTGGTAGAAAAAGGATTGCATAATAATCTTGTAATGTGCTCTTGAGCAACTTTAATACGAACTCCGCAACATAAATCTCTATCGTAGTATTTAGTGGAATAATGATTGTTTGCATAACAAATATAAAAAGATATGAAGACATAATTGTGTATAGAATATTCTGAACTAAATCTGCAAAATTAGAATCTGGATTTTTGAGTGTGCCTGTACGAGACAAGTCTTCCAAAAGTGGTTCTTTATTTCATCAAATAAGGTCCAGTGTGTTTTTTATTCATTTGGTATACGACTTGCTGAAAGCTATGATGGCAGCATGGAACAAATGCAAGAAATATATAGATCTAAGATTATGTGTCTAAAGATTGTGAGTGTGGATTATGAAAACATGGTAAGTATTAATTATGAATTCAAGCATTAATTGATACATGTAGGTGTGAATCAAATCCTTTTAGCGGAAAAAATGTGTTTTATTTCTAAAAAATTCATTCATCCATGTTGCAATTTGCATTTTTATTAATCTTCACTTGAACATGTTTTTTTTTTTTTAAACTTGCCGCGCTTTTATTTTTTGTTTTTGTTGTTGTTACATTATGTTCCCACTTCACTATATGATCTGTTTATCATCTGTTTGGGGCCAGAAGGGCATTAACTGTGTTTAAATACATGAGTTACAGACGTTACATATATGATTTCACTTCTTTGCCCTCTCAACTTCATTTACTCCCATTTCATCCTTTTTTTTCTTCAAGTTTTCTTTCACGACCATCTTTCTCTCCCTCTCTATCATCGCTATTCTTGTACTCGCAATGCATTTTACCTTTTATTTCACAACATTTGTCACCTAAGTATTTCTTTAAACAATTTTATCAGCAGTAGTTCTTGATGAATAGGAAAATGAATATTTTGAATTAAAATTTGCTTGGATAATCTGAAATTCCTCATAGAGATTCACAACACGTGTATGTGCAGTCAGAAAGTTTGGGTTCATGTGAATGAATGCTTTTAGCTATATGATTTTTTTTTCTTCATTTAACGTACATATGTATTGTGTGTGAAAGTCAATTTTTGCTTTTATTATGTGTATGCATGCAATGTAACCAATTTACCAGTAAATTGCTTCAATTTCTTAATTTTTTCTTCTTCTTCTGATCACCTTTGTAAGGGTATTAAATGCGCTTAATTTTTTTTAATAGATACCATTGATTTAAGGAATGTACTTATTATTCAATAATTTTTAATTTTAATTATGAATTCAATGCAGGTTTGATACAATTATTATTCAAATGTACATTTACAGCTCTGGAGTAAAAAGAAAAGTGAACCACTTACTTTTATGAAACGGCCCTGCTTACTATAGCCAACTCCGTAGTCTTCTGACTGGGTAGTTTTTCATTTGTCCACTCAATATGAGTTAGCGAGTAGAATTTTTGTTCTTGTTTTGATAGTCGTGTACTGTTGATATACACAAGGAGGTGGACCACTATTGTCAGAGCTGTATGTGCCACTATACTTGATTTTTATTATTCAGAGTACAAGAAACAAAAGTAATGCATGGTATAAAACTTATAATACATGTTATCAAATCAATTATCTAGCCATAGGGGAAATTGACTTCTTGAAGTTTAATGTACATGCTTTTCTTGTCTTATGGAACGTGTGGCTTTGTTTGGAAGACTATTTTCACTAATTATTTATTCATTGATGTAAATGATGGAAGGTCTGATTTATGGAATAAAACTCACAGCAAATGAATCTGTTTCTATATTTCATATTTATTAGGTGGTATGTACGAATGTAATGCAAAGTGGATTTTAGACAAACAGATTAATATAACCTATGCTACGGTCACAAAGGTTTGTACGAACGATAATTTTGTACGAATCTCCCTGTGTTTTTCCATAGTCTGAAAATCGTTCGTAATGGCATCTGTGACCGAGGCTTTAAGCACAAGAAAGGTTAAACAAAATGTCTGAAATAATTTTGACAATATATCGTACGTTACACTAGTATTTGTAGTACAGTACTTGCAACATCTCTTACTGAAAAATGGAATTCATATTTCATAATGATGATTTTAAGACAAAGAAGACAATAACGTATCACATCAATATAAAAATCTTCCTCTGAATACATAGCGATCTAATTCCCTTTCAGAATAAATACATGTATTTCTGCATCACATATTCTTCATTGCATACAGACACACAGATGAAATATTCAAAGATTATCATCAAAAATTGAATATCAAACTTACATTGTTGCAGCTTTAGGTAGAATAAAATATATTAACACCCACCATTCAAAATGTACATACTCCAATTCAATTCTATAGAACTCTATGTGGTCCCATCATATTAAAGTTCCATCATAAACTAACAAGAAAGCTGGATTGAAAATTAAATTTAAAATTACTATAAATTTCACTTGGTTTATATAATTGAATAGCCAGGCAAGATTACTTACGGATTTGTCACATCAAAAAGACAATTGCATTAAGAAAACCAGATAGAATTACATACCAGAACTTATCATGGTACACAATACAATATTAAACAACTGGAAGACAATATTTCCTAAATAGTTCTTTATGCTGGAAAATTAAACTTTTGTATAGAATATATAACCACATTACTATATAAAATCCATTTCTTTTCTGTCCCGAGTATGTGTTCAGCTAGTATCTTTATTTGTTTATAACTATTGTTGCATAGAGTATAACGTTTGTTGCATTTTTTAAAATGCCATTTATCGTTAAATCACTGTTGCTGATAAATTGCTTGATATATAAAATACAACATGTAACAGATATTCTTGTGCGTAACAGGAATAAAGAACATGAATGAATATAAGAATTATTTTTTTCCTGCTTCCTTCTGTGCTAATAGTAAGAAAACTAGAATCATCTTACCCCGCTTGGCAAGTAAAGCATTTCAATATTTAATACATCTAATTCAAAATTCACTCAAGAACCCTGACAATATGGCAAGGCTGTACAACAATATCTTAGCAACATCAGTTGGGCAAGTGCAAACAATCATATTAATTCACTCGTGAGGCGATCAAATATATTTGGAATAACCCTGTTGAATGAAAGTCATCAGAATCCTCAAAATTACACATCAACATCTTTCCTGAGTGTTGGCATAGTCTCACTTTACACACGGTAATCAACTTTTTAAAGAAATGCATGTTAAATGTCGCAAGGTATTAGGCTATATTTGCCACTCCATACCCTGGAGAGAAATGGGGATGTAGTAGGATCATGAAAACTTTTGTGTTAGTAATTGCCGTATGGCCTCACAGTGACCATATGGCAGGAATACTCCTCGGGGAGTGGAGATGGTGCACATTGTGCTTGAATGAACCTGATGACAGGGGTAATGATATCTGTTTAGCACTTACAGATGGCATTAAGGGCTTTATAAATCCAGATTGTTATTTACAAATCAGTGGAAACCCTGAATTGAGCAAGACTATATGGATGTCAACAGCAGCATAAAATTCCTTTGTAATTACTCATTATGAAGGAATGCTACGATTTTGGGGTAAAGTTTGGATTCCAATACTAGTGGAAATTCTATTATTTATGCTGAAAATAAACAATGTTTTTTTTTTCAATACTAAATACTAATCATACTCATTCAAACTTCCAGGGATTTTTCATATTATATTCTGAGCCAAATTAATGAACATTTTATCTGCTTTTGTGACTTTGTTAATGTTTATATAGAACTTAAATGATACAATTAAATGTTGAAGTGTATATGACCAAGGAGTTTTAAGAGTTGGAGTCCTATCTAGCTCATTCTCTTTGTACCATCTTCGATGCCGCCAGGAGAACATATGTCAGACATGTGCTTAACTGAATCTTTCTTGCAGATACGTAGACAAAAGATTCCCGCCTAGCTGCTAACTAACGGGCCACTTTCAATTTTTTTCTTCAATTGTGTAACCTTAGAAAATGGCAGCTGCTTGAAATAATTTGTTTTTAGTTGGGACTCCAGCTCTTAAAACTGGATACTTGATATGACACATGATTTGTACAATTACCACATCAACATCAAAGTTCTAGAATTTGACTGATCTGAAGCCACTTTCTCTATAACAGAAATGAATAGCACTTGATAATTTGTAGACTTCCTTTCACATTATTTTAAAACCTGACATTTCACAGTGTCACTTCATGAGGCAATTGTCAATCAAAATAACATTATATCAATCTATCTATCTATCTATCTATCTATCTATCTATCTATCTATCATTGAACCTCTTGAATGGACGAGCTCATCCAATTCCAGACCATGTCTGCCATCAGTTCACTCGAATCTAAGCAGAACGCGTGCTGCATGCCCCGCCGACATAATCGAATGTCGCCCTCTGGAAACCGCCTGCGCATGCTCTCGTAGTGGCTTCTCGGAGCCCAATTGTCCTTTGACCCGTAGTACATGGTGAACTTTTCAAGGTGGTCCTGGATGGTGGAGACGTCCGCGTCCAGAATTTCTTCCATTTCTGTGGCGGCCATGTACATGCTGTTGTGGATGCGGGCTGGGTCTGTTAGCTGTTGGATGGCATGGAATGCACAGTCTGGGATCTGTGTAATGATAATGGAAGGATACATGTTAAAGCCTATCTGTACTAGTTTGGCTTGGAGGGATTAGACCACCCAGGAAGGTCCCTGACAGGTGGCTATCTCATCAACTCATCTCTCAATTAACATAAGAAAAAGAGGATCATGGGGGACCATTGGTCACCGATTAGGCATTGTTTTCTATATAGAGGGAGCAAGTAGCTACAAGTAGTACAGTGGGCCTTTAAAGATGCATAGTAGTGGGCTCTAACACCATTCGGGTGTTTACCCAATAACAGGTGTTGTCAATCACCAGGATAAGCCTTCAGTTTTACGACCAACAGGCAGAATGTAATGCTCTGCATTTTCCACCAACCACCCCACATGATAAAGTAATTATCTTACATTTTCCTCACCAGCCAAGTCTCTCTGAGATACTAGGGGGTATTTCTTGATGGGACTACGGGTTTGCTGTGTGCGAGACTTGTACAACCATTCATGGTATTTCCACCAAGTCTGGTGTCAGCAAATTATGACCTACTGCACATGGAAACTCATGACCATCTCCCTTTAAAGGTACTATGTCCCATTTGCAGGCCCAAAAATGAAAAGGTTAAATTCCAACGGTATTTGAAAGTAACTTTAGAACTTTCTTAATAAAAAAGGGGCTTGAAAATGTCTTTAAGTGAGAAAATAACGACTATTAGTTGTCGAATCGACTAAAGAGCTATAGAGTCAGTAAGTAATAGTCTGATTTTCAGACCATTGTACCGAATGTTCATACGTTTTATGCTGCGCAAAGATTCAATCAATTTAATTTTGGCCATTAGAAGAAGTGGGTTATTGATGTAGAAAAATGCTCATGTACCCTTTACAGCTCATTTTATGTATGTTATTACCAAAGAAGAAGAAAAACCAGTCAGTCACTCAATAGTATCTGACAGTGAAGTCTAGCAAGTAAACGGGTTTCCTTGCATAATTTGAATATTAGGACACTGCTAATGTTCAAATTCCACAGATAGGACATACATGACATATTCATAATTACTGCAAAGTTCTACAGAATTTGATGTTGGCTGCAAAAGGGACATACTTATCTTTAAGGGCAAAATCATTATGACTAATGGTCGCAGTCCAACTCACTTTTCTGCCTTTGAACCACCACTGTATCAGTCTCCACTTCACCCAGTCCGAGAGGTAATAGCCGATGTGAGACAGAGCCACCGCCGCCCATCTCAGGTACACCACCATGTTCCCGATCGTTCGTCCGTTTGGGGTGTCCCATATGTGCTCAACGGTGGGGAAGAGCAACACCGCCCTCAGGAGGTTGAGTTTGGGCATGCGTCGGATGAGGTCCACAATGATGTAGCATCCTGGTTGTAGAGAGAGAGAGAGAGAGAGAAAGATGAAGAAAGTATGGTATCAAACTGTGTATTCACAGAAATAGAGGTCATCTTACAATTTTTTAGATTTAATACTAGATGTACAATAATGTCACGTACAAACAATCCATATTCCACACAAATGACAAAACTATCAAATCACTGCTTTTTTCATATTGAATTGTGCTTTTCTTGTCCAGACAACTTCAGTTTTCATACAATATCCTAGTGCACTAGAATGGCTAGATTTGAAAAAAACTGCCATAAAAATATTAAAAATTAGTGAAAGTTCACTCATAAGCCTACTCTTCTTGACGAAAAACCTGCTAATTCAATAAGGACAATTCAGTTGCTGTTAACCTTGTAAATTTGTATTGTTTAACCCAGCTCCACACACACATGTATTTCCAATGCTGTATGAACATATCCATTTCTACAACCTCCACCACAGCTGGGCATACCCTGTTTCATTAAACTTGTTATCATTAACAATGGATGAATTTCTATGACAAAATCTGCTCTGAGCTAATCAGATACACAATTTCAGTAGCTTATAACTTGTTATTGATAACAAGTTTCATGGCACCTAATTCAAGAAAATTAGGGTTATATCTATAAAGTCACAGGTTAAAGACTGACCCCATACTTTTCCCTAGACTCACCCCAGACTCACCCCAGACTCACCCCAGACTCACCCCAGACTCACCCCAGACTCACCCCAGACTCACCCCAGACTCACCCCAGACTCACCCTAGACTCACCCTAGACTGACCCCAGACTGACCTACAGACTGACCTACAGAATGACCCAAGACCGACCCCAGAATGACCCCAGACTGACCTACAGAATGACCCAAGACTGACCTACAGACTGACCAACAGAATGACCCAAGACTGACCCCAGACTGACCCCAGATTGACCCCAGACTGACCTACAGAATGACCTATCAGGATGAGCTTGACTCCTGGAGGGATGCAGTCTTCAATGAAAGCCATTTTATGCTCAATCTGCTGCTGGAGGTTGTAAATTTCATCATCACGGTCCGTTGCTACAGAGAATAAAGCAGAGAGAATGACAATGAATGAATATAAAGTCAAACCTTTCTACAAAGACCACATTTTTTGTTTCCCTTCAAAATGGTTTCTCATTGAAACATGTAGTAAAGGAACCTGCCTACAAAGACCACTTTTTGTGTTTGCCTTAGGCAGTCTATATAGACAGGTCTGACTGTATATGATTTCCTCTATAGCTTATATATACCTATGTTATATCAAATACAAACCAAAGAAGAATAGATAAAGGTGAAATCTTAAATGATGATAAGACTACAAGTGAAAAGATATCACATTTTTAGGAGGAGGCGGGTATAAAGCATTTGCCTGTCGAACCAAAGATCTTGAGTTCAAAACTAACCCAGGCAGATGACTGAAGCCAGTATTGTGTTATGTGCCCCTCCCCTGTTTTAAAGATGCAGGCTATGTTACAGAGGAAAACACTCCATCCCTCGGATAGGATGTTAAATGGAGGCCCAGTGTAAAGGAGAGTCACCACCTTTGCAGTTTGCACATTAAGAACCCACTGTACTATCTGTATAAAAATAGGCAGAAACCCAGATGTAGTTGTCCACCTGCACACCCCCAATCTCACATAGTAACACCAATATATGTCCCATCTTCCCCCCCCCCCCCGCCCCAATGGTGCTAGTGCCCCTTCAAGGCCTGAACCCACCCTACGCTACCTTGTACCTCTCAGTTTCTCCTGTATGCTGTGCGGTACCTCGCTGTGACCTGCATGTGACACTGCCCATGCTGGTATGGTGTAGCCGCTTGCCTTGTACAGGGTCTGACAGAACACCTCATAAAACTCTGGTACGCCAGGATTGCCTATATCGTTGAACAGGTAAATAAATGTAAGTTCAGATTCATCAGGGCTATTATTCCATTCAATATAAATGTCAGAAATACAAGTATTAAACTCAGTTTCTGGCTTAGAAAAATAAGCAAAATACAATAGATCGTGTTACACTTCATGAGAACACAGACAGAAATCATATGAACATGAAATGTACATGTATAAAAGTACAGAAAGCTAAAACAAGATGAAATGAAAAGATACTATAGAAATAGTATAAGATCATTAAGACGAAATGAACATCAACTAAATTATCATCAAAGTTTCAACTTTTATCATCAACATTCATTACCTATTTATTGGTTGATTAATTGAATGGTTATTTCTTAATTATTTATTTTTGCAATTTATTATATCACCTCACCTGGAATGACTAGAAAGAGAACCTTTGGAGAAATTACTCCATCCTTGGTTTTCGAGATCTCTCCTCCAACCTTGATAATTCTTGTTGGCATCGAGTCTACCAGGATGTTTTCTGTCATAACTGGAGGATCTTCCTCACACGAGACTCCGGATGATGAAATAGAAGATGTTGCCATTGAGACTTCTTCACCACATACGGCACATGATCTCATGCGATAAGCTGAAATAAAACAAGAACATAAAAACTAAATTAAAGATAGACTCTAGTGTGAAAACCTGAATCTGTAGCATGATGTTTATATTAGCGCAATCATAATGCTTCATGCCCTTCCCTGTAATTATTAACTAGGAGTTTAAACTTAAAGTTTCAATTGATTAACTATTGATAGAACTATCATGCCCCATGGCAAGCAAACTCCAAACTAAAATTAGAACAAAAAAAATGACGCAGTTTTCAATAAGTGGTACAGTGCAATGTACACACCACAGTAATACCATTTTCCTCTTCCTTGACAACATTGGATCAATTCTGTAATCTATGCATATTTATTTTCCAGTAAACTTACATGAATAAATGTTGATAGTCCACGTCCTGCTAATGAGTCCGATGCCGCGTCGAAATGCATGCATTCATCCAGTCTTTTTCCAGGTGCATGAACAGCTGACTCGGTCTGTCTGTTAGTGTTACGTAATCGACTTTCCGCAAATTATGCAAGTGATGAAGATGGCGATACACACAACCAGCTAAAAAACCTGACGAAAATTGTTATCGTTCACAGGCTTAAATAAACAGCCTTTCAATCACTTCTGAAGGTTAAAGTGATATTTCAAGTTTGATTGTATTGCTCTGATCATTTTCGAAAAAAACATTTGACTACCGCAATGCTTAATTTTGCGGGACAACCATGCCGATTGGCGCCGAGTTGGGGAAGACTTTATCACACAGTTGTCACCGGCTCTAACGGACTTGTCGCTTCGGTCCCAGCCAGCTCTTCGGCGTACAGTCAGGTCCAGAGACCGCACACTCGCCAAGGCAATAGGCTTTCATGTTCTCGTCAACTTGTAAGTAGCTAGTAGAAAACATGTGAATGTGATTAAATTAATGATTTTTATGAGGATTAAAAAGAAATCAGTACCTGTACATGGTTTATTTGCTGCTGTATATTTTAATGTAGACTCTATTTCGAGTCTTTATTTCTGAGATTGAGAAAGTGAGAAACTGATAAACAGATAAAGACACAGTCAATGATCATGATGATATTGATAAAGTGACACTGAGTGATAGACAATGAAAAGAAAAGGAGAAGGAGGAATTGGAAGAGGAGAAGAAGAAAAAGAAGGAGAGGGAGGAGGATCGAGGAGGAAAATGAGGAGGAAGAGAAGGAGAAGAAGAAAAGAAGCTGAGCTGAGGAGGGGAGGAAGTTAGGAAAAAGAAGGAAAAGGGAAGAAAAAAAAAAGGTTGCAACTTGTGAAATAATATTTAAAGCTGAGCTGAAGTGTTCAACAATTAATTAATCAATTATTGTTATGATCCGAAGTCTAAAGGAAATATATTTGTTCGGTGTGTTTCTATTTAATGGCAAAGACATGTGATTTATGTGGACAAACTTGAGAAAAATTTACAAAGTTCTTTATACTTATACTAGGTTTGGACTCTTTTTTGATAGCCCGAACACTGGGCTACTTTTAAAGGTAGTTTTACTTTGTGAGTCTTGTGAAAAGACTAATTGCAAAGCGCCCTCTACACAAGTACGTACAACTTGCTAGGCCGTCTCTTTCCAAATTTATTAATTTATTGAATTTTCTCTAAAAAAACGAATATAGGGTCTAAAAAGAAAATAAGCGAAAGGAAAGGGGATGGAAAGAGAAAGAATCCTAAAAATAGTCATTTATGACATGAAATTGTACATATGTATATATATATATATATATATATATATATATATATATATATATATATATATATATATATATATCTATAAATAATTCATAAAACAGTGTGTGGCAAAAATAGTCAACTGTGACTGATTGCCAAACAAAATCAAATCAAGAAGAAGAAATCTACTCCCTCATAAAATTACACTCAAACTTCAAACAGGTAAGTTATCGTTAGAGCTTTTAATTAATATTCTTTTTTCATTTTTTCTTTGTTTCCATTTATATTTATATTTCAACAGCATCAGTATCAGAATCAAGTCATTATAAGCAGAGAGGCATCGTCATCATCACTGTTCAACCTATGTCGAGTACCATGTCTGCCCCTGGAACACTGCACATCCAGATCATGTCATCAAAGATTTTTTGGAACATCAAACCCATGCAATGTAAGAAAGTGATACCAGGGGGGTGTTTCACAAAACTTATCATCAGTGACAAATGACAGTTTTGTTATAAGCTAGTAAAATCCTTGCTTCTGATTGGTTATCAGCAGATTTGTCACTGATTTTTTTCATTTGTCATTGAAAAAAGGTTTTGTGAAATGGGTCCCTGAACAAAAATGACTTGCTTTTCAGGATTAACATTGCTTGTCTCAATTGAAAAGCTGATTCAATTGCCCTCGTAATGAAAAAGGACTTGAGGAGATCTAAAAGTTTTGCCTACTCATTTTTGATACATTTTCATGAGTAATATGATTTTAATTTTTTAATTTTTTTTTTAATTGATATCTGTCAGATGTAGGAGTGTTTCATGGGATTCCTTGTTAAATTGACACTTGCATTACTGTGAAAGATCTTTGGACTAAAATACTCGTCGGTCATGATTAAAACCTCATGAATAGTTTTTAAAACCTATGACAAATAATGTTTTTGGTATCTGATGCTATAGTATATTTACATATTATGCTGATGACAATAAAATTGTCAGTTTTGATAAACAGAATATCATTTCCAAGTAGTAAAATTCTTGAACACCATATTTGAAGCTTGGACGAAGGTCAGGTAAAGCTAGAAAGTGTACTGTATGAATCCAACTTGATATCCATCTTAAAGATAAAGTTGAGTTCTGGTCGTGCGATTGCATTGTGAAAGAAGAGGTGTGAATAGATCAGGAAAAGTTGATCGTGTAGCATGTAAGTATTGGTGTGTACTGCAAAGTTCTGGAGTCATCAGAATTGCATCAAAATCATAATAAATTTGGCCCAGTCTTGGTAGAGTAACAAGCACTGTACACAGAAAGATGTATATGGGACTACACACAGTTGTGTCAGGCCTACTTACCTTGATTTCCTTATCGTTCTATGCTCAATACTCAGCCAGTATACATTTTCTGCCAAAATTATTTGGCAAATGACATTTATTTGTAATCTTGAACATTCAGTGTAAGTTTTGTTTGATTCTGTGAGAATTCATTTTCTTTTTTTTACCAGAACTCAAGTTTATCTTTAATTTTTGTCTTTCTACCAGGCCTTGACCAAGAGATCTACTTTGCTTCCAGAGGAAAAACCAGGAATAATGACTCGTATGTTGGATTCAGTAGGGATCAGTGGCACACTCAGATTCAACAGATTTGTGAGTTTTTTTGTTTTTTGTTCCTGTTTAAAGCATAATTTGTTGATTTTGTAAATTCACTGTTTTTGAAAATGTATAAATTGATCTTGTGATGCATACATGTGTATAAATATCTGGAGAAGTGTATGACCACTGACTTAGAAGCTGTTCAAACTCTGACTTTTTCAGTGTAAGTTTTGACAATGTTTTAATGTTCTTACATGAATAGTAAAATCTGCATTTTTTTTCTCCATAGAAAATGTAATATACTGGTACATGTGTATGAAATCAAATATGTGTGCACAGTCAAATATAATAAAGGGAAAAACTACATAGAATATCTTTAGTTGCAGTATAAGGGAACACAACAAAATTAAAAATATGAGCTTGCCAAGTGCTGAGCATGAAAGTTTGAATCATTTTTTAATTAACCCTTTTTGGAAGAAATAAAAGGGCGCTCATATTAAACCTTCTTCATTAAAGGGCAATCCAACCTTGTAATAATATGAAAGCCAAAAAATTAAAGAAACAGAATGGTAAAAGTTTAACATGTAAATGAATCGGACCTATATAGTAAGGAAGTTATGAATGTTTGAAATATGAGATAAGTGTATGCGAATCTCAAATTGGTAGTGTGGTTAGTGGATTGTTACGTAGGAGTAAGGAGATGGATAACTCGCCCATTTGCCGTGTACAAAAATATCACTTAAATGTTGTTTTTCTTGTAAGTTCCTTCTCTCTTGGGGCACTACTCAAAATATATTATAGCTAGCGTATTATTATAGGTCCTCTAAAATTATAAGCCCCTTCTGAGCCATGAACTTATGAAAAATTTAGATTTGAGTGATTTTATATGTTGGAACAGATGGGAAAGTAGTCTGGCACTACATACATCACATTGACATTTATACCACTTAAGCCAATTTGAAGTACCCATACGTATAGTAATTACAACTTTAAAAAATTCATAAATTTCTTGTATTTAGTCAGATTTAATTGCAACTTTCATTGATCAGTTTGCTTCTCCGATTTTTCTGCTTTCGTTTAGAGTAGCTGTCTATTTGGGTTGGATTTCCCTTTTACACATAAATAGATGTGCAGTGTTTTTTTAAAAGGCGTTGTTTGTTTCATTAAATTGTTTATTTGATATTTTCTCCTTTCAGAAAATGAGAGTAGCAGGGCTGAACATGTATCAGGCTTGTGCTGATGGCTATAATTTTGAAACTTTTTTCAGAGGTGAGCAATCTGCTGTTATTTTAGCTGGAAATGAAATGTCTCTTATTGGTCGGTCTGTATTTTGATGGAAAGTATTATTCACAGTATCACTCTACAAAAAGAATTTAAAGTAGGCTTTAAAAAAAAAAATCAAACATAGAACAAGAATGTTGTTTACATTTCTTTGATATTTAGACTGGTGTCTTTTGCTTTGAGTAAAAAAGCTTGTTTTTAACCGATTTATCCCTTTAGCTGACATAAGAAATGAATTATTATTCTGTTTATAAATAGGAAAATAAATACAATGTGCAAATATTTGCCTTTCTTTTTACTTTTGTTACACAGCTTGTAACATGCCCGACACACTCTTCTCATGGTTTTTAATCATGGAGCTCCACGCATGGTAAGTCTACCTGATAAATCTTATTATTTGTATTTATTTATTAATTTTCTTTCTTTCTAATTTGGTATTTCTCTTTGATTATGTATAAGTCTTAAAGGTCAAATTGTATCATATTTACTTTGTCTTGGATTTATTTGGATTTTTTAATGATGTAAACTGCCCTCAATTCAACTGTTGAGCTGCTATGTGGTTTTTTAATATATACCTTTTCAAATCAAATTGCTCATGCTATGCTGTTTCTCTTTAAAATCAGTTTTCAGGATTTAGTGGAAGTGAACTTAGAAATGGCATAGCCTGTAGCATTCATTATCATATATGTTTAGACAGAATGTCAAAGAGAGAAGATGTCAGTTTATTGCGGTTATCAATGTTGACCCCTCAAAAAACACCTATAATTTGTTTGGTAGCTGCTATAATAATGTACCGGTGAGACAATGCCACGTATAGGCCGAAAGTTTTATTCTAAAAAAAACAAATTGGAAATAAATGTAATATATGAAGCAGTGAAATAGGCCATGGTATATTCTTTAATGGAACTCAAGATTAGCTTTAACCCTGTCTAGAGTGGGGTTTATGAATGACATGTATGCTCTGATGGTTACGTTGTTTGATGATGTATTGTGTCGCCTCTGTGCAGGATGTGTATGGTGAGACTGAAGCAAGAAGGACGTGAAGGGAAGTACATGACTCACTATCTCATACTCTCCATGTGGCATGATATTCAGGCCAGGGGAAAGCTCATGGGGGTAAGTACTTCTCTCTCTTAACGTGACTCTGTAACATTGCCTCGGATTCTGAAACAAAATCCTGGATTTAGCTCATGCTGCAATGATAATTATAAACCTTTAGGTTAGCCAGGAATCCCATGACTTTTACAAGCCGATCGCCTGTCTGATTATCAAGATATTTATGATTGAAAATCAAAATTTTATTTTTCCTTTTCCAAACAGTTGTTGTAACACTACAGTCTATTGGGGAAAATGACTATGGTAAAATCGGTCACTCAAGATTTTTTTTTATGAGGCACTTGCCAATCATTTTGAAGCACATTTTTTTAGGGCTTCAATATTACACCATATCACAGACACTGATAACATGTAGGGCCATGCATCTCAGATTTAACATTGTTAAACGATGCCTTTAATGCTACCTTGCAATTGACACACTTCGTAGATTGTAGAGGAGATTTGTAATTTGTACTAGCTTTAGGTTTTTATTAATCTTCTTGACATAGACAATATTAGACACTACTGCATGGTCGCTTGCTTACCATACATGCAATTCTGCACAAAATAATAGGCACCAATTGGCAGAAAGATTGCTTTGTAGGCCTACAACAAAAAGACTGTAAAAAAAATTACCCAATTCTGATCTTGATTAGCTCAATGACAACCAGTACAGATTATAAATCTTGCACTGGAAATAGTTCAGAAATCTTGATGGCTCAGTCGGTAGAGCAGTGGTCTCGTAAACCGGTGACCCGGGTTCGAAACCAAGGCGATGCGCTAGTGCCCTTTGGTAAGGCATTAATCCTCACTACCAGATCCCTCGGAGAGGACCTTAAGCCGTCAGCCGTCTGGTTGCTTACTTACAAGCATTTATGCCTTCTTAGCAGTCAGGGAAAATAACCATCACATCACAATCACATCACATTAATTCAATGAGGCACAGGGAAATTGTTTGTGTGGCATATAAAGAGTTGAGCCAATAAATTATTGCTGGGGTTCTTTTAACTACATTACCGTATATATATAAATGTGTATATGTGTATCTGGAATAAAGGAATATGAAAAATCAATGAATTCCCTGAATTGAAAACAACAAATGAATCCCTCAAATTATTATAACTTAATGGCTTACATTTAAAGGTATGAAAAATTGACAATTGTTGGTTTGTATTTCCTCTGTAGATTCCATCAGTTAAGATGAAGGAGAGTTTGTCCAAGATGGTTGAGCAGTTCAATGGCGCCCTCTTTGCCTACGATGAGGTAAACATTTTACTAACAGCATTTATGTTATTGAAAATAATACCAATTGATGAATTACTTGTCAAAAAATGTTATTCAGTAGGATTAGTTTGGGTGACCAAATATTATGCTAATCTTCTTTTACAAATGCTCATATTTTCAGAAAGTGACACAGATGTAGTGCATTTATATCTTTGATGTGTAAATCTCATTGTCTGGGGGTAAATCTCATTCTCAGAGGTAGTGTTCTTTTACAAGACCTTCGTAAAATCTGTCTCGTGCGTGTATTTGCGTCATATGCGTATGAGGTTCATGCATGCCCATAAAGATCCTATATATAAATAGGAGTGCATGCCTCATACATGGGCTGTGCACTAAAAAAATTGTTGGATAGTACTGGAAACTATTGCATGCTTTTTCATATAAAAAAGTGGGATAGTCTCAGTTTTTAAATCAATCAAACGTGACTGACCGCGCATGACCAATCATTTGATTAGGATCTAGGAGTGAGTTATATAATAAATCATGTCTTGAATTTTTGGAATGTTGCCATAGCTGTCAACCATTCCTATTTTTTCTGTATTCAAACAAGTTGTATGAACCCTATATTCCTCTTATTTTTTGAATAAATCTGTATAAATCTGTATAAATGCATATAAAATACATTGTATTCCGACTTTGTGCTTCAGAGATTCCTAATCTTTTTTGTAGAAAGTTGGCATACGTTATGTATCATTATATGTTTGTTAACCAAGATCATGTGGTATGGCATTTTCACTTCATGTTTGATATTGTTTTTGTCAGGGTCTACTGTCGAATGATAAGGTGCTAGCAGCTGCACTGTGGAGAAATCTGTTCCTTAGAAACTGCGATGATCCAGAGCGATTGGCTAACATGGTGGAATATGTCAGGCAACAGGTACCAATTTGATCATTTTCCTCACGATTTTCTCTATCTGTCTCTCTCTTTCAAGGATTCATAAAATTAGCAATGTCATTTTGAAAAAACTGGAATCCTTAGGTCCTAGCTATTTTCTAATACTTATTCATGATAAGACTCTTTTATAAGATCTTCCCAATTTTCCAAATGACTGATTCATGAATGGAGCAATGTTAGAATCAATGTGGTATCTGTAATGTTTGTTTGATGAGGATTGTTTGTTTACCTGACTGCTATGAAAGCATGTGAACGCTTGTAGGTAATCAACCAGGTATTTCTTTTGATATGATAGCTAGAGCATCAACATGAAACCTGAAACTACTCTTACATTCAAATGTATACTTAACACGTAGGAAGTAATCTGAGAAATTGTTCAAGGTCTGGCGAGTACTGGTTCAACAATAATCTTGAAGAAAGCGGATTTTCTGGATTCCTATATTTTTTTAATAGCCTTTAAAGCCCCACTGCACTACTTATAGCTACTTGCACCCAGAGCCACGTATATACAGAGTTTGGCCAACTAGGTTTCACTAGGTCACAACATGGCGTATATTCATTTGTTTTGTGCTTGCCCAACAAAGCAGTAGTCGCCATATTGTGTCCAACTCGAACCAGGTTGGCCAAACTCTGTGTATATATGGCTCTGCTTTCGCCCTCTATATAGCAAACAAATGCCTAATCGGTGACCATCGGTCCCCATGATCCTCTTTTTCTTATGTTAATTGAGAGCTTATTTGATGAGATAACCACCTGTCAGTGACCATGCCTGGAGGTCTAATCCCTCCTGGCCAAACTAGTCCCACCGCACTTTAAGCCTAAAAATCCATTTGTTTTCAAATCTTCTATTTAACAATGGTACATCTTCTGTGTTTCCTTCCTGTCTCTCTCTTTCTTTCTCTCTCTCTCTCTCTCTTTCTGTCTATCTCAGGTTCAATATCTTGACAGTCTAGACAGCAGCAAGCTCCTGCAGGTGGGGCGTATCAAGTGGCAGCCCTACACGGGCGGGGTGCCGGACTCCAGCGAGCCCCTCCCTAAAGCTGCATCGTTGGAAGACGAGCTCAACATACCCGAAGTGGACAAAGTGCCCATCTCCTGAGCTCCAGGGTCTCCAGCAGGAGCCAGTCTCCACATGATTAGGCCTACGGATTTATTAGTTGTCCGGCTAGAGCCGTTCTCCAGAGTGGGACCAAAGCCCCACTGCACTACTTGTAGCTACTTGCGCCCTCTATGTAGCAAACAATGCCTAAGTGGTAACCGTTGGTCCCCCATGGTCCCCTTTTTCTTATGTTAATTGAGAGCTGAGTTGATGAGATAACCACCTGCCAGTGACCATGCTTGGTGGTCTAATCCCTATGGCCAAACTAGTGCACACGGGATTTAAAATCTTTCTGAATATATGCTTATTTCATGCGATTTATTAAACTCTCTAGCTGGAGCTGCTATACTCTGGGATTGGAGCTCCTCGTCTTTTACAATAGAACCTCTGCATTATTCTGAAGACAGTACAAAATCAATAAGATTTATTTCAATTGATTAAGCTGTCTTGTTGGAGCCAAACCCCCGGTAGAACCCTACATCATTCTGAATATATTCAAAATCCATGTGGTTTATGATGCTGTCTTGCTGCGCGTCACATATTGAAATATGCGAACATGACACTGACGTGTAAACGTAATCCAACCATGATTTCTATGTAACATAGAATAGGGTATGGAAATTGTCCTTTAGTTGATTTTTCGTAAATAGATGAGATCCTGTTGACACCATTATAAATACATTTACACTGAACGTTTCCTTTTGCTGTAATAAGTACATGTTTAATAGCATTGTAGCATAAAATCATACCCAATATTACCCCTGTATTTCCTTCCTATGTTAAATAGAAACAGAATTCCGAGTCCAAATTTAATCACTGCGATGGAAATGAAGAACTAAGTACAGGGTGTATAGAGTACCTAAGCTGTGACATCAAAACAATTTAATTTATGTTATGGTTATGAACCAGAGCAAATAACACTGAGTTCCTATAGGAAATCTATTTATTCAGATGGTCATATCTCAGCCAATACAAAACATATTCTATTGGTTTAAGGACATTTGGACATTTTTTTTTTATGCTCTTTCAGAAAATGAAGAAAAAAAATTGAGAAATTCCAAAAATTGATTTTTGATGACGTCACACTTCACCACTCTATGGGACATAGAATTGGGTATGGAAATTGTTAGTTGATTTTTTCGGGAATAGATGCGATCGTGTTGACTTCATTATAAATACATTTACACTGATCCTTTCCTCTGCTGTAATAAGTACATGTTAGCATTGTAGCATAAGATGAAAGCCCATATTACCCCTGTATTTTCTCCCCTATGTTAAATAGAAACAGAATTCCGAGTCCAAATTTAATCACTGCGATGGAAATGAATAACTAAGTACAGGGAGTACCGAAGCTGAGGCATCATCAAAATTTAATTTATGGTATGATTATGAACCAGAGCAAAATAACACTGAGTTCCTAAAGGAAATCTATTTATTCAGATGGTCATATCTCAGCCAATACTTAGCATATTCCATTGGTTTTCGACATTTGGACATTATTTTTTAAGCTCTTTCGGAAAGTGAAGCAAAACTTGAGAAATTCTAAAAATAGATTTTTTTGATGATGTCACACTTCACTACTCTATAGAGAGGAATAAATTTGATTTCTGTTATCAGTATTAGGGTTTGCATGTATAGTACTTTGAGTATCATAGGAAATGTGTTTGACTTGATTGATGGTGTGAGTAATTAACCGAATAACATTTATCAAATTTTAAGCATAAAGTAGAGTGATTTTTTTTGTTCCCACAACATTTACATTTTAAGTCAAGTGCTTAAAACACTCAATAACGACACCTCTTTATCCAGGCTTGATGAATTCTGATTAATCACGGCCTCTAATTTGGGATGAATTTTGTTCTCTAAGGATATCATTGATAAATTATTTGTAACTATGCAGGTGTTGTATGTACATCATTGACTTAGTTGTATTCATTATTTATTGCAGTCTAAACTTTTCTCCCCCTTCCTTTAAATGCAGCTGCTGCAAACACAGTTTCCTATGACAACAATAACTTGCCAGTAAACTTATTTGGTACCACTCACAATCTAAGGGTTTAACCATAGATTTTTTTCACTTCTGGGCCCCATTTCACAAAACTTGTCATCAGTGACAAATGACAGTTTTTGTTATAAGCTAGTGAAATCCTTGCTTCTGATTGGTAATCAGCAGATTTGTCACTGATTTTTTTGTCATTTGTCATTGAAAAAAAAGCTTTGTGAAACAGGTCCCAGGAAGATGATCTTACAAATGTGTTAGATTCCCAAATAAACCCAACAGTATTACTTGGGTCTTCCCAGTTTCGTGGTGAATATGCCATTGTTGGATGTTCTCCATTCCAGCGGTGAACAAAAAAAGTTGCCTACGTTACCACTTAGTTTGCCATTAACAGTTGATCAAGAATACTGATAATCAAATTGGGAAAGTTTTACCCTTTTTGGGCTGAATACATGCATCAACAAAGGAATGTCATTTTTTGTTTCTACTGGAAATAACCATTTACAAATAAAGTTAAATTTGGTAACCTCGGGTAGTTGACTAAAGGAGGTTCAGGTTGTAGGAAGAATCTGAAGTAAAATGAAAGCAAGACCCTCGTGATCCAAATTGCAAGGGCTTTTACAGAGCCTACAGTGATATTGTGTACATTGTAACACGTACCATTATCGTCTAGTTTTTTAATTTGGTGGGGGAGGTGTATTGAAAATATGTGTATTAATCTTTTTTCTGATGAAGGGTCACATTCAATACAAATTATGAGTCGAGACGATGCCTGTGCGCATAAATGGATGAGTAGTTCATAATGATACATGTTTCTGTGGAAGCATCAATGGAAAGTGTTCATTGTGTTTTTGATCTTACAAGGGAAAGTAACATTTTGATGTTGGTAGTTTTTCCTGACAATGCACCATATTAGTTTAATACAAGGTATATATTATGTATTAGACACATGAAACAGTGTCTTTTATGTTTGACATCATTAATGCTTTAACAAATTGGTTTAATTATGAACTACACATGCCTATACCTTTTGTCAAGAGATATATATGTATGTGTGCTTATTAAATAAAGACATTTTGAAGTTTATAATCTGATGTACTTTTCTTTTCTTTGCACATATTAAAGTCAAAGATTCCACTTATTAAAGACGGACTTCTAACGGTTTTGATAGAATAAATGTAATAAATAAAATAAATACATTTCCATATGCTCTAAGCAATGAGTTACACATTTTCAGTAGTAAAAACAAGACACCACACTGATTTTCTCTTTTTGCTATTTTTATTTCAGTTTCTTTGATTTACTTTTTTTCAAAACAAAGAACAGTTTCATAAATAGAATAAAAATTACCCTTAAATAAATTAATGTCAATTGAAATTACAAGATGTTATCACAAAAATTGAATATCATTACCATCCAAATGTCCTGCAAATCATTAATTACTTAACACAAAATTTGCATTTCATCAAAATATTTGTGATTGAAGGGGCAAACTTATGGAAAACTGCACATTTGAAGTGAAACACTGAAACAAAAACATCACTTTGTGTACCAATATTTATCTCAAAATCATTCGACATCATGAATTGCAAGATAGATATCATCCAGCAATTGCAAAGATCTTGCAATCCTCAGATAAAATTTGCACCAAAGAGACAACTTTACTACAGGAGCAAGTATATGCTATTTTGTCCCATACTTTTAATACTGAGCATATATGAGATAAAGTACATGTATATCTAATGATTGTATAAAGTTCTTCTAGCACTTGGATCAGACCAAGTATTATTAAGGATCGGAATTTCACAATATTTGGTAAAGTAAGAGACACCCAATGATAAAATACTGTAGACTTAAGGCAAGGCATCGTCTGTTCCATTTAACTTTTAATAATGGGCAATCCAACCTTTGTAATAAGTTCATTTATATGAAAGCAAAAGAATCAAAGAAACTTAATGGCAAAAGTTTGAAATAAATCAGTCCAATAATGCAAAAGTTATGAATGTTTGAAATAGGAGATCATTACATCTAGATGCGGATCTCATATTGGCAATTTGGTCAGTGGATTGTGATGTAGTTGGGGATAACTCTCCCATTTGTTGTGTTTAAAAAAAATACATCTTCCAGGCCCATGGGGCACTACTCCAAATATATCATAGATAGTATATTATAAAAGGTCTTCTCAAAAACAAAAGACCCTCCTGATTCATACATTTTGAAGAAAATTAAATAAATTTTAATCATTTTGTGTGTTGAAACAAATGGGATAAGTGTCAGGCACCACCTCACAGTTACACAACCGATTCAGCCAATTTGAAGTACTCGTACCTTTAGTGATTAAAACTTTCAATAATTTGTAACTTTCTTATTTGTGGCCGATTAGGTTAAATCTTTTACCCATTTGCTTCTCTAATTTTGTCTGCGTTCTTTGAAAGAAGTTGTCTATTGAGGTCGGATTTCCCTTTAAGCATGTAACAGGTCAATCCTGCTGCTTAAGTATCAGAAAAATTTAAAGTTTGAACCATGAAATTTCTGTGATTTGGGCGAAAGCTTGCATTACGCTTACATCATTTATCTGAGGTTTTGAGCATTTTTCTGTTCAAGCTGGTATTGCAAATGAAAGTAAATTGGGACACTCGCACTAATTAAAAAAATAATTTAAAGCCGTTGTATAGGATTCCATTAAAACAAAAAGTGAATGTGCATTATGACTTCAAAAAAATTAAATGTAAAACTTAAAAAAAATATTCTAAAAATTAAATATAAAAATTAATCAGGAGTTATGATTTTCTTCACTTTTCACTAATCTGCTACTCTGTTATTAAAGCTTTTACCCAATCAAACAATCTAAAAAAAGCAATTCCCCTTAAAAGTTCACATTTTTAAGATAGGTTTCTATACAGAAGAAAAGAATGAAATGGATAATAACTAACATCATCAATCATTCTTTTGTTTCATCCAGTTGCCTGAAAGTGAATTCCATATCACTGGCATGTATTTTAGCCATTTTATTCTTAAACATCAATGTTGTTCAGAAACTTCCTTTATAAGAACTATTCTGTCCAAATGACCGATCAAGTTTAATCAAAGAAACTACTGAAAACTTGGGAATGGATCGGGCAAGAGGAGAGGGCTAGGTGACAGGGAGAGACAGAAAGGGATGGATTGGGGGGGGGGGGGGGGGGGGGGGAGGGGGGGGGGGGGGGGAGGGGGGGGGGGGTGAAAGAAGGGGACATGGTAGAGAGAGAGAGAAGAAAGATGAATGGAAGGGAGCACGGGGACACAACAGGTACAGAAGAACCACAGGAATATATACAGACTGACATAATAAAAAATAACTTGATGATAAATGCTCTAATTAAAGCCGCTGTCATCTAAGACTACATCTATGTCTGGATACTTCCAGGAAAACCACCCCCCTCCCCCTACTTCTCTTAACGTGGGACATAATCCAAGTAATTAATCCTTCTTTGAGGAACCACTGGCTTGATCACTGCTCCCATTATCAGATTGAGTCTCTCCTCCTTCGGTTTCTCCTTCTTCTGCTTCTCCTTCTTCTTCTTCCTCTTCTTCTTCTTCTTCCCTTCTTCTGCTTCCCCTTCCTGCTCCTCGCCCTTCACCTTGTCGAAGAAGTAGTCAAAGGCGAAGTTGTTCTCCTTGGGACTGGAAGGCTTGAACTTCTCACTCTGCTGCAGGGCTTCGATCTAAAAGGAGAGCAGAGAACATTTATAAAAGACCAGTTCACGGTTAGCACATGTCCCAAATGACCCTGAATATCCACAGATCTTCAAAACATGAAGAGGTCCCACTTTGTACATTTTGAAATAATCACTCCTACAGCGATGGAGGTGCTACATAAATAGCCTTTGTTTCCCCTTTTCAAAGAATACTTCCACCTGTGTATCATGGAGTGCACTGCTTGCGGATAAATGAATAATTATTACATAACTTTCGTGAGCACGTATCCAGTATTTTGTCTCCGTGTACTTCACAATTTGGTCTGCAATGACCTTTATCTGCTCATGCTCAGACTGCAACTATGAACTTGCTTATCCTTTCCATGTACTTCACATTCAAAGTATATTAGTACTTCATATAGGCAACATGGAGAGACGGAAGGGAAGGGGATGAGGGGGGAGAAAGATCTATCTCCCAAACCACGACTAGAAGATGAGTTTCTTATACCTGACAGAAAAAATCTTGCTCATTGTGGTTTGGGGTTAGGGTTAAGCTTATGTTAGGTAATAGACAAAATTGACTGTGTAGCAAATATTGTGACAATGTACGTTGAAGAACCATTGATTCAGATATGGGGCTCGTCTTGTAAAAAGAGCAGTGATTGATCCAAATTAATCGCAAGATTGCATTCTCTCATCTCTTATGTACATAGTTGCGATCGATATCAATCTCAAATAAGTTGTGATCGACTACGTAAAAGTAGAAATATTCGCAGGTTTTGCGATAAGATCAGCAAGCGCAAATTCTAGAACTCGCAAAATTATAAACATGACTTCTTATGCATGTTCTGAACGGGCTGAAATGTGTGCAACGCGAATTTAAGAACCCGCGAATATGTTTTCGGGTCGCTCAGCGCAAAAAATTTATCACGCAAAAATAACAGCGTTTACAGTATTCATAGGACGTGGCCTGAATCTTGATCTGTGATTTCATGACAAACGTAACGTACCCGACAGAGAAACTCCTGCTCATCTCCAAACTGAAGCTCCAGACCTGTCACCATGTTGAAGAGCTCATGAGGCTTGAGAACACCATGGACTCCAAGCTTACGGAAGAACTGCAATGGCAAACAAAAATCAAAGATGGTCATTAAAGGCATCTCAAATGCACGCCTCTACGTGTTATCAGTTTCTGTGATATGGTGTAACATTAAAGCCCTAAAAAAATTAAGCTTCAAAATGATCAAGAAGCGCCTCAAAAAGTGAAAATCTTTGAGTGACCGGTTTTACCATGAATGATCGCGTTGTTGCAGAGGTCAGCATTTGGGATTTAAATGGCGTCGGTGAAGTTGCGCCCACCACTAAAATAGCTCTAGCTATAACACTTGACTGTTATTATCATTAATTACTACCCCTCCCTCTTCCATTAAGCCCTCGTGCGACCGCAAGGTAATTATAGGAAAGCCCCAACATTTCTTACTGTGACAGATTTCCATTTCACATCCATTTATACTCTTTTAAGGCGATGATGTTCTTGGGTTCCCAATGAGTCATCAAGTATTCGGTTATTAAGTTCATTATTCAGACTACTGGCTTTACCAGGCGGGTATACGATTAAACGTTTACTCGAAACGGGCCTAATTCCAAGGGTTAAAGTATGAAGGATGCTTTCCATGTCCAATACTCACATTGCTGATGTTTGTGCAATCCCTGAGAAGAAACTCTAAGCCATGAGGGTGGGTTGGCTCTACAGACTGACTGACATCGATGAACCATAGATGCCCTTCGTGCCATAAGATGTTGTATTCACTCAAGTCGGCATGAATCAAGTTACACTGACGATACAACTTCACTATCATCTATGAAAAGAAGAGAAAAAATGTTGATACAGTTTTGTTCAAAGGTATTCTATGGATTCTTCTCACAAATTGTAAATGTTTGTAAACTTTGTGTTATGATTAACATCAAACAATTGTATTCTTCATTTCTGACCACCTAGCTCAGACCTGATGATCCAATATTATCATCATCATCATCTTCATCAACATCACTACTACCAACACCATCATCATCATCATCATCATCATCATCATCATCATCATCATCATCAACAACATCACCATGACCATCACTACCACTACCATCATCATCATCATCACTACTATCATAATCATCATCATTATCATCATCATCATCACCATCATCACCACCATCATAATCATCATAATCATCATCACCATCCCCACGACCATCACCATCACCATTACTACCACTATCATCTTCATCACCACCATCTTAATCATCATCATCACCATCATCATTACAACACCATATTCACCCTGTACCATCTTCATTCCCATCCCATAATCAATACGGTCAACACTTGACTTATCCGTAATAAGATTGCCTCATGAACACGTGATAACCACAATTTCAAACAACCATTCACTCTCTTCAATTTGAATCCAATGACCAGGGTAATATTATATCTGTAAAGCGCTTAGAGACATTTGTATTAAAGATAAAGATTAGTTCTGGTCATGCGATTGCATTGTGGAAGAAACGTTGTGGAATCGATCAGAACAGGTTGATCATCTAGCATATAAGTATCGGTGTGTACTGCAAGGTTCTGGAATCATCAAAATGATAAGAAATTTGGCCCAGTCTTGGTAAAGTTACAAGCACCATACACAGAAAGATGTATATGGGACTTCGCACATGTGCGTTTTATCTATCACATCCCAATAGATAAACTAATTTAGCAAATATATCAATTAGTAGGCGGTTTCCCGGCAAAATTTGTATCATCACGTATTAGTCAAAACATATTCTTTCACATGATTGGTAATAAGAGCTTCCATTTCATTTTTTGAAATTGGGGCATTTCCAATACTGGTCTTTACCTTTAAGCGCTATATCAAAGGGGAATATTATTATTATTATTATTGTTAAGATGCAAATCAACTACCGGTATTGATCAGATACTGCAGATATATATTGCTTCTGGAGAACAAAACATTTACATGCTTCTCGTGCTTCAAGACACGGAACAGTACCCTCAACGTACCTCGAGACACTCTTCATAGACACACTGTGCCTCGCTAACAGAGAATTTCACGTGCTTGAGTTTGAGTGCTGCCTTCTGGTCTTTGCCAATGTAAGACATGACCAGGATGTGTTTCCGTAGCAACACAACCTCTGGGCATCGGATTCCAGCCTCTCGCATCCTGATCAAGAAAATATGGGCAAAATCAGTAATTATTTAGGGCTTCTGGAGGTAATGTTTTTTGTTAGTATACTATGAGATTGATCTTTTATTTTTTAATCAGTTTGTAAAATGTTGTAACAAAACATTTCAAAAGTGTTACATGTTATATCTATTAAAGGTGATTTTCTAATTACAAAACATCTCATTTCTACGAAATCTAATGAACTAGTTCATGACTGTAAAATCATATTCGGAAACACAGTTTACCGTATTAAAACTCGTTACTCTCAACATTTAAACAAATCTATACAATTCTACATACATGAACATATAGTGGACAGAAAACAAAATTGATAGGATTACAAGAATTATGTTTCTCTTCAATAACAATCATGTAGTGGGCAAAGTGAATATTGACTTGTTTAAAGCCTGTCTGCACTAGTTTGGCCAGGGGCATTAGTCCTCCCTGCAAGGTCACTGACAGGTGGTTATCTCATCAAATCAGCTCTCAATTAACATGAAAAAAGTGGATCATGAGGGACCAACAGGCACCGATTAGACATTGTTTGCTATACCGTGTGAGTCAAAAAAAAGTTTACACCTAGAAAATTGCTAATTATTTAAAAAATCATCTATGAACAGTAAAGTATCATACATCTTATGAAAGAGTGTTTTATCCCAAATCATTTGGTATCATTTGTTAGTGGTATGTGTTCATGCTTATATGATTTTTTGACTCACACTGTATAGAGGGCGCAAGTAGCTATAAGTAGTGCAGTGGGGCTTGAAGAGTAAATGTAGGTATGATTAGAAAGCCAACTAACATGTATTGACAGAGGAACTCTCCTACGGCACATGCCCCGGCTACACCTACAAGACCAACACCAAACCAGAAACAGACTGCAAAGCAACTGATCACCAACAAGTCTTGGCCATTGGGAGTAATGTAATTTATTTTGCAACCGATTTGGTGGGATGACCAAGGCATATTACTAGACATACTTGGATTGTGTGCTTCTGAACGATTGAGCTCATGACAGGTACTTACCGATTGAGATTGTGCATCTCCTTCTCAGCCCACATTTGGATGAATTTACGTGGGTTCTGTTTCTTGAAGCGGGCTCTGAAGCGGTAGTCGTTGCGGATGTACTGGTCTCGTTTCTTGAACTCGTTCAGCGTCGTCTTGAAGACCTTCAGGGCACACTCCGGTGGTATAATGTGATCATCAATTCTATCAATCCAGAAAAATATGTAATCATGTTAAATCTACTAGATGTGTTTTCATTAATTTGAAGTAATACATGTACTCGTTGAAGTTTTGCTACAAAAAACAAAATACCTTACATTTGATTCAGCAGTATTCATATTTTTCAATGTAACTTTCAAACCAATACCACTACCGTTTTAAAAAAACTTTAAAAAAACCCTCACGTACACGCCCCCCCCCCCCCCCCACCCACCGACCCGACCCCCAGAAAACCCCATGGTGGTGGGAACAATAATACTTACTGTCCTCCATATGCATGAATGACAACTGCCTCTTTGCCGGTGCTGATGGTGCCTGTAATCGAGTCTAACATACCGTTGTTGACAAGTTTATACAGCATGATCCTGGTTCGAGAATCCACAGCCATTTCCTGAAGACAAAAATAAAAATATTATTGTTTTGGACTGAAATGTGCTATGACGTGAAGTATCATTCATTTTATACCTCTCTTTAGTATATTGAATTAATCTAGTCATCTGATTGGTCGAAATTGGAGTCGTGATTTTAGCCATGCCCGCCTACCGGTCAATAGTTTTTTTTAAAAAGATGTACGTTGTCCCGGGTAACGGGCCGCATAAATAAATTTTGCTGAGATCCCCATTGGTTTATGTGTAAAAAGTTTCTTTGTGAGAGCGCGGATACCATACAGTGCTTTTTGTCTGTGATTCCTGAATGATCGCTACATTCAGGCAACTTTCCAGCAAAGATTTACAGACAGCGTCTCAGATTTGCTGTGATGTTTTAACCAGCCTTTACTCAAGAAAAGAATAAGGTAAGAATTCTTTGTAGATTTTTTTTTTAATTTGGTAAATAAAAATTATATGGACTGCTTTAATATTCTAAGCATAGCTGTTTCTATACTGGCTCTTGAGGAACATCCTGCTATGACCCATTCATCTAAAATATCTAGAAATTGCTTACTTATACAAGTGATAAAATACAGACTCTGAAAATCAGCAGAAAGAAGAAGGAGACGATCAGAAGGAGGATGAGAAGCAGAGGAAGAGGAAAAAGGAGGTAACGGAGGAGGAGAAAATAAAAAGGAGGAGAAGAAGGAGAAAAAGAAGGAGAAGAAGGTAACGGAGGAGGAGAAAAAGGAGAAAATGGAGGAGAAAAATGAAAAGGAGAAGGAGAAGAAAAAGAAGAAGGAGAAGAAGGAGGAGGAGGGGGAGGAGGAGGAGGAGGAGGAGGAGGAGGAAAGGAACACAAAAATTGTAGAACTTACAGCTGTTGAATGTTCTTTCTTCTCGTGCAGTCTCTGTGCTTTACTCTCTTCTTTCTGTGAGTGTATCTTGAGCACGTTGTAGACACTGTTTGATAGCTTCATATCCATCCCAAAGCTGTTACCGGTGGGAAAGGCAGGCGGAAACTGAAAGAGTAAATGCAAGGTGGTATCAATTAAAAGGTGATAGCAAAATAAGAAAGTCAAACAAAGATAAATACATTCAAATATGATGTCTAAGAAAGAGGTTAAAATCATTCATTTCTTCAACAGTTAACCATAAAAAAGAGTAATTTAAAGTTTCAATAATCATATCATAATCATTTTACGACCTTCTTCTTCAAAAAAGACATTAACAAAAATGGGAAATTAGTTTTCACCTTCACCATTTTCGTAATGTAATCAAATTTAGTGAATAAATCTTTATGAAAATGGCCTATTCAAAGCTTATACGAGTTAAGAAACAGTACTACTGACTTCATTTCTGTACTGAATTGATTACGGCCCCAGAACTGATCTACTTTCTCTTTCAAAATGAATCACAAAACCTTCATCAAAGTTGTTGCCTACCTGATTCATGACTCTACTGGCGTTCTTCCTCCCACATACTTGTGCATCGTGTTTTGTAACGATCGACTTCTTCTGTCCCGGCGTAGGGCTAGGTGGTGCAAGTAATTCCGCTTCTCTTCCTGCAAGTGTGGGATAGATATGTTATTATCTGGTGAGAATCCTCTTACATGCAGTAACTAGTGATTGTCTTTGATATTACATACAACATATAATGTGTGCTTACGCAAAACATTACCATACCTCAGCCAAACTAACTCCAAACGGACTGACACTTTTCTATTCAAGGTATTGAGGTAGACCGGTTTACTAAAAGTAACATATTCAATTTTATGCATACTTTTGAAACAAAGGTCGTTCTAGACAACCTGAAAACTTGCATCAACAAGAAATGTATGCAGACTGGATTCCAAGTATTGCAGTTCATCATTAATTACAGAATGGAATAACTAGTCACTAGGTTCCCAGGAAAGAAACATCCATATATTTTTCATCTGGCATTGGTCTCGTTGGTGTGACTAGGATATCAACGAGAATTAACAATCTACGCACTTATGATGAAGACCTTCATTACCATATATTATCGATTTAATGTTTTACTAACTGCACCAGAAAACATCATACGGCATTGATCAAATTTTAATACTACTACAAGGTGAAAGTGTAATAGAACAGACAATTTTTTGTTCAAGTCTGTTCTATCTTCCACTATTTGGGAGAGCTCCTGCATTGCTTAAAGTGTGTCTATCTTTACTTTACACCGATCTGTGTAAGTCATTGCCAGGTAGGCCCTGGTGAGTCATAAAGATTTGTTTGCCCGCTATAAACTTTGTTAAAATATGAGCAAGACATCTCAGTGATAATTACCTTCATCACCAAGAATCCATTCTTCTTGGTAATCATCATCATCATCATCATCTTCATCGTCATCATACGCAGGATGGACAGAACGATAATTTGAGAAGGATATACCAACTGTTGAAACAGAGACAGAGAGAGAGGAACAAGTTAATTTTGCCTTTTGTGTCAATCGATTTACATTCTATTCTTTTCTATTCTTTTACAGTTCTATTTCTGTGAATGTAATGGATTTGTTTTTTTACTCAGCCTACATACACATAAGTAAAGAAAATAATATGCTGGTTAACTATACTCACATTATTGCCTGGTAACCTTGCATTTGAAGTTTTAATTTCAAATTTTCATCAAAATATATTGCAGCAAAACTTGCTCATTATGTTGCTAAATTGATAATCCTCGAACTGCAAACACTTACTATATTTGTGATTACTGTTAAAACTTTATAAAATCTAGAGTGTGCTTGTACAAAAACATTCTCTGATGAACTAAAGAGTTATATGGCTGGAGCTGAAAGCCTGTCTACATTAGTTTGGCCAGGGGGGGCTTAGACTTCCCTGCAAGGTCACTGACAGGTGGTTATCTCATCAAATCAGCTCTCAATTAACATAAGAAAAAGGGGATCATGGGGGAACAAAAGGCACCTATAAGGCATTGTTTGCTATATAGAGGGCACAAGTAGCTTTGAGTAGTGCAGTTGGGCTTTAATATCTCAAGCTTTGTTGAACACACCTTTGCTATCTTTGTTGTATTTCTGTTCCTCCCTGGAGAGTTCAGCATCATACTCTCTGTTAAACTGAAGCTGAAGCATCTGAGCCAGAAGAAGATCACTGTCGGTCTCCTTGCCTTCTTCAATCATGACATCACATGGGATGTCATGTGTGGCCAGTGTGGGACTACGAAAAAATAATTTGGAAAGAGACATCGGTATAATTTGAGATTTTTCTTAGATAATTGTGTTTTCAGTTACCTATATGGCAAGAGGCAACTCTTTATGCATTATGGAGATCACAAATCACTTCGAAATGATAATGGAAACATAACTGTTTAAAATTTGTATCACTGATTTGACCTCTTTTAATAAAAAGCGGATTGAGGAATACAAAACTAAGTGAGAATTGAATGGTTAGAACTTAAATGAATGCAGCTTACTACATGTATTTCATGTATTTACCCCCTGTGCAACATTTGAAATAAGTGAATTATTCCCCAGCACTGGCTAATGGTTCATATCTGCACTTATCCACTGTAATAGATGTCTCTCTATGTTTTGAATTTGAAACTTTGAATGGGATCTGAGCTGTAATATACCAGTATTGCACAATGTATTTATAACTTGGGCAATCCTATAGATTCTGATGAATATGGGACAGGGAGAGGGAGAGGGAGAGGGAGAAAGAAAGAGAGAGAGAGAGAGAGAGAGAGAGAGAGAGAGAAAGAGAGAGAAAGATAAAGAGAGAGAAACAGAGACAGAGCACATTGGTTTTCTAGGCTCACATGTCCTGTTTTCATCACAATATCCAACAATACATGTAACTCCCTCACTCTTACCTTGCATCAGCGTTTGGCACAGCGACTCTCTCTTCCTCCTTCTGCAGTTGTAAGGCATACTCCTCATCCATGACACTACTCAGTGACGAGACAGCAACAGGCGGGCTTTTGCCCCAAGGGTTGGCAGCAGGCCATGCAACTTTTCCTCCCGTACTCATTGTTCTGTCTTTGACCAGATTACAATTTGAATTGATACGACTTATGTTGTTGAGGTGGTGTAACTTGAAGGTAGATTTGATTGGCGAGATCCTGATGTTTTAATTAATGTTCCTTAGATAGTATCCCCTTTGCTCTTGGTTGTTTCAGATGTTAGAACTTCCCCTTCTTGAATTTGAAGCGTGGGGAAACCGCCTGAGAAATTCCTGAGATTAGTTTCCTGTAACAAAAAGACAAATATATTTGGGGTTCTATTCTAAAAAATTCAGAAGTTAAGCAAATACGCCTACTTAATAAAAAAAAAAAAGTAAAATGAATAGTAATTATTTGCTTTCATTCTTCTTGCACTTTGACATTGCAAAAAGGAAACAATTCGTAAACGCATTCATTTTGAATTTAAACGCAGTTTGGGATTTTTCATTGAGGAATACAAATCAATTTGAGCCTCAAAAATTGCTGAAATTGAACCAGTTTGTAACAATTGTAAACAAATGGGAAACTGTCTCCCAAATAGGTTATCAATATAATCTCTGACAACAGAGACAGGCTCCCAAATCTTTAGATTATCCTTTTTTTTGGGGGGGGGGGTGTCAAAATTGTTAATTTTTTTAAAATTTAAAAACAAACAAAACATGTATAAATTCCCCTGATTAATTGGGAATTTCATTTTCATCCTACAGTAGTCCATACGATTAATGTATCGAACCTGTATCCAGCTAGAGAAACTAGATTTATAAGCAGCGTAGCACTTTAGACCTCTCTACTACACTACGTCTATGGTTTAGCCTGCCACAGCCCAAGTTCTCGGATCGGGTCACACATAGCATGCAGCACACAGCACAGTACATCATCTTCTTCACAACAAACATAATCCGACATGCAGACTTGCAATGCACTAGCACTGCACTGCATGTTGCACTGCAGTTATCGGTTCACCTAGACAGCAATAACCATCTGATTTGGGTCATTTCTTTAATAAAACTGACATTTGTTGTCATTATAATCGGAGGTCTAGTGGAGCCAGACGTAGTCTCAGTGGAACAACCGACGATTAGAGAGACGGTCTAGTGGAGCCAGACGTAGTCTCAGTGGAACAACCGACGATTAGAGAGACTGAAGTTTTCGGTCTACGGTTCACCATGCATGCACCAACACTAAAACGTAAAATTAAAACTAAAAGTAAAACATTGTTACCTCTCTGATGGAGTGTTTCCACTACGGGAAAACGTAAAACAATGACCCTTCCAGGTTTATCCACCCAAAAATATAAGTTCTCACGATGAAAAGGCTGTGTTATGGCGAAATTGTGGTTATTTTGAGGGGTAATATTCCCGAAATAGCAACCCGGTGGATTGCACAACATCGGGTAATCAGACAGGTTTTCTAGTACACAAGATGCAGTTGCCTCGTATCCGTCATTGTACACCCAATAGATTGAGATAGGATACCAATCTTACCCCGGCAGCGTATAGTTCAGTGGTTACGTTTCACTACTCTGTAGGCCTAGTTGTTTATGGGGTTTCATCGCTGTTTGTATATTGGATGAGAGAGGGGGGGGGGGGGGGGGGGGGGGGGGGGGGGGATGTTCAAACACGTACCCCCCCCCCTGGCAAAAAGGTTTTGTTGTTGTAGGTGTTCATAAACACCCTTCAAATGGGGGGGGGGGGGGTGTTTTTAGAATTTTAAAGACATGATCCTTTATCTGTGTTTTATCTATGCCCTGCCAGGCAAAATATATGTTTATTTATTTTTTGCTCAAGGAGGGCGGGTGGAGGGGGGGGGGGGTGGATATGAGGGAAAAAATGTTCACTCCACCCCCCCCCCCTTTGCGCCTCGTTGAGCCAAAACCAAAAAATAAGTGCTTATACTCAATTGGCACGGCAGCGATTTCATGAGCCGGGGGGGGGGGGGGGGGGGGGGGGGGGGGGGGAGGCGAAATGCGAGGGACCAGGGTGCCAGGCGCGTATGCAGGATTTTTTTTCACGCCAAAAATTTCGCAACGACTCAGCCAGCCGCTGAATAAGCGGGGGGGGGGGGGGGGATAAGAGCACATTTTTGTTTTGTCTGGTCCCAAAATTCGAAAATTTTGCCGATCGTTATTTCTTGCGGGGGGGGGGGTACGGTCAGCTGGGGTCACCCATTACCACAATTTCTTTTTTCCAACCCCCCCCCACCCCCTGCGTACGCGCCTGCAGTGAGCATGTAGTGAACGAGCGGGGCCAGTGGCGTATTGAGCAAAATTGCTTTTGCTTTTTTTTTGGGGGGGGGGGGGGGGGGAGAACAAAATAGAGAGCACTAATTTTGTTTTGGGCCTTGAAAAATCGCAAATGGGACATAGTATTTTTAAGCCCACTGGTGGGGTCCAACAAGGGGGCGGACCCCCGGAAGCTCAGGGGTTTAAGGCATTTAATTACGGTCAGCTGAGAATATTTTGATATATACCTTAAATTGTGACACTGGCAGGTCACTAATTGGAGTGGGGTCCAGAAGCTCAGGGATTTTAGGCACTAAATTACGATCAGACTGATGTGCATCTAGGGGCCCGCCTCAGAGCCCTTGGTGAGCTCAGGGGAAAAATCATGGCATTTCAGCAACATTTATAAATCACTGGTATCAAATTTGAAATAAATCATGTTTTAATTTTATAGGGGGGGGGGGCTTCTTCCCCCTAAAGCCCCCCCCCCATCAGTACGCTTGTGAGAGCGAAGGGCGAAGGTGACGGAAGTGACAACCCCCCATAAGACTATAAGTCTTATTATATAGCTCTATGCTACGTCCCCCTCACCGGATTTGGAGTTTTGTTGTATTAAAACATACTTTTTTCACACTTCACTTTTAATTTGCCGGTATTTAGTGTGCAGTCCGAAGGGTTGTAAATATTTAGTAGGCCTACCTGTAGGTAAATTTAGTAAGTAGGCAGGAAATGACTTCTTAAAAGAGCAAGCGAAATATTCTTTTTTGTAGCAAAGATTCCATTTCCATATGACTCTTGATTTTATAAACATACAGTGTAAACGAGATGATTTTTGCATTTTTATTAGTCTAAACGTTGCACTCTTAGGCCCTCCAGAGCCTAAAAGTGTGTTATTTTGCTCAGGCGCGGATCCCAGGGGGGGGGGGGGGGGCGAGCGTGCCCTGCCCTGCCCCCCCCCCCCCCCGCAAAAAAAAAAAAAAAAAAAAAAGGAGAGAGAGAGAAGGAAAAGAAGGGAAAGAGGAGAGAAAGGGAAAAAAGAAGAGGAAGAAGAAAAGAAAAGAGGGAAGAAGGAGATAGGGGGAAGGACTTGCCTCCCCCTCCCCTCCCCCCAATAAAAAAAATAAAAGAGAAGGAAGGAAAGGGAAAGAAAAAGATAAAGAGGGGATATAGGGAAGGACAAAATAGGAAGAAGAAAAGAAAAGAAGGGGGATATCAGTTGCAATTTTCCCGCCAACAAGTTGTGGATCGAGGGGGGGGGGCAAAAAGACCCTAGCCCCCCCCCCCCCCCCCCCCCCCCCCCCCCCCCCCCCCCCCCGTCCCCGCTAAAAAAAGAGAGAAGGAAGGAAAAGGAAAAGATTAGAGCTAAAAGGGAAAAAAGAAGCGGAGATCAGTTGCGGTTAATCCCGCCAACAATGTGTGGAGCGGGTTGGGGACCAAAATGACCGTGCCCCTCCCCCCCCCCCCCCCCCCCAGCAAACCTAAAAGAGAGATAAGGAAGGGAAGGGAAAGTGAAAGAGGAGAGAAAGGGAAAGGGAAAAAAAGAGAATGAAGAAAGGTAAGGGATATCAGTTGCAATTTTCCCGCCAACAAGTTGTGGATCGAGGGGGGGGGGCAAAAGACCCTAGCCTCCTCTCCCCCGTCCCCGCTAAAAAAAAGAGAGAAGGAAGGAAAAGGAAAAGAGGAGAGCTAAAAGGGAACAAAAAGAGGAAGAAAAAAAGAAAAGGGAGAAAAGAAGCGGAGATCAGTTGCGGTTAATCCCGCTCATATGACGGTCATTTAATGCCTAAAGCCCCTGATTTCTGGGGGCTCTGCCCCCCGGACCCCACGCCAAATAGTGTCCTGCTAGTGTCACAAATAATAAGGTATCAAAAATGCTCATCTGACCGTAATTAAACGCCTAAAACCCCTGAGCTTCTGGGGGCTCTGCCCCTGGATCCAACCAAGAGCCCTTAGGCGGGCCCCTCGATACTCATCTGACCGTAATTGAGTGCCTAAAACCCTTGAGATTCCGGGGCTCCGCCCCCTGAACCCCAAGCCAATTAATGACCTGCCATTGTAACAATTAGGTATCAAAATAATGCTTATCTGACCGTAATTAAATGCCTAAACTCCTGAACTTCCGGGGCTCTGCCCCCTGGACCCCGTCTAGGGCGCTAAGGCGGACCCCTGAATGCTAATCTGACCGTAAATTAAAACCTTAAACCCCTGAGCTTCCGGGGCGGACAAGGTATCAACATATGTTCATCTGACAGCAGGCGCGTAGCCAGGGGGGGGGGGCGGTGGGGTGGTCCCCCAATAAACGCCGGCCAAAAAAGAGAGGAGTGTAAAGGAAGAGGGACGTAGGAAGAAAAGGGAATAGACAAAGAACTTATTTAAAATTCAGACAAGGATTAAGAGTCGAGAACGGTACAACGAATCGTCTTCTTTCTCTAATGAATTAATGAAACGGGGGAGGGCAGGGGGAACTTAATTCAGACGAGGATAATTTTCGGGAACGGTACAACGAATCGTCTTCTTTCTATAATACTTTAATGAAACGTCGAAGCTTCCGCGTTTCGCGCGGAAGGGGGGGGGGGGAATTGATTTAGACAAGGATTAAGAGTCGAGAACGGTACGACGAATCTTCCTCTTTCTCTAATGATTTAATGAAAAGTAAAAGTTTCCGCGCTTCTCGCGGGTGGGGGAAACTAAATTATTTTCGAGAGCGGAACAACGAATCGTCTTCATTCTCTAAAAATTTAATGAAACGTCGAAGCGGGGGGAAAACTGAATTTAGACAAGGATTAAGAGTCGAGAACGGTACAACGAATCGTCTTCTTTCTCTAATGATTTAATGAAACGTAAAAGCTTCCGAGCTTTGCGCGGGAGAGGGGGATGAATTAAGACGAGGATTAAGAGAAAAAAACTGTACAACGAATCGTCTTCTTTTTCTAATGATTTAATGAAACGTAAAAGGGAGGGGAAAAACTATTTTCAGACGAGTAGGCACGTACGGAAGGGGGGGGGAGGGGGTTAGTGGTTGACCCCCCCCCCCCCAACGGAACATAATGTCAAATTTTCAAATTTCGAGACCCCAAAAAAAAAGTGTCCTCTTCCCCCCCCCCGCTTATTTAGCGATTTTTATTTACGATTTTTTTTTCGGACCAAAAAAAAAAGTGGCCCCCCCCCCCAAGAAATCCTGGATCCGCGCCTGATTTTGCTATACATTTTTTCTCTCACTGTTTAAAAATGTCCGGGGGGATAATCCCGCCTAAAAAAATGAGGGGGGACGTGTCCCCCCGTTTCCCGGGATCGCCGCCCCCTGTCTGTGTGTGTGTGTGTTTGCGTGTAGGAGTGTCGTGGTCGAGTGGTTTAAGGCGTGTGACTGGAGATGGGAAGGTCGAGGGTTCAAATCCCGACACGGCACTAATATCCTTTGGCAAGATATTAACCTGCACTTGCTACTTCCTACTCTCCACCCAGGTGTTAAATGGGTAACCGGTAGGATGCGACCATCATTGTTGGTCAAACATTTTTTAAGCGTCAAGTAACGCCTCCCTGGAATGTTCCCCAGGGAGTGGAGATTGTGCACACAGTGTGTGGGCAAGCACTGAATCCAATGACCGGGGTAATAATATCTTTGTAAAGCGCTTAGAGACATTGTATTAAGCGCTATATAAAAGCTAAATATAAATATTATTATTAAGTGTATGGGGGGGGGGCAGTCTCCGGGGCAGACATCAATTTCTCTTTAATTTTCATCCTTGTACTTTTCTTTGTCTTTCCCTTCTTTTTGTTCTTAATGTTCTTATCATTTTTCTATTCTCCTTCTCCAAATTTCCTTGTTTTGAAGGGTATCCTTCAATGATCACACCCGTTTGGCTACTCTAGAAAGTAATAATGTTTACCTCTTATTTGAGATCAGGAAGAATGCTGTAGTCTCAGCACATTTAGTAGGGACTTTTAAATTTGCACGTCGACATAGTGGGGCATAGTGCATGGACTGCTACGTATGACGTCCTTTTAAGGCACTGTGACGCCCTTTTAAAGCACTGCCAGTGCCTTAAAAGGACGTCCCACGTAGCAGCCCACTATGTCGACGTGCAAATCTAAAAGTCCCTAAACTATAGACAACACGACTTCCCCATAATACTTGAGCACTGACGTCCCAGCTGTGAAATGGATTTTCTTTTACACTCGAGTACCATTTGAACTTGACTTAATTAAGATTGGACCCTGGGTAAATATGGGTTGTTATGTATGCATGCCTTCTCTAGAAAGTGCGTGGCTTCCTCTCAGTATATCTGATGACGGCTCAATAAATGTCTCGAATGGGCTATCTTCTAAGAGTATTTTGAACTTGACTATACTAAGTTGGACCTTGGACTGAAAGAAATAAATATGGGTCGCCACGTGTACCTCTCTGTTTAACTCTACACCCCCCCCCCCATATTTATTCTGCCAATCAGCAGGGGCGTCGAGTCAGCCGGGTCTGGGGTGGCGGACGGGGTAGGGGGATTTTTTGTATTGTCCCTCTCATAATTATCCTGAACATGGATCGGCACCCGCCAACATCATAATTTTAAGGGGCTCGTTCATACAAGCATCAACTCAAGCTAAAACTTATGCGGCCTTAAAAGTGATATTTAGGATCGAAATCAATTTTAATTGAGGAACACCTCGCATCATCTCACCGTAATTTCTTTATGTTTATTTTTGCATGTGAAACTTCCGTAACTCGTACGTGAATTTCCGGATAGTTTACGTGAACTTCCGTGCACTGATTATATTTAAATGATGAAACCAGTTGTGAACGGGCGTTTTTTTTCTTCTCCAGATGTCACAGTTCACGAACTTGACACAGTTTTTTTTTCAGAGGTAGCGATGTCTGTCAAACTTAACATCACTTAGGCCTAGCTGTAGGGAAGAATTAAAGCGATCGAGTTTCAATGGAGGTAGGCAAAGGATCCTCGAAGGCGTTTGGCTTAATTAGGTATGCCTTTATTTTGCTTGTTATGTCCGGTTTGTCTTTAGACCATCAGGCCTTGGCCGCCAAGTTTTTACTTCCAGCCATTAGCCTGGTGAGCACGCCCAGTCACTACATAGGCCTGAGCACCATCACGAGGGAACTGGTCCAAAGAGGACATGACGTTACACTTCTCCTACTCGACAGGCGTGGCACCCAAGGTATGTTGGGCAACTCGTACACCGACAACGTCACGTACCCGAACTCGATGAGCGACGCGGAGCTCGACGAAGTCCGCTACGAGATGTCCACGGTGATGACGAGTTTCGGGAGCATGACCCTCATGGAAAAGTTCCAGAAGATGTCACACCTAAACCGTATCAGGTTGCACGGTTGCTTCGAGCTCTTCGCCGATGCGCCAACCTTATCTCGGCTAAAAGACATGAACTTCGATATGATATTAACGTCTCCGATCTTGGACACCTGCGATACCCTCCTGGCAGTTTATCTTGATGTCCCTTTCACGGTTATCACGGGAACCCGAAGAACTCCGGCTTTTAACGAAGACCTCTTTGGGATCCCCATGTCCTCTGCCCTGGTGCCTTTCAGTCTGTTCAAACATCTACCACACAACATGACATTCGCGCAGCGCGTCCAAAACTTCGTCAATCGTTACGTCATGCACACACTCCTGGAGTATGTTATTATTACTCAACCAATCAGACAGCTGCAGACGACGTATGGGATTCGAGAAGATCTCAGCCCGAAGGAAGTGGCGGCAAGTGCAGCACTATGGCTGTGTCAAACTACCTTCGCCCTCGACGCCGCCAGACCCATTGCCCCAAACTGGATACCAATAGCTGGATTCGTGATTCCACCTGTTCAACCATTGACACAAGTAAGCATGCCAGCATGGAATATTTTGCACCTCTGCCTTTCTTGCTAATGTTGTTACAATGATGGTAGATAGCCCAAAAATGATGATGATAAGGCTTATATAGCTACAATAATAATGAATGCGCGCATACCCATCCCATGACATATTCAAGGCGCCCACAAAGTATTACTCTTAAACTGTTTTTTTCTTCACTGCAAAGCTTTCAAGGATTTACTTGCTACCAGATACCTATTTCCACACCTGGGTGACGAGTGGTAACTATTGATTGATGTAAGTCTTACTGGTTATGTAATTACCTAACGGTCACTATCAATTTCGATTTGAAACAAAGTTTATTGCACTATTATAACAATCAATTTAGAATTGAAAAAGAGTATTGATTATAATAATAGCCGGGGAAGTGGTTATACCACCCTTGCAAAACCTAAATACAAACAAGGGGCACATTGAAAGAAAATACGACATTAAATTTACCCCAATCCAATCTTACTATGGGCTTGCCCAATTTGTTTGAAGGAGTTTCAACTTTCGAGTTATTTATGATAAAAAAAAGTCTGAAATGTCTATACTATGCACCTTGTATAATTTCCTGTACCCCAATCCATACTCGGTAAGTATTTACACACAAAAAGAGAGATAATAATGAAAAGGTAAATAATGTCTGGTCCTCATTACAATCGGTGTTGTTTTAGTGTTTCTTGATAGACAAGGTATTATATTGGGAGTGGGAAAGTTCGGGTAATAATGAGTTCAAGATGTGACAAATCTCTTAACCCATTTCCTACTAGAACCAAGTTTTCCCTGTATTAAGCCTATGGGAGTAAGAGAGTTCAGTAGTCAATAGGTTTCCATCACCTCAATTCAATACTGTATCAAAGGAGCACGTAGCATATGAGTCCCGTCAAGAATCGAAGAGGAGGGAGGGGGGCCTGAGGGGAGGGGGTTGCACTAGGATATCACAATCTTTGTAACAAACTAATCCAACGAGGCTAACTTTAGAGCAGTGTGGGATATCAACATGAATTATTAAGAAAACATAAGGCATAATTATGAACACAAGGGATATTCTTTTGGCTGCGAAGTAATAACGAACACAGAGGATGTTTTTGTGTCCGAGAAAATAAGTGAATATCTCTCTCGAAATGATATTCCAGATAATTTTGGAGTAAACGGCACCACAAAAAATATGTTAGGGCAATTTTGGAGTGGAGAAGTCGCTTCCAGGTGCCCGGGGATCCCCTAAATCATTTTTTTACAAGGGATATGCCACATCAACATAAGTGATGTTTATGAAGGGCCTATTATAGATGCAATCGTGATGTTAACGATTATCTACTTTTCTGGTGTGTACAAACTTAGTATCATGATGTGTTATTTCTTTTCAGGATTTATTGAACTTCATAGATGGAGCAGGAGAGCACGGATTCATCTTGTTTACTTTGGTAAGAAAAAATCGAGATGGTTGATTTTTTTTGGGGACAATAAACAGGTAAATATCAATTTCCCAAATGAAATCAATATACACATATCTTCCAGTAAAATGAAATATTGTGGTATTGTTATTAAGGGAAAGTGCTTTTATATTAAGTTGGCTTTAATAGAAGCAGAACATTCAGATAAACATAATTATATTCCACATACTAAGAATCTTGCTCTACGATTGGTCATAAGTAAATCACGTGATCAAAGATAGTTCGCCCATCATTGATGGGAGAAGCAAAAAGTTCGTTGCCCTTTGTAGATAGTACTACTATCTACAAAGGGCAATGCACTTTTACTGAAGATAGAGGTACTATCTACAAAGGGCAACGCACGTTCACTGAAGATTATCCAAAAGCGCACTAAAAGAGGCGTAATTAAGCGCGCATTACCAATGAGCCATACCCTCAAGGGGTTGTGTTAAACTTTTACCTTTTTAGGTGTGAATTTGGGCCTGGTGTCTTTCATGTAGATGCATACACATCCTTTTCTGTTTGTAGTTAAATTGTTTTAGAAGTGGAATATAAAGCAAATAATCACCTATTGGTTTCAGGCGATGGCAAACTATCACTTCCTCGTCGATCTGAATGTATACGCTATCTTTCCTCAGCTTCGCTTCGGAAAGATAGCTACATCCAGGTCGCCTCGGAAGTGATAGTTTGTCCCATCACCTTCACCAACGGTAGTTATTTGCTTATTATTCATTGAAAATTTGTGAAAAAACCTATACAAAATTTAGGAAGTTATACATTTTTGAAGTTGCGATCAACCAGATACAAATTGGCAATAGTGTGACGTATCTTTCGAAGTCTCTTCCCATTTTGCTGTGCACTAAAAATATCATGAATTTTAATTTTCTCTCGCTAAAGAAAATGTTTGATCATAATAATAATGATCATTGCAAATTTGGCTTTACACAACCCCTGTTCGAAAACATTTATTTATTTATTTATTAAAACATCTTTTAACAGGATAACATTAATCAGCTCGCAGGCTGTTTTACATAATGGTCCTGGTAATTTATTCCTTCATTAATAACTAAGAAAATTCATAATCTTTTCCCGGACAGTCTTGATAATTGTTCACATTTATGTCGCATCAAATTTCCAATAGAGTCCTTGGGTTTATGAGTGTCTGTTAATCAGTAAGGCCGTGGGGGTGGGAGGGGTGGTAGTATCAAGCTTACTCGAAATGAAATGTAAATTATTTAGATGTACAACTTAATAACAGGATTCAGGATGAAGTCTCCATTAAAGATACATGATTTTCTTTTCAGGACAGTCTTTATTACTATTTATTTGTTTGCCCCCATCTGGGCATCCATGGGGAAGGGGGGGGGGGGGTTCAGACTTACTATCATGAAGGCAATCGATTTAATAAGCAGTGCGCGGGAGGGGGGTCCTTTTCTCAATTTTGTTTTAGCCATCTCTCTCTTGATTGGTGGTGGTTATTTTACCTGACTGCTAAGAAAGCATGAAATGCTTGTAATCAACCAGACGGCCGACGGCTTTAGGTCCTCTCCGAGGGACCTGGTAATGAGGATTAATGCCTTACCAAAGGGTACTAGCGCATCGCCTTGGTTTCGAACCCGGGTCACCGGATTACGAGACCACTGCTCTACCGACTTAGCCATCGCGCCTCCTCCTCTCTCTCTCTCCCTCCCTCCATCTCTCTCTCTCTCCTCTCACTCTGACTACGGAGGGGGGCACGCACATCACGTATACCTACTTCCTGTGGCTATGCCAGGCATCCAAACACGTATGATCACATCCTCTAACTATAATATTGGTAACCGGAAAATAATCCACCAGGTCCCATCTCCTTTCCAGGGTTTTACACTGTATATCCTGTGCAAACTCTTGACCCTAATCCTGACCAAATTCCATCAATTAACAACGTGTGATGCAGTTTAGGGTCCCGGATGATGGCAGATGGTTGAGATGGTGATTTTTTGCAAAGGCGTCGCAGGACCATTATTCAGCGGCTGACTGAGTCGTTGCGAAATTTTTGGGACCATTTAAAAAAAAAAAAATGTCCTCTTCCCCCCCCCCCGGATTATTCAGCGGCTGGCTGAGTCAATGCGAAATTTTCGGCCCGATTTAAAAATGTTAACCCCCCGGCCCCGCCCCCCCCCCCCCCCTCTTGAAAAAATCCTGCGTACGCCACTGCATGGAACTGTACATGACTTTGTTTGTTTGTTGTTGTTGTTGGTTTTGTTCAACATTTCTGTAAGACTGAAAGAGCATGTGAAATAAGGGAGGTGGGTATCAATTCTATAAAGGGAAAAAGAAATGCCCGTATTCCACTTGTTCAAAATCAGGAAGGAAGTAGTCTAAGTTTTCCCTTCTGTTAAAAGTACACGTGAAATTTAGATCCAGGGTCGAGTTTAACGTACCTGTTGACGCGATCATTCAGAGGACTCGTTCAAAGTTGTTTAACCTTATGATTCGTGTACCCGTTAAATTGTTAGATTTAAACAGGACCTAAATCCACAAAGTGAAGAAACTCAGATGTATATAAGCATTATAAAGAAATGTAAATAAGCATTATCATAAGTTCATAAAACAACATTCCTAGATTGTCAATAACAATTATATAGAGTGGGACTATTTATTTGCCCCTTAAATAGTACGCTCAATAGGGCCAGGCTCAGATAAGATATAATGCTTTAAATGGGTGCAAGTTCGGGGGTTCATTGAACTTATACGATCTATTTAGAAAGTTTGAACGCGCTACAGCCCAGTACAATTATAGTAACTATATACCGTATGGAGTATTATAATAAAAAATAATAATGATAATGAACTATATACCGTATGGAGTATTATAATAAAAAATAATAATGATAATGATATTGATAATAATAATAATGATAATAACGATAATGATGATAATAATGGTAATACAACTACTACTACTACTATTACTGCTACTGCTACTGCTTCTGCTGCTGCTGCTACTACTACTACTACTACTACTACTACTGCTTCTACTACTTCTACTACTACTACTACTACTACTACTACTACTACTACTGGACTACTACTACTACTACTACTACTACTGCTACATAATATATAATTCTTTAAATGGGTGCAAGTATGGGGGCATTGAACTTATACGATCTTTTTAGAAAGTTTGAACGCGCTATACAGCCCAGTACAATAGTAATTATATACCGTATGCAGTATTATAATTATAACAATAATAATAATGTTGTCGATAATAATAATAATGATAATAACGATAATGATAATGATAATTATAATGGTAATACTACTACTACTACTGCTACTGCTGCTACTACTACTACTACTACTACTACTACTACTACTACTTTGCGACCGACCCCAAAATCTTGAAATCTACGGTCGGCTTTTAAAAAAAAAAAGTTTTTTAGAAAACAAATATTAATGCATTCAAAACTGAGAAATATCAGCCCATAAGAGGTAGAACAACAAAAAAGTAAAAAAGAAAGAAAAGATTTCCGACCGACCGACCGACAGACCCATGTTTCTGCACCTTAAGGGCAGTACAACATCTTTTTCGTTAGGCCTTATACAGTGACACGAAAATGAATCCTTTTATCCTATACCAATACTTTCATTTTACACAGGGGTCATTGACGGTTTCGTTCTCAGACCAGAAATTGACGAATGCGATATCGAAGGTCTTCAGTGAGCTGAGGCAGAGGGTGATATGGAGATACGTAGGACCGAGACCACACCCAATAGGCAACAACACACTCATTCTAAAATGGGTTCCACAAAACGATCTATTAGGTAATAATTAGGGTTCGATTTCATATTCCTATATTATGAATGTTCAAAAGAAAAAAGTAACCATTTTTCCTTGTACTAAATTAAAGGTTTGATATATAGTATACGATGAAAGCTGTATATTTACCTCTATAAAGGCCCATTTTAATGCGTTTTTTAATTAGAGGGGGGGGGGGCGGCCATTTCAGCCTCCTAGATCTGCCTATATGTATTCAAACCGCTAAAATTGTTTATGAAAAATTATTTTCGAAAGGATTACAGTCATTAGCAAATTGTTGAATAAATGTTGCCGCATTATTGTGTCATGAAGAAGCGTCCCTTAAATAATGTTGAAGGTGCCGGATGTCAGACAAAACAGGAAAGAACTATATTTTTAAAAAGAAAAGAAAAGAGAAAAAAGTAATAAAACAAACACGAGCCTTTATAGTTTCCTGTAATATTAATCATTGTAGTATCTAGTCTATAAACATAAATGTCTTCTAAGAAGGATGTATACGATGTGTTTCAAAATTTAACACGGACAGTGCGAATCCGCCGACAGACATTTTTAAGAGAGGGCGGGGGAGGGATAACCCCTTTACGGACACCCCTCACTAAATTTCTGATAAACGTTTTTTAATTCTATATATTTAATGTGTTCAAATTTCACAGCTCATCCGAAGATTCGGTTCTTGATCTACCACGGAGGTGCAGCGGGCGTACACGAAGCGGTGTACCACGGAGTCCCCATGATCGTCATGCCTCAAGCCGCTGATCAACCTGCCAATGCCGCCATGGTCGAAGGGAAAGGAATGGGCTTGACCCTTGACAGCGGGACCCTGGACGAGGAGTCCTTCGGACAGGCCGTACACCGGCTCCTTGAAGACCCAAGGTGAGAATGTAAGATAAAGGTGAAGATATAAGGGCGTTTTCGAATCTTTTTAATGGGAGTGGGGGGGGGGGGGGTATGTCGACAAAAATTAGCCTCCAAATTTTAGCCAAAGCTGAAAGAAGGTTGGAAACTAGCTGTCATCTCCAACCCGGCTGGTGACGAGATAGAGAGATAGAGAGAGAGAGAGAGAGAGGGGGGGGGGGGGGGGGGGGGGGTAGACAGATGAGACAGAAAAGCAAAAATGGATGGCTGACAGAAAGTAAGAATGCATGGGATGGTGAATGAAGTGGATAAGCCTAAATGAAAATGTAAGGGCTACTTTAAACAAACAGAACTTTGTTATTCCTGGCTCATTTTTCTTGATTGAGGTATCATATGAAAGAGCAGAAAATTAACTTTTTAGAAATATGAATTTTTCTTTGAAATTCAGATACCGCCCGCCAAATGTCTTTTTGGTTTCCTTCCTTCAAATTGCTTTTAATCACTCATGCGTGGAATATGCATCACGTGAGTAGCATCAACTGTAAGAGGAGACTCTAAGCTTTCCAAATATGTATCATTCATTAATTATGGTTGTGATTAAGTTATGATAAAACATCGATACTTCTCGGTTTCGTTTTTTCTGGGACGCACTGTATATCATCACCACAAACTGATTATTACACCGATACAATTCTCTTCATGACTGTGTAACAGTTTCAAGGCCAACGCGGTGCGGGCATCGGAGATCTTTCGCCACGACATCGTCCACCCTCTCGACCGAGCAGTCTTCTGGATCGAACACGTCCTCCAGTTTGGCAGCGGCCATCTTCGCTCCAGGGCCACCGACATGGGCTTCATCCAGCTTCGTTCGCTAGACGTTCTCGCCTTCGTCGTCGCCTTATTTTCTCTTTCTTTCTTCTTAATTTGGAAACTCTGTATTTCGAGATGCTGTCGGCACCGGCCGCCGGCGATGACGAGAAATATAGAACCCCGGCCTAAATAACGATACAGAGGAACCTGTAGATAAAGACCGCTAAGGGGAGACATTAAAAGTAGTCTAGACAGGTGGTCGTTATGTACAGGTACATTTGATACAGATTTCAATGAGTAACGCTTTTAAAGAGAACCGAAAAAATAATGTGGTTTCGTAAAGGATATACTTTTTTAAAGAGCATAATTACAGCATACATTTTTAGGCAAGTGTATAGGTTAATGCATAAAAAGGACAATATATATATAATTATAATTATGTATGTAATAGATATGATTATGTTACCTCTATATAAAGTGAATTAATACTTCCATATTGCTACATAATGTGATGACTTTATACCTGGGTTAGAACGCACCGAATGTCCAGATTGGTTTCACAATTACCTAATGTTTAAAACAAAATATTTTGCAACTTGTTTATTTTTTCCTCTTCTTTTGTTATATTTTGTGTTCATTGTATGTTTTTTTCTTCTTCTGTACATTATGTAGCCTATAGGCCTAATCTTATTATTTCTTCGCCTTGTACTGACATGTGTATTCAGGCAGTAGCCTAGACTGGTATGTTCCTTTTTGTATATACTTTTCAATATACATTTTAATAAATAAAGTATGTGATTGAAAAAAATAGGTTATAATTATATACAATACATTATTGTTATGTAATATACAGAATTATGGTATTGTGAGAAAGATTATGATATTGCAATAAGATAAACATTATATATATTACATTGCTATGCAATAATAAACTACATATACTACATTGTTAAACAATTGAAACATATTTTATTGCATTTATGACATTATATTGTTAGATTATACAATGTAAAATAATGTATCATATTGTGATACATGGTGAAACTTCATGATACAATAATATATATTACATGACACATTGTTCTTGCCGACTAATACGTGACGTTCATGTAGGGTTGCCGGTCTTGGGTTGATGAAATATCATGAAAATACAATATCTTTTAATAAGGCCTTTAATTAAAAAGGGAATGTGGAAGTGGCATAGCGTCTTCTTTTCACCTTAATGCCACTTCCCCATCCTGTTTCCTATCCTATTCATTTCTCTCTTATTGATGGCCCTATCCCTCCTGTAGCAACACGACAGGCTTAATCCATAACTGTTTGACTGTAGTAATGGAGGGTAACATGACACAAGTTTAATTGAAATTGGGAAAACAGATTCATCGCAAGCGTAAGCAGCATATAGGATGAAGCGTTAATGTTTTACATTAGCTACGGGAGGGGGTGGGGGGGGGGGGGGGGCAGCCGTCCCAAAAATGCCACCAGAATCGATGCCTGGATTTATAAAACACATGTATAAAAGTTGTGAGCATAAAAATAGTATGACATATTTCAGTGATTTTAATTGATGAGTAGCAAGTTATTCATAATTCTTATGCATTGATTTTGAATAGATTTGTAATCAAATAATGACAGTAACTATGTAAGAAAGGGCCCATCATTTTGCACACAGAAGTTTGGGAGGGCGGGGGAGGGATGCCGCACCTACGCCCCCTTTTATATCATAGCAAAATTATATTGGGAAGACAGGCCTGCGAGTATAATCATTTATGAAGAATTTTATGTTTTCTTAAGAATAAAGATGAAACATATGCGTTTGGTGAAATAAATTTCTATGATTAACACATTCCTAACAATTTTATAAACTCACGTATATTGGTATTGCGGGTTAAGGAACAACCTAATGTACAAATAAGTTTGTATTTAGTATCATTAGTCACAGCAACTGTAAAAACAAACTAAGCAATCAATCAGTCAATCAATCAATCAGCCAATCCGTTAGTCAGTCAATAAATCAATTAATCAATCCAACAATCACTTTCACCCATCAATCAACGAACTAACCAATATAGCAAGTGTTCCAAACATCAAACTGCATAAACATAATTCCATAGATTGACCAGTTATCAAACACCATTACATCTACCAATCAAATGATTGATCAATAAAGCAATAATCAATATAGAATGTTTGACATCAGCCAATCATTTGAACTATCACTTAATATCATCCGTCACAAAAACAATCAATTAACCAATCAAGCGAGCTTTGTTTTAATTAGTCAAGCTCAAAATCAACCAATCAAGGACAACTGACATAAGTTGTAATTAGGACATCAAATATGCAATGCATGCCCTTTGTCTCTTCTTGTGTGTGCGCACGCGTTGGTATGTGTTTCTTTGTACTTTGCCATGTTTATTGGTTCTGTATGTTCTCATCTTTATCGAATTGTGGAAAGAATACATTTAAAAAAAATATGAATTTAATAATAAATGAATGATACAGAATACGATTCAGGTGCCAGTGATAGACAAAGAAAAATACGGCTTCAACGCTTAATACATTTCTCTTTGTCTGGGGCCCTTTACATAAGAGAAGACAAATGCTCTCCGATTTTTTATCTACACTTATGGAATCCAAAACTTAAACCCTGGTACAAGCACTATACCTAAGCCTAACCTAAACTCAATTGCAACTCTAACCCTAACCCTACATGTTTATCTTGGTCCACACAAAGAAATCGTTGCTAGAGCAAGTGCCAGAGTACCCACTTTTCAACAAATCAACAAACTAATATATATAGACTGAAAATCGAATATACTTTCATATGTGATATTTATTGTTAATATAGACAATTCACCATTTTTTTTCATAATATATTCATTCATTAAAAATATTAATTTGATTAGACACACAGACACTTGAACATCGAAATTATGAACAATATCAAAAGAGTTAGTTCAATCATATAAATATATAAATATATTAGAATTAGAATTCAACTAAAGTTGATATACAATCTTAATTATGTCCAAATCGTATTGCAATCATCAGAGGGCTTCATCTCATTATGTATCTGCACAATAATATACAATAATATGTTGCGGAAATAATACTGGAAAATCATATAGAATACAGCACAGAGAAGCATATGGCATAACGTGATAATCCATGACAAAACATTATAAACCATGACAAAACATTTCGATCCATGACAAAACATTATAAACCATGACAAAACATTTTGATCCATGACAAAACATTATAAACCATGACAAAACATTTTGATCCATGACAAAACATTATAAAAACATGACAAAACATTATAAACCATGACAAAACATTTTGATCCATGACAAAACATTATAAAAACATGACAAAACATTATAAACCATGACAAAACATTATAAACCATATCAAAACATCATAAACCATGACAAAACATTATGAACCATGACCAAAAACTTATAAAATCACATGATGACCAAACAATAATAATCATGAAGAAAAAACCCAGCATAAATCATTTTTTTTTTTACTGAATTCATGAATGACAAGATGGAGACAGACATAAAGAACAATCAAGTACTGATCTGACATTTTTCTCTTAATGCATTTGCCTAAACAAGGTATAACATACAAACATAAAACATACAGTTGTACAGAAATGATACACGATTCAATGAGGTAATAAACATGAGGTAATTAACATTTCAGAAATATTAGTTAAATGGAAATAAATTAGATAGAGATGTTGTTTTATCATCTGCAAATAAATTAGATATAGATGAATATAGATGATATTAACTTCACACCCATATATAAAGAGAATTATTCAATCACGTCATCAGAGCATTGTGTACATTTTATAAGCTATTTGTATTCTCTTATATTGAAAAAGCGTTTTAAATTAGAAAATGTTTTGCAGTACACCTAATCGTTAAATGACACATACACAAACAATAATAACACTTTGCACTGTGGAAAGTGGTCACATATTTCTGCGATTTCCTGCTCCATGAAAAATAGAACACCATATTTTTGTTGAAGTGTATGTAACATAACATTTCTTAATGATTTTGAGGTTTGTTTGTTTACAACCTTCATGTCAGCAGCACATGATATATCATGTATTAGAAATAAATTGTTAAAAATGTTCCCTAGTTAATATCCTACCACAACCACATTCTTCAACCCTGGACAAAAATAACACCTAGAACCTTAACTCTAAACCTAACCTACAACCTAACTTCAACCCCCCAAAAACAAAGTCTGGAGCGATTGTTGCTGGAGCATATCTCAAAACACCTTCAAGCATTGTGTTTTAAAGTCCCACTGCACTACTTATAGCTACTTGCACCCTCTATATAGCAAACAATGCCTAATCGGTGCCTGTTAGTCCCCCATGATCCCCTTTTTCTTATGTTAATTGAGAGCTGATTTGATGAGTAAGCCACCTGTCAGTGTCCTTGCAGGGAGGTCTAATTCCCATGGTAAAACTAGTGGCTTTAAGGCATTACAGATATATACACAATGGCAATGGAGCAGCTCTTATTTTCACACACAACCTTGTTAAGTAGTAATCTTTGACCCAAGGGGGAGGAGGGCGGGGTTATAAGAGATCCAGTGAAGCGGTGTCGATCCTGAAGCCACTCCTTCCCACCTTCTGACCGGCGACCTGGCAGCCAAGCCTCAGGGCTTCTTCCAATGTTCTCCCCCTGTTCAGAGCATGGAGGACTCCTGCATTGAAAGTGTCCCCAGCACCCAATGTATCGACCACTTTGATTGGTGGATAGGTCGGGCTGTGCACTATCCTGCCACTCTCCTCCAATCCCCAGGCTCCTTTTTCACCCCAGGCACAGATGGCTTTGGCACTGGACATCAAAAAGGGGTTACCGGTATAGTAGAAAAAATAGAAATACTAGAAATAGAAATTTATGTGTCATTGTATATTTTTCTTGTGTCACTGTTTTCATAGTCATGAGTAAAACTATTTTGGAAAAGACCCTACTGAGTGAAAACATCTGTAATGTATCTCTTTTCTGATGTTATTTACATCTCAATTTCATGTTTTTGTACTAAACTAGGACATTTCATAAACCAGAAGATGCTTCATATTAAAGTTGACCTTTTCTGAGGGTCTGAAATATCCTATATACTGTCCAAAAATAACAACAACAACAACAACAACAATAATTAATGATATTGATGATGATAATAGTTGGAAAAATAACAACAACAATAATAATAACAACAATCATAACAATAATCATAATCATAATAATACTAAAAATAAAAATAAAATTAAGAATAACAATAATCATAATCATAATAATACTAAAAATGAAAATAAAATTAAGAATAGCAATAATAATAATTAAGAAGAAAAACACCACCACTACCACTACCACTACTACTACTACTACTAATTACTGACAATCCATATGTTCTTACCCTATCTTTAAGAGCTTCTTTTCTCTTACTCCGTTCAGGCACTCTTCTGCGCTGTTGTATCCCATGGCCATGGAGTAATCCTTGCTAATGAATACCTGCAAAGATAACCAACAATAACACTAGGCTACATAGCTACATGAGAGCATAATGTCAAACCAGAAACTTTCTCAATTTATGAAAACAGTGTGAATTGTAAATAGCTATTGTCCTGGCAAGAAATTTTAGCCAAATTTAAAGGGGAAGTCCAGTAAGTCCACCCTGATATTAAGTTGGCTTTAATAAATGCAGACAAATGAGAGAAACAAATTAGTGAAATTTTGAGTAATGTCCGATTAAATACAGAAAAGGTGTCAGTTTTTCAAGTTGTCATCAGTGAAACACAAATTGGCAACACTATGACGTATCTCCTCTTAAATTTGCTCTATACATAAAATTTCATAAACTGTCATTTTTTTAGTTATTCATGACAATAGTTTCGTTCGTACAAGGGTTGTATAAAAACATATTTGGATAAGTTATAATTAGGGTGAATGCATTATTGAAAATTTGAATTTTTTAAGTAATAGGAGGGGACCTCGCAAAATACATCACAGAGTTGCCAATTTGTGTGTGATTGATTACACCTTCAAAAATTCATAAATATCCGGTGTGGAAGAGAGGAGGGTCACGTGGATAATACCCAGGCATTTTATACACTGCAAAAAGTGGCAGAGTTTCAGTAGGACTTTACCAAATCCACACGCCACAGGTGGGTTTTTCAACTTGGGTTTTTTTGTCATGTTTTGGTGCAGTTGCCTAGCATCTTCTGACAAATCTCTAGAACGTTTAAAAAAAAAAAAAAAAAAATTGCTTGCAGTGTGAAAGCACCTAATGTTTAAATCCCATTCTGAAGATACAAGGACAAACTTACAAATTCTGCCTTTTGAAGAAAACTGTGTGTGATATTCCTGGTTTTCTCAGCCTCTACAGATACAGTGATAGGCTTGGAATCTTTTCTTCTCTCATTGTAGTCGTCTATCATGCTAATCATCTTCTCAACGTTGACCTGATTTCTGCCCTAAAAAAAAAAAAACACATCAAAATATTACTCATGGTAGGTCGATATTCTTTTTTTCCCCCCTGCTACTGGTGTGTTGGCTCAGTCAGTAGAGCGTCCGCCTCACAACCAGGAGGTCGTGGGATTGAACCCTGGCCGCGTCATACCAAAAGACGTTAAAAGACGGGAGTTGCTGCTACCTTGTTTTGCGTTCAACAATAAGGGATAGAGCAACGTCGATCTGGTGCTGCTCAGTGGCTGCCGGTCTCACGATCAATTGGGCAAAAAGAATTTCCATTTTCGGTTTAACTTCATAAAATTTGGAGTGGACTTTAAAAGATTATTATTATTATTATTATTATTATTATTCAGTTCTGTACCAAGTTTATGAACCTCACTGAAGTTTGGATGTTGTTATATGTTCCTTTAAATACTAATTCAAGGTATCGCTGATGGAAAAATCTAAATGATACTATCAATATATTTGCAACTTCCCGGAAAGATGTTTCCAAAAATTTCAAGACAGGTTCATGAACAATCTGAACGTAATGCACATACTGGGCCTAATGTACAGTGTCAAAGAGGTTCAAGAATGGATTTACTTAATTTCACAATTGTTTGATACGTTTCGGAAGCCTAAAAAAAAACTATGCTAAACAATACCTGATTTTATAAAAAATCCCATGACAGTGTTGATTTGCGAGATTTATACAATTGATTTCTTATATCAACACAGATTAGCTTAATAATGATCAAGAATGACATTTTCGACAGATGTGCTTTCCATCACTTTGATGAATTTCAAAATTAGGAATTTTCTATGAAGAATGGTGTCCTAAAAGGGAATAGCAGATATGTGTACAGCAGACAGCCCAGACTTATTTTGTTGTCTGGTACATGTAGCTTTCTTATCTACTGGAAGGAAACTGATAATCAAAATGGAGTAACACGTCCTGGTATAGCTGTACAAACTACTTGCAAATGTAGGAAATTGTACATTTTCACTACATTCATTGAACCACCTTGAACCACACTCTGTATCATAATACTTTGGTTACAAATTTAAATCAGAATCAACCCCTATAATTCCCTTTATTTTTAAGATTAATTAGTAAAAAATAATGAATCTGTTCCCAAGAGGATCAAGATGTGAATTATAAACAAGAGAAGAAAGAAATTTAAATGTACCTCAAAGTGTATCCAGGAGTACTTTCCCAAATCCAGCTTCTCAAAGTCTTTTGGATCTAACTCTGGTAGAGTCCTGACAAAAGAAAGGACATGTTTCACAATGTAAGATTGCTGCAGGCAGTTTTTTTTTCCACTGACCTTTCATCATTCAAAGTGAAAAATCATGGCAAATTATACTGATATCTTTAACTCATAATTTTAAATAGAAAAAATTATTCAAAGTGCAGTTTTAACAACAAGCATTGACACTTCATTATAACTCAAATTTCTATGATTTTGTAAAGACCGATCTGATATTCAGGTTAGATATAACTTTTTATTCCCTTTCTTACAACATATGAAACTGAACTGCATTTGGCTTTTTTTTGCAAACTTTAACTTATGACCATGCTTGTGTAAGCATGTCACACCTATGTCTCTCGATATTTCCATGGAGAGTGATGACTAGCGCCCTCTATGTTTGACTACGCATCCATGTACACTTTAAAGGCCATCTGTACTAGTTTACAAGAGGGATTAGACCACCCTGCAAGGTCACTGACAGGTGGTTATCTCATCAAATCAGCTCTCACTTAACATAAGAAAAAGAGGATCATGGGGGACCAATGGTCACCGATTAGGCATTGTTTGCTATATAGAGGGAGCAAGTAGCTATAAGTAGTGCAGTGGGCTTTTAACTCACTTGTTTTTATGCAGGATGGTCCTTGAACCTGATGAGGCATTGACAATGACACAGGACAGAGGTGTGACACAATTGTCATATTGTCTCACATTGTCACAAATCACTCCATACTTTTCCAGATCCTCAGTGATGACACTACAACAACAGAAAATCATATCATGAAAAAAAAAATCAATTTAAGGCCCCTAATATATTCCAATCTATTATCTCATCTGCTCTCTTGAACATCTAGCTCAAGGCACAATGACACATGAAAGAGAGAGAGAGAAAGAGAGAGAGAGAGAGAAGAGAGAGAGAGAGAGAGAGAGAGAGAGGGAGAGGGAGGGAGAGGCAGAACACAATTTTCATATTGCGTTACATCGTCATAAAGCACTCCATATAATCCTTGATCTTCTGTAATGGCACTACAACAAATAAATCATATGAACATTGCAAATGAATCATGGATCCTCATTGTTCAATTAGTGAATGTAGTTTCTGCCTTGATTTCTGCATCTTTAAAAGAATTAGGAATTCATATTATTCATATATATTCATATTCATATTCAAATTTATTGTCCAATGATTGGAAATTTGTTTTATTTGCATGTCAGTACAAGGTTACACATTATAAACATCAATAAGATACATATGGGTACAGAGTAGAACATTTAACTTCAACATCTATAATATGCCAAAGACTAATCTTTCAAAAGAAGAATCCTGAATTAAAAGAAGTAAAATAAACACATTATATACATGTAACCCCCACCCCCAATCATTGAAATATTTGTTCCTAGATTTTGTAAATTTATACAACATACAATAGATATAATAATATCCTGCTTTTATATAGCGCTTAATACATCTATGATGTCTCTAAGCACTTTACAGATATACTATTAACCCGGTCATTGGATTCATTACTTGCCCATACACAATGTGTGCACAATCTCCACTCCCTGGGGAGAATTCCAGCCAGGCATTACTTGACGCTCAAAAATTGTTTGACCATAATGACCAATAATACTGGGTACCCATTTAACACCTGGGTGGAGAGTAGCAAGTGCAGGTTAATATCTTGCCAAACGATATTAGTGCAGTGTCTGACAAGTATCTGACAATACAATGCCCACATGTGTTTTGTCATGTTATCCCTCTAGTACCGGTATATCATCCTACATGTATGTAACCCAATCTTACAAAATTATTATTTTGTTACTTGTATAATTCATTTGTTCTATTATATATTGTATTACTGTATGGTTTATATATGTCATTTAATTTGTGGATATTTGAGGGGAAAATAAATCAAATCAAATCAAATCAAATCAATACAATAAAACCAGCTTTGGTGACATACTGTCTATAAAGACCAAACTTTGTAAAGCTCTCTTAAACATTATTTCACATTCAAGCCTGTATTACAAGAACCTGCCCATGCATAAGGACCACCAGGGGAGTGTTTCACAAAGACTAAGATCCACTCTAAGTTGAACTTAACTATGGCAGGCCTTTCATGCCACTAGTTCCTCCAACCATTCCCGGCATTGGTCTCTCAAGGGACGTCCAAATCGTGGTTACAAATGTACAGAATTTACCTGATTTGATAGTTCATTATTGAGGAATTTTTAAATCTAAAGATCATAATTAAGAGACCAAGTGTGATAGCAACCAGTGGCATGAATGGCCTGCCATTGTTAAGTCCAACTTAAATTCGATCTTAGTCGTTGTGAACCCCCCCCCCCCCCTGCTAACTATGACAGCCTTTTTGTCTCCCTTGAGAGATCTCTACACATACATGTAGGTTTGAATGTTGCTAAACTTACTCTGCCAGGTTATCGGTAGCGAGGGTACCAAACCATTCCACAGGAGAGCCGAGCTGTGACAGAACTACAGATGTGTTTGTAGCGTTTCCTCCTCGATTCACCTGCTGGTCTAGTAATCTACAATAAACCAGGGGAAAGACAACACAATACATTTTAAATGAAAAAGGAGTAGAAGAGGTAGTACTGGTATATAAAATTTGATTAAACAATCCCATCAGAGAGAATAACCTGTAGTTGAACCATGTAGTAGGTCCACGGGTGAATTGACTGAGTTCTAAGTGCATATTAGATCTATATCAAATAACATGTGAAGTACAAAAGAAAACAAACAAACTAAAAGCTGAAGCAAGAGACACATTTTCCACTTCCCCTTGTTAAAATAAATGATCAGTCACACAAATAATAATTATTTTGTAAAAAGACATACGGTACAGACTTTATATCAATCTTGTAAAGTTATGATAGATTGTTTTCATTATTTTGAAGCGAGTGACATACTTTTCTGGCATCAGTTTGGGTTTCAGAAAGTATTTGACACAGTAAAAACTTACATTCTAAATCATATAGGCCTATTAGAAAAATTGAATTCCTAAAGGGTAATTCTACATTGGTTAAACTAAGTTCCAACAGACATCACTGATCGAGCTAAAAATTATTAAGAAGACAATTCTTGCAAGAAACAAACATCCTGTGGTGTCCCTCAGGCCTCAGGGTACTGTTACCTTATTCCACATTAACATTAAATACGTGCAGCCAAACCTTAAACTTCCAAACTATTAGGACTTATGCTTCAAAAAGTTTTCATATTTTTTCACGCTGGATCAAGTTAGTAAAATAAACTATGGTAAGCGATTAACTGAGGTGTAATGTGAACAAAGTCACCATAAGCTTGTCAAAATACAAACCATATGCTCAAAGGGTTTAAATTTAAGTGTGGTGAAATAATACAATTATACAAAAAGTCCAGGTTGCATGATTTGTTGGGCTTTTTTATTAATAAATGCAAGAGTTGAAAGAATTTAATACAGAAATAGAAATGAAGGAAAAAATTTAGTATTTTGTATAGACTAAAGCACAACACTCCAAGACAATTTAGGATAATGTATAAATCACTATGTGTACACCCTTGCTAGAATGATATACGGGAAGGACTTATAAAACTAGTCTGAGCTGCATTTTGTCAAGTGACAAAGGGGACAAAGAGGCAGTACTACATTCTGTGCATACCATTCAGATTGCATTGTCATGTAATACAAATGCTGAAAGCTTTAAAAATACTTTGGCTAAGCTTGAGCCAATGAATCACAGCAACCTTTTACACAAAATTTATGCCTGTCTGCATATGAATTACGGATAATCCTCTTTTTATTAACTGTAGACCTTTAATCTAGTGTAGCTGCATCTCAATACGAAGATTCACCTTTATACAAAGCTGCACCTACATGTATTTGGGAACTGTACTCTCACTTCTGTGAGAGATTGTATATATACCGATCTGTTGCCATGGTTTCTGCAAGCACTGTGGAGCAGTAAGCAGGCGCGGATCCACGGGCCTAATTCTTCCGGCCCGGCTATGGCAACCCCTTTGTGTAAAAACTAGATAAACTCAGTTTATCAGAAAAACTGTGTTTACCAATGATACACTCAGTTTATCAACTGATGAACTGAGTTTTTCTGATAAAACTCTGTTTATCTGATAAACTCTGTTTATCTGTTGATAAACTGAGTTTATCATTGAGTTTTCCTTGATAAACTGGGTTTATCAACTGATAAACTGAGTTTTTCTGATAAACTGTGTTTATCTGTTGATAAACTGAGTTTATCTGAGAAAAACAGAGTTTATCTGAGAAAAACAGAGTTTATCTGAGAAAAACAGAGTTTATCTAGTTTTTACACAAAGGGCTTGCCATAGCCGGGCCGGAAGAATTAGGCCCGTGGATCCGCGCCTGGCAGTAAGTCCACCATAGCTGAGGGCCATCCCAATAGCACATATTAAATAAGAGATGATTGAATGTCTTATGTAATCAGACAGGTGCATGGATGTCCCTGAACTAAATTGAGAATGTTTGAACTATTATTTTTAGCATACGTGCTGGCCCCCAGTAATGGCAGCAGCCACTTCCATCGCTAGCTCTCTCTAAATCGGTGTTTCATCAGAGAATTGTAATCCTCAGCTTCCTGGGAGAAATTTCAATAGTTTAAACATATTTGTGGCTTACACCCAGTAAATGGTGGTAGAGTCGCTGCCCGGCAAGCAGTATAGATGGCAGGTGGCAGGTTCAAATCCCGCTGGTTCCAAGATTTTTTCTGACTTGTTTTTCAATTACAGATCGATCAATCGATCTTATTTACTGGGTGTAAGCCACAAATATGTTTTAACTATTATAAATGCCTTGTTTCAAACTTTTGATATGAGGAAACAAGGGCCAAATCTTATAAAAGTTCTTTGTGATGTTAATCTCATCTAGAATTTTAAAATCAGTTGCAAGTCTATGGTAGACAAAGTATCTGGGAATTCACAACACACTGCATCCATTTTTGTTTCATGAATATATTACGTTTGATGCAATGAATCCTAAAAAACAAAAACAATATTTAAAGTCCTTAGTCCTTACGTTGGCAACATTTTGAGAGATTAAAAATCATTATTTTCAATAAAAATTGCAATTTTTTCAACAACATTCTTGCTTATGAATATTGCCTTCGGAGACACTACATTTCAATTCAAGAATGTAGCAAATAGCAATAAAAGAAAAATATTATTGTTGCCAATTTGAGGAAAAATATGAGATCATTTATAACAAAAAATAAATGTTATCCTGGAAGGATTAAAATAGACATTCCCTGTGTAAACCAGAGTGACTTACTTTTGATCTGTATCTTCTGTAGGATACACTGCAGCTACATTGACAATATCAACACAGGCTAATCCTACAATTAAGAGCTTGCCATAGCTATTTGTCTCCCTGTCAGTCATATTATTTCCTGTAAGAAAAGAAATGAAAAAAATGTAGATATTCATGTCTTTGGATGAATATCAACAACAAAATACAATTAAAACATTGCATAATTTCTGACAATATATATTCTGAAGTACTTGCCTCTAGGAATATGTGATGAAGAAACAAAAATTCTTTTATCATGATTTTAGAAAATGGATATATCAGTATGGTTTGGTAATAAATTGATTCCTTCTAGAGAGATCAATGCTGAGGAATATGTAGATTATTATATATTAATTTCAGGAACATTGTAGAATGACTTGACTCATAGGAAAACTTATAAATGCAAAAGGAGTGTTTTAGACCCTTTCCTAAACTATGAAAATCACTCATATAACACCTTTAACAATTTTAAACACATTAGGAATTTGGAGAAGAAGAAAAAAAAGAAAAAAAGAAATCAGTTTTAAAGGTAAAGACCGGTATTGGAAACGCCCCAATTTACAAAAATGAAATGGAAGCTCTTATCACCAATCATGTGAAAGAATATGTTTTGAATATTACATGATGATAAAAATTTTGACGGGAAACCGCCTACTAATTGATATATTTGGTAAATTAGTGTACATGTATCTCTCGCCTGTTGAGAGATATGAAATGCATGTGTCGCGCACGTGTGTGTAGTCCCATATACATCTTTCTGTGTACAGTGCTTCTAACTTTATGAAGACTTGGCCAAATTTCTTATTATTTTGATGATTCCAGAACCTTGCAGTACATCTATGCTAGATGATCAACCTTTTCTGATCAATTTCACAACGTTTCTTTCACAATGCAATCGCATGACCATAACTCGTCTTTAGCTTTAATGATGTCTCTAGATGCTATTAACAGTTTTATTGATATGAAGAATTAAGGTAATCAATTCAAACACTTTTATTTATTTACATCACTCGATCTGTGATCCATGTTTTCTTCCAGTCTCTCTCTCTCCCTCTTTTTCTTTTTTAAACTCTCTTTTATTTAATATTTTTCATTTCCACTTTCTCATCATTTCACTCTTACTCTCCTCTCTAAAAAAATAAAAACCTCATTAAGTTTGTTTTTCCCCCTCTACTTTTCTGTATCTGTATAGTTTTCTTTTTTTGGCTATGCCCCAGGCCTAGGCTACGGCGCGACCGCACACAGTGGGCCAGAACCGCCTCAAAGTGTGCCAAAATTAATTTCTCATTGAAGAAGGTTAATGAAGTTCCTGTTAAAAGTATCTAAGGGTTTTTCAGACCCATAGAATTTGATGGGAGTATTTTCAAATCCGTGTGACATCATCAAAATACTGTATTCTGATTGGACAAGGCAAATATGCATTGTAACACATAGACAGATTCATATTACACTGATTAGTGGTTTCTAGACCTAAGAAACACAATTGGAGCATTTTCAAATTTCTCTGACGTCATTAAAATACTGTTTTCTGATTGGACAAGGCAAATATTATTTGTAACGCATAGACAGATTCATATTACACTGATTAGTGGAACTAATAAGAGGTTTCTGGACCTAAGAAACACAATTGGAGCATTTTAAAATTTCTCTGACGTCATTAAAATACTGTTTTCTGATTGGACAAGGCAAATATTCATTGTAACGCATAGACAGATTCATATTACACTGATTAGCGGAAGTTATATTTTTCTTATACACGCCTTGAGATGCCGCATATAGAAGTTCCTCTGGTTCCCTGTCTTCTAGAAGGTGGTGTGCTTTTCTTTTTTTAGAACGATCTGAGAGGGTGTCCCAATTTTTAGCTGGACGTCCCACATTGGATGTGCCCTGTGACGTGCCTGGCAAGTCTGAAGTTGGCTCTGTTTCTGTCCCGGTATCTGTGCTGTTTTGCTGTGCAAGAAATGTTTCTACTTCAGTATTGAATGTCAATGTCTGATTAAGCCAGTCCTTGTTTTCTTTCATGAAATATTCCTGGTAACGACCGCACTTGTTCCATTTCTCTCGCATACGATACAGAAAGCGTCCAATAGTCTTTGACAAACTCTTGAGAAGTTTTTGTGGGATGTTTGACTTGTTACCCACATTATGATATGCACATAATGCATCAATGGATGTTTCGGATGCCAGTTTGATGTCTGAAATGAAGCCAGCTGAATGCACAGCATGAAAAAGCTGTCTTCTTAATACCGTCATCGTTTATTTCAATCCAAGTTCTCCTAGAATGATACCATATATGATTGCGAATTGCATCAACGTGTGAAAGCAATATACACTACGCTATATGCTCTACACTCACGTAACCGTTGCCATGGTTACGCGGACGAGCATTGACTCGGCTGTGCGTAAACGTAAACAGTATAAATGTGTACCGATTATGCCTAATAATAATCGATGAACGTGGGGAGGAAAAGCACCTGCACATGCAGTGTAGCAAATTCTGGCAAAAAGAAATATCATACATGGAAAGCTTTAGGTTTGGGTGGACATTTTGAGATTAACATCACTGCAGGAATCGGCTGGAATCCTAATAAACATGCTACTTTTAGACTACCTAAAAATTGCAATTTTTTCCTTTTTGTGTGAAATTTAATGCTCATTTTTCCCAAAATGAAGCTTCCATAAATTTGGTCATTGTATTTTCTAATTGGGTTACCAATAGGCAAGAAGTGCACGCAGTATCAAGTTGATTGCTTTTCCCTTCATAAATTCTCAACACCTATTGTAAAGTTGCCTCTTTTATCATTTTGGAGCAATAGTACTTAGTAGGGAGGCCAATGCCCAAATCTAACTTTTTAATTACTAATTTGTTTATAATAAAACTAAGATTAAAAGAAAGCATTTACCTTCACTAAGAAAATTCACCCATCTGCCGACTCCAGAAGTTCCATCAAATAGGAGATATCCAGCTTTTAAGAACTCCCTTCCTTCTACGGCTGGCCGTCCGTAAGACTAAGAGCCTTGAATTACAATCAACTTCATGGTCCCAAATATTACGTCGAGAATTAGACAGGCCCGAGGGAATGGGCGTGTCATCATGGTCATTGCCCGGACAACAAGTTCAAAACTTCGCGCGAAAGTACATTCATCATCACCGGCTAGCCTTGAATTAGTCGCACACACCGACACAGCTACTACAGGCCGTCCAGGTACGGTAATTGCATGCAAGCCGCAATCGAGCCTACCATGCTAGCCATGCCATGGCATGGAGGGTCAAAACTTAAAACATAATGAGAGAAAGCTCGAAAGCCACTCATTGTAAATTAAGAAAATGATTGAAATAAATAAATAGGTCTACCTTAGTTTGTATTCCAATTATTTCCTCATGAGTAAAGATCAATTTGACACTATCCACGATCGATAAATCCAACTTGCACAGAACTTTGCAGCAAACACAATACGGAATCAAACATAGTCAATAGGACTGCACGCATTGATAGACGTGTAATGACCATAGAGATAATGACGGAGATATTCTCTCCCTCTCTCTCTCTCTCTCTCTCTCTCACTAACCATATGATGATATCATACACTAAAACACACACGTTCAAACCATGGCATTCATTACACTTCTCAATTGGAGTATAGACTGCTCACGTAGACATTTTTTTTTTACTGAAATGTCTTTTTTTAAACTTCTCATACATTACTGCACGACACTGGTGTCTGGTGCTGAGAAAAAGGTACTATGTGTGAGACTACGTCAAATTTGTTTTGCGCGCGATGAGACCGGACCTCATACATATTCATATTATGATGTCGCAAGACTTCTATTTGGGCTGGAACAATGACGTATCTGTTCACAGTTTTGCTCCCCAATTTGAGATGGCTCTAGCTATGGGGCTCAAACCAACGCAAGATTGACAAAAACATCGTACTCTATCTACCTTCGTATGTGCAGTTTGTAAAAATCTGCAATTAAAAAGATATAATTGTTTTTCGTTATATTTTCTAGTTGTTAAAAGTGACATTTGTGCACAACTGATATGTTAATCTCTATCAAAAGTTCTTTGATATTAAATTGATTCCATATTTTTAGGCTCTACCTTCAGTCATTGAGAAGGATTTTAGTGAGCTAACCTCATCGCCCTCTAGGACCCTTCTAGTTTCTCATATGTGCGCGCTAAGTTCGTCTGCTAACAGAATTATTGGATCTAAAAACGTCAAAATCTGCAAGATCGTCAACAAATGGTGAAAGACCGTTACAGATCCGTGATTATAGGTATGTTGTGGAGTGTGTAATTGTGTATTTGTTATACATTTTATTCCATAGATAGGTCTATTTGTTTTCTTTTTTTTTCCCATTTTTTTCTTCTGGTAATTTTCTGACTTGGACGACGAGCGCACAAATCGTAGGCGTAGAAGCCTTACGCCCGGGCATTGGCCTCCCTAGCAATAGACCTAGACCTATATCTATATAGATTTTCCCATGTTCCCAGGCCAGGGCCAGGCCAGGGTATAGACTCTATGACACTTTTGAAACTCGCTACATATTAAAATATGGGTGGAAAAATATTAAAATATGGTTGGAAAAATATTCATTAGAATGTTTTCTTCCCCAAGCGAATGAAAAAAATATAAAAATTCACATTCGCCAATTTTGAATTTTGGCACACTTTGTCTTTGAGGCGATTCTGGCCCACTGTGCGGCAGCCCGTGGTATGGGAGTGCGGCGCGGCAGTAGCAGACTACGCTGGATCTGGAGCTGTGCATTTGTGTAGCTTACCTCTGAACTTTTCTAACCTTTATCAGAATATCAAATAAGAAACAAAATAATCAATTGATTATCCGACCGGTGATACCACTGGAGCCAAATAAGAAAGGATGTAAGTCGCGTCACAAAGATATGTCATGAAGAAGAAGAAATACTGGGCGGGAGCTGGAGGAGGAGGCTGGAGGAGGAGAGTACGAGTCCGCAAACTATGATCTATGAGATATGCTTCAGTGCACGTGCGTTGCCGATTAGACCCTATAAGATGTAGAATCTACTGCTAGTTTACTTTTAATTGATTATAATGTATTACAATTTGATAAAAATAAAAGTGTTTCATTCATAGATAATATTTTGAATTGTATTCAGAAAAGTAGATATTTTATTTAATTTATCTTTTTTTTGAAATAAATAAAAATTAAGTTGGCTAATTTTAAAATGGCAGCCCCCATTATCCATGCTTACCGCTGCATATCATATGTACACACGTACACGTACCCGTGGGCTGTGAATGTTCAAATTTTAACCAATATTCGTGATTAATCTATTTCTTTAATTACAACTGGAATCTTCATAGAGTCTATCTTTAATGTAAGTGTTAAGCATACGCGGAACAACTTTAGAATACCCCACCATGCGAACTAAAGGTTTTTTTTTGATCCGCCAACCCAACGCTTCAACTTGTTAAAGTAGACCTACTACAACTTGGTGCCGAGATATATATAGTTTTGAATGGAAATCGCAATCGTGCCGCCAACGTGCCAACGAGCCAACATGAGTTGAGAGACTGAATTTATATCGCCAACGTGCCAACGTGCCAACGAGCCAACATGAGTTGAGAGACTTGAATTTATATCGCCTACGTGCCAACGTGCCAACATGAGTTGAGAGACTTGAATTTATATAGCCAACGTGCCAACGTGCCAACGAGCCAACATGAGTTGAGAGACTTGAATTTATATCGCCAACGTGCCAACGTGCCAACATGAGTTGAGAGTTTTGAATTTATATCGCCAACGTGCCAACGTGCCAACGAGCCAACATGAGTTGAGAGACTTGAATTTATATCGCCAACGTGCCAACGTGCCAACGAGCCAACATGAGTTGAGAGTTTTGAATTTATATCGCCAACGTGCCAACGTGCCAACGAGCCAACATGAGTTGAGAGTCTTGAATTTATATCGCCAACGTGCCAACGTGCCAACGAGCCAACATGAGTTGAGAGTCTTGAATTTATATCGCCAACGTGCCAACGTGCCAACGAGCCAACATGAGTTGAGAGACTTGAATTTATATCGCCAACGTGCCAACGTGCCAACATGAGTTGAGAGACTTGAAGATAAATCGCCAACGTGCCAACGTGCCAACGAGCAAACATGAGTTGAGAGACTTGAATTTATATCGCCAACGTGCCAACGTGCCAACATGAGTTGAGAGACTTGAAGTTAAATCGCCAACGTGCCAACGTGCCAACGAATCAACATGAGTTGAGAGACTTGAATTTTTAGCGCCAACGTGCCAATTACGTGCCAACGAGCCAACATGAGTTGAGAGACTTGAATTTATATTGCCAACGTGCCAACGAGCCATAGTTGAGAGACTTGAAGTTAAATCGCCATCGTCTTGGAAAAGGGCTTATGAGAATGAAAAGAGACTGTTTTCATAAATAAGAAGGAGACTGTTTTCACAGATGAAAAAGGGCATTTATGAGAAAGGGAAGGGGCTCTTTTTTTAAATGGGGGCACTTATTAGAAAGGAAAGGGGGCACATGTGAAGATATAAGGTGCGCTTATCAGATTTGAATAGGGCAATTATCAGAGGTGAAAAGGGGCGCTTCTCGTATCTGAAAAGAGGCACTTAAATTATTACAGATTATAAAGGGCACTTATGAGAATGGAAAATGAACACTTAATGGGAACTTGTCGAACGAAAAGGGGTACGTGTAAAGAAGAGGGTTTTTATGTCAGAGGTGGAAAGGGGAAGGGGCACTTTTAAATATTAATAGGGGCACTTTTCAAAGTAAAAGGGGCACTTTTTATGTAAAAAGGGGCACTTCTTACAAAGTTAAAAGGGCATTTTTCCTGTTTTAAAAGGGGCACTTTTGGAGAACTTGATAAAGTGGGGGGGGGGGGGCACTGTGCCCCCCTCCCGGGAGCGCCGCCTCTGATAAACATACATACAACGTACATCACACATAATTATGTGTATATACTTTTATAAACGTTATAATTTTAAATGAAAGTTTCGCTTGTACCAGTTAAATATTCGTCTAATAGTAAAATATCCTAAGCACTAAATGACTAATCGAAACTGTTTTATACTCGACCAAATGTAAAACGTTTTGTTAACTATAAAGGTCAGGCGATATTCATCCTATTTCATATACAATCATATGAACGAATTATCTCATGACTGCTCTCCTAATTTGGTAAGTGGGTTATTTACATAATATGTTTGCCATTTTCTCTGTTATTTATTTTGGTTTACAAAATATTAACGCTGTTGATTATGCTTCAACTGCAAGCTTGACTGCTGATACCGAGTGATAAGTTATACTTATAATGATAGTGAAACAAGGCATTTCCAGAATCTGTAGTAGTACCTAGTAGTAGTACTACTACTACTACTAAAGTTCAAAGCTTGCGCGCTTCGCGCGAGAGGGGAAAACTGATTTCAGACAAGGATTAAGAGTCGAGAATGGTACAACGAATCGTCTTCTTTCTCTATGAATTTAATGAAACGTCAAAGCTTGCGCGTTTCGCGCGAGAGGGGGGGGGGTGGGAATGATTTCAGACAAGGATTAAGAGTTAAGAATGGTACAATGAATCGTCTTTTTTTTCTAATAATTTTTGAAAGGTCAAAGCTTACGCGCTTCGCGCGGGTTTTCCATATCCACCGCTCCTTATGTATTTGTTTGTTTAAAACTTCTTTTATCTTCTTTTTCTAATTTCCTCATGTTATTCTTTATTTCTCTTTCTTTTCCATTTACATTTTGCTTATTAGCACCTGTCTTTCCTTATGGTATTTTTTATTTCCTCCTTCTTTTAAATTTTCTTTCCATATTATTATTTTGTTTAATCTTCCATTTCTATCTTTCCACAAGTTATTCTTTGTTTTAAACACCCAAGGACACCAGGTCCCCGTCACCCTAAGCACTGGAGTTTGCGTTACCTGTAACTCTCACCCTAATCCTAACCCTAGGACACCGGGTCCCGCGTCACCCGAGGACACCGGAATTTGCGTTACCCTAACTCTAACTCTAACTCTCACCCTAACCCTAACCCTAGGACACCAGGTCCCGCATCACCCTCCGGAGTTTGCGTTACCCTACCTCTCACCCTAACCCTAACCCTAGGACACCGGGTCCCGCGTCACCCTAAGACACCGGGTCCCGCGTCACCCTAGGACGCCGGAGTTTGCGTTACCCTAACTCTCACCCTAACCCTAACCCTAGGACACGGGTCCCGCGTCAGCCTAGGACTCCGGGTCCCACGTCACCCTAGGACAACGGGTCCCGTGTCACCCTAGGACACCGGAGTTTGCGTTACCCTAACTCTAACTCTCACCCTAACCCTAACCCTAGGACGCCGGGTCCCGCGTCACCCTAGGACACCGGAGTTTGCGTTACCCTAACTCTCACCCTAACCCTAACCCTAGGACACCGGGTCCCGCGTCACCCTAGGACACCGGGTCCCGCGTCACCCTAGGACACCGGGTCCCGCATCACCCTAGGACACCGGGTCCCGCGTCACCCTAGGACACCGGAGTTTGCGTTACCCTAACTCTCACCCTAACCCTAACCCTAGGACACCGGGTCCCGCGTCACCCTAGGACACCGGGTCCCGCGTCACCCTAGGACACCGGGTCCCGCATCACCCTAGGACACCGGGTCCCGCGTCACCCTAGGACACCGGGTCCCGCGTCACCCTAGGACACCGGAGTTTGCGTTACCCTAACTCTCACCCTAACCCTAACCCTAGGACACCGGGTCCCGCGTCACCCTAGGACACCGGGTCCCGCATCACCCTAGGACACCGGGTCCCGCGTCACCCTAGGACACCGGAGTTTGCGTTACCCTAACTCTCACCCTAACCCTAACCCTAGGACACCGGGTCCCGCGTCACCCTAGGACACCGGGTCCCGCGTCACCCTAGGACACCGGAGTTTGGTTACCCTAACGCTCACCCTAACCCTAACCCTAGGACACCGGGTCCCGCGTCACCCTAGGACACTGGAGTTTGCGTTACCCTAACTCTCACCCTAACCCTAACCCTAGGACACCAGGTCCCGCGTCACCCTAGGACACCGGGTCCCGCGTCACCCTAGGACACCGGAGTTTGCGTTACCCTAACTCTCACCCTAACCCTAACCCTAGGACACCGGGTCCCGCGTCACCCTAGGACACCGGGTCCCGCGTCACCCTAGGACACCGGAGTTTGCGTTACCCTAACTCTCACCCTAACCCTAACCCTAGGACACTGGGTCCCGCGTCACCCTAGGACATCTGGTCCCGCGCCACCCTAGGACACTGGAGTTTGCGTTACTAACTCTAACCCTAACCATAGGACACCGGGTTCTGCGTTACCCTAACTCTCACCCTAACCCTAACCCTAGGACACCGGGTCCCATTTCTGTTTCATTTTCTTCTTCTTTTGCAGTTTTACAAATATATAACAAACAAAACATTTTTATACATGACAAAAGAGATTGTGAAACAAAGTAAGGTTGGCTGTAACTAATCAGAAACATCAATCAGGTTTATTTTTTATTGCTTGATTTTCTTTTTCTTTTTCAGTTTTACAAATATATAACAAACAAATCATTGAACATTTATACATGACAAAAGATTAAACAAAGTATTAAGGTTGGCCGTAACTAATCGAAAACATCAAACAGGAGGGTTGACAAAGTAAGCAAAGCTTGAAAGTATGACTGCCCTCAATGGATACATAATAATACAAATATGGAGACAAAAATATTGGTAAAATGGAAAAAAAAGAGAGAGGGAGAAAAAAGGGAAGAAAAAAAATTAGTAGGGGGTGTACATCAAAATGTACAGATTTTGGCTTAACTTTAGAATACCCCACCAAAACGTAGTATCTCCGTTGGTCGCCAACGCGCCAACGTACCAATTTAGTGTAGATCTAGTCCCTTCCTTTCGTATTCGTGACCAGTTTCTGAATTTGCTAACGCATCAAGTCGAGCATGGAAATATGGTTATTTGCTATGTTTTAACTCCTTCCTATTACCTCTTACACATCAAAGTATTTTATTTATAGATTGTTAAAGATGTTCTCACCTTAGTTGGAATGTTTTACTCTTTATATTGCTTGAAAATCGTCAAAAAGCAATGTAACAACTGTCGGAAAGTATCAGTAAAGAGTGAAAAAAAATCGGAAACTTATGGTGTCCATTAAATGGCAAACAAAGAAAGGAAATAAGGCGCGTTGGCGCGTTGGCACGTTGGCCCGTCCCTCATTGACAAACTGAATTAAAATATGAAATAAGTAGCCTAAAAGTAATGGGGGAAAAAAATCAGGAACTTGTGGTGTACTTTAAATGGCAAACAAAGAAAGGAAATAAGGCGCGTT